AAGTCTAGCGCCGTTTTGGCCAGGCGCAAGTTGTGGCAAGAGGTGCGCAGGAAGCTTGTGCCAAGCTGCGAGATGAAGTCTGAGAAGAAGCCCCCCCGCCCCCAGATGGGTTGCATATCTTGGTGCTGCAAGTTTGGACACGGAAAGACGTACAGCCCACGCAATGAGTTTGAGTCGGCACATTCCAAACGTGTTCGGCAAGCGTTGCACCTTCCTTTATCCACAGTTCGCTTTATCGCTTGAGAACCTCCCCCCTCTCCCTTTGCCCCTCCCCCCTCATTTTTGCATTTTCCAGGTGTGTGGCTGGTTGTTTTCCAGGCGTTTGGCTTTCTCTCAGAAGGATGAAAATAATGTGGGAGGGTATGGGCAAATATGCGCCGTCTCAAGCGGAGGATGCCTCGTGTTTCAAGGCAGTGGTCTGGTTCCACCAAGATGAGCAACCCTTTCTCACATGTGGAAATCAAGCCAAAGCGCAACCGCCATGCAGTATGCGCAATTCATATTCTCAGAAGGATCCGACTGTGCTGCGCTTGTTCAGGCTTTCCAAAACTCTGAACTTCGTTCCAAGCGTTCAAACTCTTTCAATCCCTCTCCAAGCCTTTTTCAACACGCTTCCAGACCTCTTGCAAGAACCTTCAGAACTTCAAACCTCTTGGAGAATCTTTGACCACCTCTTTCAAAGCCCTTTCAAGCTGCCTTCAAACCAGTCCCAAATTCTGTCCAAACCTCTTTCAACGCCCGTGCAAGCTTCAAACCTTTTCCAACACATGTTTCGACACCGTTCCGAGCCTTCTTTTACAATCGTTCAAGAAATGTGCAAACATTTTTCGATACCTGTCCAAACATGATTCAGACCCTTCCCGTAATCAACACTTTCAAGCCTTTTCCACCTTTTCCAAGCCCCGAAATGATACCCCCGGCCTCGGCCTTAAATTGTGCCTCGGGTAGTAGAGGATGAACCTGGTTGGTGTTCAAAACAGGGAAGCCACATGGTTGGTTTCCTTGGTTTCCCTTGAAACCAAAAAGGGTCCCGACTCAAAAAGACTTCGCGCAGGCCGCGCAGCCAAGGAGGGCGTGCCGGTGGGCCTGGGCGGCTGTGGGGCGGCGGCCTGCACCGCAGGCCGGAGGATTTTGAATTGAAACTGTTCGCCAGCGGAGAAGGGGAAACAACGGACGACAAGGGGAAGCCGCCTGAACCTCGCGGGGCTTTGCCAGAAAGAACAAGGGGAAACAGTCCGAACATGGCAGCAAGACTCGCTTTTGGTTGAAGATCTAAAGGACGCCCAAAAGAGAAGCGGAAAACGCTCTTGTGTTGGGAAGCGCCCCTTTCGGTCGCGTTTTGAAACCAGGGTTGGTAAACCAAGGGAGAACAAGGGAAACCATTGTTGTAACACCATGCTTCAGAGGCCAAAAGAAGCCAAACAGTGCCTTGAAATTGGTGGACCCCGTTTGGTGGTCTGTTCAAGGGCTTTGTTTGCACACGGTCTCTCGTAAATTGGAGACCGGACGGGTTGGCCAAGCCCGGTCCTTGTCACGATCCTGTGAACATGCGACGCCAATTCTGGCCGTCGCCTTCTGGACCTTTGACAAGCCGCTTTTCAATCGTGGCGACTGAAGAGCCATGTCGATCCCAAGTCTCTTGGTGTATCAACGTGCAATCCGAGGCCAGCACGAAAGGCCGCGAAACACACTGGGCATTTTGGAAAGGTCGGCATGGCGGTTTCTATCTTGCATCTAGCCCATTTCGTCTCCTTGGACCAAGTTCTAATCTATTGTGGGGAGACTAGGGGTCTGGAAAGAAACATATATATATATATATACATATACATACAGTGATAGGATGCATGTATCGATGGGGTGCACTTGTAGGGAGAAGGAGAGAGTAACCGGTGATGGCTATGATTGATTAAATGATTACGAGCATTATTCCCCCATGATCATGAGGAAATTTGGCTTTTATGTAGCCCCACAACCCCGAAGTCCGATATTTTTTGGCCCCCAAAGGTTTGTCTGAAACTCGCTTTTTTCCTGGTGGTTTTCCTGTTGGTTTCTCTCCAAAGGCGTAGCACCCCCAACCAGGACACCAGCTCCCAGCTCTAGGGACACGCGGGGCGATTTTTTTGGTTCCCTGCACCGGGCTGCAGGCCTTGGCGTGCTGCTGGCTGGTCTGGCTGCGACACAGCCCGGCAAGCCCAGAGCGCCCCCCGAGGTTTCATGGGGGAGGGGGGGGAGCCCAAATGAAGCCCTTGATAAGGCCTTGGGATGAAAGCTTCAACAGGAAATGCGACGGGCGAAGGGCACAGGAGTTGACAAGTTCAGTGTTTGATGTCTTTGATGCGGCCTGCCATGTGGACAATCTGAGATGCTGACAGTTGTTATGGCGAGTACAAAAAGGCTGTGCCGAAGAACGAAGACAGCAAGCCTTGCTTTTTTCTACCGTGGCCTGAGGCAGATCATCGCGAGGGCCTCACGCTTCGCGTCAACAAGCCGTTTTGCCCGACCCGACAGCCATTAGTCTTTGGAAGAGAACAGGGCTTACATCTGACCAACAAAAATGCAGTTCCCGCCGCTGACCGACAACGTGCACAAATGCCGGGGGGGGGGGGACAAAAAGGTAGTGGTTTCCTTTGGAAGCTTCTTTGATTGCAGCCAAACATGAAAGGGTCTCAAAAGGGGGGCCCTGTTGTTGACGGCTTATGCTGAGGGCAAGCCAAAACCCTCACAATGCGGCATATTTCAATAAAAGGAGCACAAGCCCCATGGTGAGGTTCTTCGGGTCTGGCTGGCTTTTGCCTAGGGCCATCTACCTGCTGGGGGCTGCGAAGGCATGAGCGCCAAGGGTTGGGGGTTATCAAGTCACGGGCGGGTTTCGTGCTTTGTCTTGAAGTATGGTTGGTTTCATGGCTTGTTCAACAACTACTCCAAGTGCCTCGATGATTGGGCTGGGTTGTGGGCCCGGTACACAAGCCAAATTCAGTGATGCTCAGCAGTAACTAATGTGTGTAGTCATTTGGCCCCTTTCATTGCCCGGCTGAAGTGGCAAACTAGAGTCACTCCATGTAGTCACAGTCCTTTGGCAACTTGACGAGTTCGGCACAGATCATCGGCGCAGTGCTCGAAAATCTCAAAGCTTTTCTGAAGGGCGGCCAGCGAAAGAAGCGAACGCTGCGTTCCGGCAAGAAGCCGCCAGAGTGAGTCCCTCCCCCCCTCCCGGCAGAATTCGGATGAGCGGGGTGAGACCGATGTCGCCTCAGTGGTTTCCCTCGAGTGCAAGGCGATGCGTTTCTCGAACAAATGGGAGTGGCATGTGTTTTCTCGGTTTGAAGGGAAACCAAAGGAACACCAACAGTTTGGTGGGTCCTTGAAGTTTGACACATATTCACAAGTTGCGCGTTGGCCATGTCAGGAGCCAGAGACACGATTGACTCCTCAAAGCACATGGGGTTGCAGCAACAGTGGGGCGCTGTTTCGGTGGATGTGCCGCCTTCAATGGAAGCCCAAACAGGGCTCCGCAAGTTCGAGCCCAGAACCAGCAATGTCCACGGATTGATCCGGAAGGGCGGGGTGCATTGGTTCCCCTTGGGATTTGACACTTAAAGGGGGGCTCCTCAGATCGGTATGGTCCTTCAGAAGAAGTTCCCAAGTTGGCAGCCTTTCTTTTCTGATAACACGGACCATGCTGTAGGACCTGTAGGGCTTCACGGGGTTCCCCGAAAAAGAACCTTTCTCAGTTGGTTTCCGTGAATGACATACTGAAACATTTACCTGCGCAACAAAACCATCCACCGCGTCCGTCCACCTTGCTCAGCCCTTCCCCCACCCCACCCTAGATGGCTCAACGACACACACTCCGCCCACCTCGCCTTGGGGTTCACTCCGATCGTGCAGTACATGGCTGACGTGCTGTGCCGCAGCGATCGAGTTTTGATGGGTCCGGCTCCTCGGATCACTCAGATCGTCTGATAGCTATACCAGGATGGGTTGCCCTTTTCCAGATTGGCCCAAAGGGAAAGCCACAGAACCCCCCCCCCTTCCCTTGGGCCCGCCTGTTTGCCGAAACTGGGTTGGAGAAAGAGCCAGGCCTAGGCTGTGAATGGAAGGGGCTCGATGTCAACATTGGTACTGTGGGCCAATATTAGGACATAAAACCTCAGCCTCTTCTACTGCAACCTTGGTATAGGGACTTCAAAGCAGGCTGGGGCGAGCACTGCTGGCAGATCATTGTGGATCGTGTAATTATCTCGCTCAAAATTGAGCATTGTGGCAAACGGCTGGTTTGTCCTCCCTTTGTCCCTTGAAGCTGTCAACTGGTCTGGGTGCAAATAGGATTTGCGGTCACCAACTTGCAGACTTAGATCAACTCCGACGGTGGACAACTGAGGCGTCCTTTGTGAAGCAGGCAGCACGCACTGAGACTGGGCCCACTTCTGGACTTTATTCTTTAGCCGTGTGGAGAAACGCCAAAGGCATCGTGGAGTTCCAATTGCAGTCTCTCACAAAAAATATTGGAGGGAACCTCGGCAGAAGGGTGTTTGAAGCATGACTTAGATGTTCAACCCACTTTGTACTTTGTGGGTTATTGCCATGGTTACAACTGGGGGCGACTGACCCTCCCTTGTAGCCTTCTTACATGGTCAGTTTCCATCTAGCCTGCCTAGTTCCCTTTCCATGGCAATAACATCTTTGGGATGGCAATCAATCCGTGGGTCTTGATCTTTGGTCGAACGGCCGCTCGCGCCGTGCGGGCAACCAAAAGCTTAGGTACATGACAGCACTGCCATCCATCAAGCTGCTTCCGAGAATTTGGGAAAGTGACTAGGATTTGTTAAGTATCTACGTCGAGCTCCACCATTGACTCTTATTTCTTCCCTATACAGCCGAAAGCGAGATCACTTCGGGAACACGGCGACAGTGCCACAGTGTTCAGAGATTGAAGCTGATTCCGAGTTGTGCCCGGCTTCCGTCACTCGAACGAGAATCGGAGAACAGCTCTTTCTTTCTTGCACCGCAGTCAACAGTCACACGGTGAATGTTGCTTTAGCCATGGATGATGCTATGGAGGTCGAGGCGGAATTTGGGCCGAGGGTTGGAGGGTTGTATCGCAGCTCCACTTTCGGTTTGGTTTGAAGCACAGGCTGTCTTGATTCTCCTTGAACTATCGACTTGCGCCCTTCTCAGGCAAACTATCTTTTAGCGCGGGATCTTCCAGTGTCATGCGTTACCCATTGTTTTCAAGACCAAACAAGAACGGCGCTTTTAGCCAGTGTTTCTCTTACCAGAAGAGGCCCATGTGGAGGAAGCAGGAGGCAAAGGTTTGCACCTTCCTGGTGCTCTGAAGATGCCCGCTGGCCCCTCTTTGAGGCTTCAGAGGTGTGGCGGGCATTACTTGGGAGCTAATTTTTCATCAAGTTTTGGCGCGTGTCAAGTCTAGGGGAACCCTTTTTGGTGAAATGACGAGGTCTTGTCCTGCACAGCATCAATTTCAACCAGCCCGAATTTGGGCGGAAGAGGGCACGTGCCCTATCATGCTCCATCATATACACTTACAGTTGCTTAAGTGTTTTTTTTTTTTTCCACGGATGGTTTTTAAGGGAATTAATCACTACTTTTCTTTTGCAGCGCACCCTCAAGATTCGGGCACTCCAAACGCCAAGCGGACCAAAGTCCAGCCACCCTGCTCCCATTTGCCCCCAGGTCAGCCCCTGCCCATTATAATTCTTATTCGGCCGTGGGGTGTGGGGGGTGTGGTACAACCCGAAGTTTCGTGGGGTGCAAAGGGAAACCAAAAGGATTCCGCTGCTTTTGGCCCCCTGACACGTGACACGTGCTGATATTGTATCCAAAGTTGTCTGGAAATTGGGCAATAAGAGGATCAGCTGTGTTTCATCCTTCACACATACCCATGGAGTGGGAATTTTGAGGGGGAAGTGGTTTGAGCCAGTGCTGGATTGGTTCAGGCTTGGTTCCGACAGGGTTCAATCTTTCCGTTTTCGTGGCTAACTAGTGATTTATAGATACTGAAGTGCGTTCCGCCATTTGCGCACCTTGCGGCCCGCAGGGTTGGTTGCGTGTTTTTATTTTTTTTAAGCAAGGCCTTTGACGCTTGAATACTTTGCTTGTGCTCCTGCGTTTCACGCTTTCTCTTGCTGCTCAAAGCCGGCCCTGAGCCGGAAGACGGGCGCCCCATTACCGAGGCATCGGAAGCTTGCGATCCGGACCGCATTTGCCTTGTGCGACATGGGAGGGTCTGCGCAGAGCGAGCAGCTGCAAGGCGGTCTGCGCCGGAGTTGCAGCCTCGCTGCTCCCGCCACTCGGCCTGGGCTTTGGAGGCTGTGCTCCAGTTTATCCAGTCTGTTCCTGCCCGGGGCGAGCTGCGCTTCTTGTTTGCTTTTCGGACCGCGCCCCTTCGACCTCGCAACCGCATGTGGGCGGTAGACGCTGGCTGGAGTTTGCCTGTGGCCTGGACGTCCCGCCTTCGCCGGCCCGCTGCGGACGCGCTGAACTGGCGGGTGCGACTGCGCTCCGAGGTGAAAGTGCAATCTTAACACGTTCAGAGCAAATGTCAACTCAGGTTGTCACCTTCGATGATGTAAGTTATACTTTTGATCCCACCGGGGTGGAGAGGTGTGGTTGCCCCAGTTTCAGCCCAAATCGCAGGAGGCATCGCCGACCTTGGTGACAGTGCAGTTCCGTTGGGCCACCGAGACCTTTCGGCGCACCGAGGCGCGTGGGATTTCTTGGGCCGGTTCTAGGGGGAGGGCGGGAGTGGGGGTGGGGGGGGGGTTGGGTGGGTGATTTGGGCTAGGTTTTGCTTTTTTTTTTTTTGTGCGTGTGTGTTTTGGTTGCATTTTGGTTTGGGGGTTGGCGTGATTTGGCGGGCTGTGGGTGGTTTTGTGCAAGTTGCGCGGTGTGGTGTGTTTTCAGGGCGTTAGTGGAGTGTTGTTCAGGGCCATGCACAAAGGCCTTGGCAACGTGGTGGGTTGAGATCCAAGATGATCCAAGAGAACGAAAGTTGTTCTTTTTTCTTTCCCTTCATCCTGCCTCGTTCATTCCGCTTGGCGCTGCCGCACCAACGTGTTGTTCTTTTTAAAGCACGTTGTAGTCGTGCGTTGATTCACCGGCGAGCTGCTTGGGAGCTGCATTTGGGTGTGTGATTTCCGAGGGAAACCTTTTCAGGCTGGTTGAAAGGGAACACAAAAGAGAAGCTACCTTTTTTCCACCCCGCTTTTTAACATGTACACATACATATATATATATATATATAGGTGTATGTAATATACCCATCTAAATGCTAAACACGCTGCCTGAGGACCAGGTGCACGGGCGTTACGTGTACCGCAGCCGGGGCACGCTGGATGGCCTGGGCGGGCTGAGGCTCCAGTACCAGAGCCTAGTCATTTTAGGGAGGAGGGTTTTTTTGTTTCGGAATTTGTTTCGTTTTGTTTGGGAAAGTTTTTAGGGGACGAGCCCAAAATAGAAAAGGCCCACCCATGGTTGCCAGCCTCACGTCAACTGACCGGGGTGGTTAGCCCCACTTTGGACCCGCTTTTCCCTTTTGATGTCCTTTCAACCAGCCAAGGAAAAAAAGGGTACCGAGCCAACCAAAAAGAAACACATGCCCCGGAGGTTCGTTTGTCGGGTGTGCCGAGTGGTGTCCTCCGGCTGTGTTAGGGAGTGCTGCGGCGCCAAACGGGGTTATCCTCGTCAGAGTTGCTTCCATTTGCTCAAGAAGATATTGTATTTTCCCTTGTTGGTTTTAAAGGGTATCTATCACTACTGGACAAGTTTTCATAAATTTTGGGGATGTTGTAAGGGTACGTGCTTCGTCCAGTGTTTCTCGCCAACACCGGGACATGCTTGGCCGTCCCCGAATCCAAGGAGGTCGGAGGCCGTCGGAGCATGGGAGATCACCAGCTCACAAGGCGCGCGCGAACCGAGTCGGGGTTGTCAGGATGGGATGCAGTTACATTGCCAGACAGGTACTCTTTTTGACTGGTGTGTTTCACAGGGCACCAAGCAAACCCAACTCACTCCGAGCCAGGGTCATTTGGGTTTGGCCGATGTTTAGGCGCCCAAAAAGTTAGGATTGGCCAGGGCTTTGCGCCGCTGTGAAAGGGAAAGGGACGCTCACAGGAAGGGCTGTTTCCCACGCACGAAGCTGTCCCATGATCGAATTGCTTTGTTGTTGACGAACGAAAACAGGCTTGCCACCCATTTGGGGCGGATGCAGGTCGCTGCCTTTGCTTCAGGAAGTCATGGATATGTTGCTGTTGAAGGAAGAGGCTTTTGGCAGATCGTATTCTTGCAGCAAGGCAACCACTGTTTGGCAAGTTAGCGCCCAGCTCGCAGTGGAAGTGAGGGGCCCGGATCCCAGTTTGAGAGGGATAGATTCTGGATGGGTTCGAAAGTTTGGGCGGAGTCCCCCGATAGGTATCTTTGCAGGAATTTAGTCTGTTACACGCTTTCAAGACTCTGAAAAACGGTATGCGGGACTCTGACACTTCTTTCAGAAAAGAACACCACGAGTCTTGGCAAATCATAACCTGCTCACCCAGCATTAAAACGAGCGAAAGCCCATGATGGAGGTTGCTTGGGGATTCCTTGGGTTGGTGAATGATTTGTTGTGCTTTCAGGACACGGACACCCTGATTACTGAAGACAGGAAGGTGCAGTTTGTGAAGTATCACGTAATTTGTGTGTTCAAGCCAGTGGAACACCAAACTGCATGGTTTCCTTCTGGCTTCCCTTTCAAGCCCGCCCAAGCAGGGATCCGCGATTTGAGGAATCCCCAAACTTCCCACCTACCAAAGGAACCTCACCTATGGGCCCAAAAGACAACCACCAAAAAGGGAGTGACATAATGTTGACCCAGGATCTAAGTAGAACCCGTCTCATTATTATTGGGATGTTCCCTCCAAAAGTGCTCTGAATCCAACCACTAAAAGGGGACACCCCCGTATTCATCAATCAGGGGTTTATGAATCCGGGGTTAACATTAGGGACTGCCCCTCCGCGCCCATCCCATGGAACTCCATCCGACCCATCCAACCCATCCGAGGCAAGTGCCTCTACCGCCTGCTGGGGGACGCCGCCTCGCCCAAGGACTTCTTGGGCCAGCAGAGTTGGGCGCGCTGCCGGGGCCCGCCCTGCCAGCTGGCGGGCCGATCGATCGATCCCGGGGCCCAGGGGAGAGCACGAGGGCCCGGATCCGACCGGATACACCGCGGCCCGAAAACGCGTGCGAGTGGACTCGGGGAGGCGAGGGCGCCCTTGTTCGGGTATGGGTTTAAAGGGAAAGAGTGAAAACAGTTTAGAGGTTTAAAGGGAAAACCGTTTCAGGTATTGGTTCAAAGGGACAACAGTGAAGACCGAGATTTTCAAGTTGAGCCCTATTTTGACACCGACGCAAATGTGTGGGATGATCGAGAACTGTTCGCCCTTTGCGAGTGCTTGCAATGCCTTTCGGAAGGCCGTGGATACTCCGACGTTGCTAATCAACTGGACGCCCGAACCTCCCATTGGCATTGTTCGAAAGTTTAACCAGTAAAAAAGTAGCAAGCCAATTGCAAGCCCTCGGAACCATCTTAGTAGAACCAAAAGTCAAGAGGTTTTGGGCGCAGCGCAGCTGGACCAGCACTTTGGGGTGAAATATGAAAAGGCGGAATCTCCCAAGTCACCCAAGTCACAAGTGGCTGCGAGATGTGAGATATCCAAGGTTTCAGGGTGCTCCGAAAGTCCTCTTCAAGCCACACTGTTGGTCAAACAGAATGCCAGGCACGGGCTTACGTTTGTTTTACCAAGGGCCCGAAGGCATCAGAGATGAATTCGGCTCAGCTGTGTTTCTGAGCGTTGGACAATGATTTGCGCTCTGGGACTCCACCAGATGCCCCGCGTTGCGGCCGGCCATCCCCACGGAAGCCCAAATTGTCCCTTCCCCACCTCTCCCCTTCCCCCCCCCCCTTCCCCCCCCCTCTCCCCTTCTCCCTTCTCCCCTTCCCCCCCCTTCCCCAGTTTGCCTCAATTCCAAGGCCCGGTTTCCTTCTGGCGCCGACCTTTGGTCCCCGAGTCTTGGAGCCCGCGGCCCCGCGGCCCCGCGGCCCCGCGGCCCCGCGGCCCCGCGGCCCCGCGGCCCCGCGAGGTGGTCATGCAGAAGCGCGAGGTGGACCCAGGCGGGTGGATCGAGGGCGGACTTCTGGCCTTCGATGGCAAGTGGTGAAGGACGGGAACGGGATGAGTCAGAGGGAAGGAGGGGAGAGAAAGAGAGAGCGAGCGAGAGCGAGAGAGAGAGAGAGAGAGAAAAAAAAACAAAAACAAAAAAACGGAGAGAGAGAGAGAGAGAGAGAGCGCACTTTGCCAGTTTCTGAACCTGTGTGCTGTTTGGTCAACTAATCGGGAACACTCTCAGGAAGTGAGAGCTAGAAGAGGGGCGGCTTTCAGATTGTGCATGTAATCCCAAATCACACACGGAACTCCAAAGAGACTAACGAATGGAGATGATTCCCATTTACGTGGAAGACAGTTGACGCATGAGCGTACTGCGTGCGAGCGCTTTGGGCTGATTCTATCTCGGGACGGATGCCTTGAAAGGAGCCCGTGCAAGAAGCCCACGGGGAAAAATGCCTCGCGCAGAGCGCCGGAGCTTGCATGGTCCGTGGCGCGTTTGCGCTTCGTTTCGGGGGTGACCACTTTGCGCCGTCATATTCCCGAACCACTGGAATATGTGAAAGAAGCCGTTTTGGGGGAGGGATGGGTCAATTTGTGTTGTATAATTACCCAGAAGCTTATATGCACGCGATTGAAAACAAAGGACTGCACCTCGTCGGGGTATGGCGGTAAGCTTTGCGTTCTTGGAGTCCCGGGAGGCGTTCACATGGGACGCGTGCAACAGCAAGCCAGTGGACGCAGAACTCAGCGGTCATGTGCATGTGTGTTTAGACGCCGGCTGCTTTCGCTGGGGATGGAATAGCGGGCTTGATGAGAGATTCCTCAATTATGTGTGGTCTTCGGTTCTAGAAGAGATGGATGCTCAGCAAGATGGGCGAATGGCACCAGACTTATGCCGCAGGCCCTCCCCGCCTCACCTCCCCGTTCTTCGAATGGCAGCCTCAAATGTGTCAGCAAATTCATGAGGTAAAGCATCTTGTACTGTCGCCAGACCAAGGACCGTGAGTCGAAGTCACTTGTCCCTTTGCGCTACCAATTGGTCACCACTCCCAAAATACCAACCCTAGACTCCCTCAGAAACAAAGAATCTCCATGTTAGCCTGGGGGAGGCGAACGGCCTAAATGTCCAGCCCAATTTTCCAGCGCAAAGTGAGATCCCTCACGTCAAGGGTGGAGTCCGCGACCCCTGTCGTGCAGTCATTGAGCAGTAACACAGGGTATCCAAAGTATGACTCAATACCTTTAGATCCATGGCAACCGCAATGAAAAAAAAAAAAAAAACCTGTCGACGCATGTCGACGCCCAGTTGCAACATGTCCACCTTCTCCCAGGTCTCCTCAGCGGAATGGACGAGGTGCCTCCCAGTTCACACCTGAATTGGGGGCGGGACTGATCCGCTCTCAGGTTGCCTCTGGTCCGCTCGCAGCTTTGAGTGCCCCCGTTTTCAGGGCGCGTTTTTGTGTGGGACCTTTTCTCGACCCATGTTTCCCTCCCTTTTCAAGGTATTTTGACATGTTTTTTGTTTTGTCTGGGACATGTCTTTTGACGTCATGGCACATTTCAAGATTCACCTAGCATGTCGTGTTTCGGGGACACCGGCCGGAATGAGAATGAGTACGAAGTAGGTGTGGGTGTGGGTGCCTGAAAATTCCTTGGGTTTGCGAGGGCAAATAATCACGTATCCCGCCATTGTGGGGCACACCTGAGAATTGCCTAGGAGTCGATCTTTCCTAGGCAATCCTTGCCGCTCCTGGTGCTGAATACCTTCCACTGAGCCGTTCTGGCTCCAGCAGATGGATGGGTGGCGCGGCAACTCGGAGGAGAGAGCTTGCGATGCAAACTTGAACGCTTTGTGGTATGTTGGTGTTGTGGTATGTTGGTGGTTGGTCTTTTGGAAGCTAGAAGGAGGGAGCTCCAACTCCGATTCCCGGTCAGTGTCAGACTTTACCATGGCATTCGTGTTTCTTCCCCAAAGCTCCGCCAAGACAAAGCCGCAGCCGCTTCACCATGCCCCGAAAAGATTCAGGGCGAAGCCTGCGCAAACAGCTTTGCGAATCCGGGCAGGCACAAAGAAGCGGACGACAACAGCCAACCACACCAGCAACATAAAGCAAGCAACACGCGCGCCGGCGTTTTCGCCGCTCATGGCATTGGAGGGCGTCGCGAGCCCGGCGCGGCAGGGGGCCAAGGCACAGCTGCTGCAGACGGTGCTGAAGCAGGGCGGCGCCAAGCCTCGGCCCTGGAGACGGTTGGCTCTGCTTTGCTTAGCCTTGTGTCCCTGTGCCCTTTGAACGCTTCCTTCAGCTTCCGGCAAAACCAGTTGGGCCTTGTTTTTTTCTTTTTGTTTTCCTTTTTTTCTCGTTTGTTCTTTTTTTTGCTTTTTTTTTTCTCTTTTTCTCGAGGGTACTTTTCTTTGTCGCGTAGGTTTGAGGGGGGACCAAAAAGGATGGGCATCATCTTTGCGCAGATTTTCTTGCCGCTGCAAAATCGGTCGGGAGAAATGGAATGAACCCAGGAATTGGTCCCCGAATAAAGGGAGACACCGGCTGGATGGTTTATGGACGGGTCATTATGGACGGGTCATTCCATGTCTCATCTGCATCTTTTCATGGGGGCTGGGGGGGAGGGAGGGGAGGGAGAGGGAGCCCCAAAAAACCCTTCTTAAGCCCTTATCAAGACCTTATTCAGGGCGTGGGCTCCCTCCCCTCGCTCCCCAGCCCTCATAATCTCCATGTTGGTGTCAAATGTCAAAATCAAAGCACCAGGACTTGGACCGGTGAAGTCGTCCATGTTTCCATAGGGTTCCTTTTTGGGCCTTTGGGGTTTCCCGATTTTTGATTCACAGCGTCTCATCTGCATCTCTCGCACCGATGGGTCGGATCGATCCATCGATCCGAGCCCACTGGGCCCCGGATCGATCCGAGGTCCGCCGCCGCCCTGCGGCGCTGGGCGCGGGAGGGCCGGCCCTACCGGGGCTTGGTCTTCACTTTGGAGGCTCGGACGGGGTGCGATGGATGGGCCAAGATGGGTGGGCGGGTCCTTTTTTTTGGGGGTACCCGTGGTTTGATGGGGCAAGATAGTCAAGATAGGTGGGATGTGTGTCTTCTTTCTTGGGGGTACACATGATTTGTTTTTCAAGGACACCAAAAGGGAAAACCTCCAAATTTGTGGGGGAAGCCTTAAGAAAGACACAGCCAGGTGGACCCCCCGATATGGGGCGGTGGGCCTTTTTGGTGTTCCGTTGAAGGCAACCTGGAAAGGACACCCTCTTTAAAAAGAACCAATGCCAAAGCCATTTGCGGTTTGGTATATCCTCCCCAACGGAAACTGCGGGTGTCAACATCCCTCAATGACCCGAGACGGTGGTGTCCCACTCCGGATTCAGGATTAGGATCAGGGTTTCTCTCCTTGTGTCAGTATTGGAGTATTGGCTCCCCTAGTTTGCAGGCCTTCCTTTTGGTATGCAAAGCTTTTTAAGCAAGGCGCAAAAGGACAGGATGGTTGTGAACTTCTGGGTGTAAGTCTCTCTGTAGTCAAAACATGGAACCCCGCAAGGATTGGTACTTCCAAGCCCAAGGGCGTTCCGTTCGCGCAGGTATGCTGGTCAGTCGGTGGTTGACTGGTGGGAACAACGAAACCAATTCAGCAAGCAGCTGCAAACAGGAGGTTTCCATGCACCGGCCAGTTGCAGTTGGACTCCAATCATCCATCATGGCTATCATTTGTTTCGAAAGGAGACCTAGGGCAGAGCAGCTTTCCAGAATAGGTGTTGAATCTTTCGGGCAAGTAGGTTGGGAGCGCACCCCTTTGTTGGGATTCCACGTTTATTATTCTCGGGGTTTAGCACAGTGAAGTGGGTGTGATTACTTTGATTAGGGACCTGACCTGTATGGCGCCATGGGGGATTTATGCCCATGCTCTCACCCTTTTTGAGAGGGGGTTCCGCATCAAAATTGGGCTCTAAACAGTCCTTGCTCCAGCTGGTCGATGTTCCTGTTGTTGTAGGTGATTCGGAATGGGAGTAGGGATCCCCCGCAGTTTGAATCACCAAGTGATTTTCATTTCTCCCTGCTCGTGGTTGTTCTCCGCTAAGACGGCTTCGGATGTCCCTTGGTTTCAGCCCGAACAGGCGTCCTCAAACAAAACGACACACCAAAATATAGGGGGGGACCCTTGAGACGCTGGTTTCCCTGTTGGTCCGCCTTTGAAACAAGGAGCCACACCCAAAGACTCCCCCCCCCCCAAAAGATTCTCTCGGTGCCACGCCGGCCAGGAGGTTGAGGCAGCCATTGCGGCAGAGGCGCTTCGCCGAAAATTTGTGTCGCTTCGGTTTGTGGCGCGGTCGACACAAGTCTGGGCCGTGGAGGCTAAGTTGCGAAGCCTTTCTCACTTTTTGGGAGGGGATGGGCCCGCTCCGGGCCGCTTACACCGCCTAAGCCACAAAGTTGGGCGCCCTTTCGTTCCCACTTTTTTTGGTCTTGTGGGTCTGGGTAGGATAGATTTGGGAGGCTTTGGAGTTCAGGATGGAGCTTTCCTTTTTGCGGCGGATGTAAAGGAAAGATCGAGGGAACGCGCTACTTTGGGAATAAATTTGAAGTGGACATCATTGTGGCCATTTGGAAGAACACAATCAACACCCCGGTAAGTGAAATCAGCAAGGGAAAGTCCGAACCACGCATAGGTGAGAATATCCGCCCTCTTGTTTCCGAGTTTGGGTATACCATTTACTCGTTTGGACCAACTAGAAAAACACTTCTACCAGCTGATTTGGAGGATTTCCTTGCAATTGTGTACGTATCCTTTCAGAGACCCTGCTGTTGGGACGCTTTGAAAAGGAAAGTTGCATGAAAGGGCGTCTTGGCTTTGACCCAAAAGCTCGTGAAATCCCCATCGAAGTCACCAGCGAGTTGTTGTTTGGGGTGATGTTAGGAGGCACAAGTTCAAAGACACAGCCCGGCATGGAAAGTCCTTCCGAATTAGAGGCATAGACGGGTGGGAGTTGTCCCATTCCAAGCATCCATCTGCAGTTTTCATCCGGAGTCCAGGTACTGGAAGCCCACGGGGCTGAACATCTAGGTCCACTTTTGGCTAAGCCAAAAGGACACCCAGTTGTAGGGGTCCGAACATTATTTGGCGCACACATCCAGTGCTTCCTATGGGCCCCGCTTTTCGGCGTCGGGACTCCTCCAGATCAAGAACTTTGGATGAGATGTGTTTGTGCTGGATGCCAAGCTTGAAATGCCAGTCTCAGGAAGCACCGTTTGGATTGGTGGTTTGGGGATTGGAAATTGTGGTTCTTGAGGGTTTGTGGGAAACCGCCCTTCGCCAAATCGCAAATCCAAGCCACCAGCTAGAGGGAAGCTGTGATGTGGCCGGCCAACTCAGTGTCAGCATGATCCATTCTACCGCCACAGCTCGTGTTTGTGCTTTTGAGTCTAGCCTTTCCGTTTGGTTTCAAGGGGGGTACCTTCCACGACAACATTTCAATAGCAGCGACAAAAAACAACTCATAACGGTCGTTGGGTTTAAGGGGAAACTGAAAGGAAACTGACCATTTGCGGGGGACCCCCTACTTGAATCTTAGCCACAAGAACCTTAGGTCCGGAGGCTTTCATCCAGTTCTTTGGGGGAGCGCCCCCTCACCCACGGATACGAGTAGAGTCTCCCGTGCCAATCGGATCGCAAAGGGAAAGGCAGTGCCATGCAGACATGTGACCTTCCATGTCCTTGAGAGTCTTGTGTATTTCCCCCCGCTGGTTTTTTAGGGAATCTATCACTACTGGAAATATGTTCGCTTTGCAGGGGAGCTTTTTCGCAGATGGAAGTGTACAGTATATGGTTTTGCCTTGAACATTCGCACGCCCCCTTCAGGCGTTCTAGTGCCGTTCGTCTCAAACCCAATGCCACTCAACAGTGGCATTGGGGCTTTCGTACGCTCCGCCGGCCCTCCAACGGCGCTAGGTGAAGCCCGAGTTGACAGCGGCTAAGCCGGCTCCCTCGACTCAGCCCTCCGCGCCGGAGCCGGAGGCGCGAACTCCAATTTGTGAAGAAAGAGAAAAGTCAAGGGTGGGAGTCCAAAATCGGAGATGCGGCAAAGATGGCCCACTCTTGCAGGGTCGGTTCATAGCCGTTTCCCTCATGAAGACCAAAGTTGACGGCCAACAGCGGCCCAAGGGTTGGAGTGCAGATGTGCCATACTTGAAGCGCAGTATGCCAAAGGAGTTGCGAAGCAAAGCCGACGACACTGCGTCGGTTAATGACGCGTGTGTATGGGAGCCTTTGCTTGAGCGGGCATATTGCGCCTAACGCCCGAGCCAGACTTTTCCCTTGAGATGCATTTCCCCTGGAAGCTCAACCGCGTTGTTTCTGGCGTCAGGGCAAACGCGGGACTGAAGCATCCGCAGATCGAAATCGCTGAATCTGCCGGAAGAGCTGTTTGCTCGATCAGGTTGCTATTTACGGCGGTAGTCGAAAAGGGAACCAGAAGTAGCTGTATTGCAAACGCTTCGCGCTGCTCGCATCGAACAGTATTCTTGTGGTTGGCTTGGAGGTACTGAGTTTTGGGTTTGCCTTGATTCGTTGTTGCTTCTTGAGTGAGTGAGTCGGCGCCGAAATTGTGAGCTGGTTTCCAAGATATATGTGGGTGCGTGTTTGCGCAAAACCCCACGGGGTTGAGAAGAAACTTGAAATGGCTGAGCTGCTTGGGCTGGGCCAGGAATTTGACGGTTTCTGGGGGGGAGAATGGAATTTCAGCGATTTCAAGGGGAGAATTTGACCGGCTTCCCGGCCCTGGCCGAGGCGAACTCAGGCCCCGAACTTGGAATGTTGAACCTTTATTTTAGATTGTGAGGAGTTTTTGACCTAGCTGGACTGTGGTGGGATACTTGAAAACCAATTTTGGTTGTCTCAGTCATGACCATACAACAGCAATTGGGCGTGAATTTTAGCGGGGCTCCCGTTGGTGGACATCATCTGGGGATTCAAAAGTCCAACGACTTTCAGGGGTTCCCCCATTCGAGTCCCGTACATTTTCTTAACGCTTCGGCCCCCCAAATCCCAAATGCGCATGGGTGCATGTTCGGTTCTGGGTTCTTTAATCACCTTCCGCGCAGCAACGGGATTGCACATGCGGTCCACCTTGGGGGCAATCCCCTTGGAGCGAAGGTGGATTTCTTTTTCCGCACGATCCAAAAGAGAGTGAGACCCCCTTCCCCCCCCCTTTTCCCGTGGTCTGGACGTTTTGTCCTGTCTCTCTCTCTCTTTCAGTCTCTTGCTTAGCCACGGTGCCTCCAAAACAACCCATGAGTTGTTCAAACATGTGCTGCAGGTTGCCAGCTTTTGTGAGTCGCTCGGCACCCCTTCAAAGTGATGAAGTGATGGTGATGGGAATCCCGGAATCTCTCTTTGGTATCTCAGAAAGGATGATTTGCCTGGCTCCAAAGTGACATCCGCAACGATACCTTCCGTTGAAAGCGAACGACCAGCTTGACAACCTGTTGAAATCTCCGTGAAAGCGAACGACAAGGTTGAGAACCTACTGTTGTTGACATACAACCACTTGAAGGATGCTGAGACAACCCCCTGGATGTGTCTTCCAAACGGCGGCAGGGCGTCAGAGCGGCCCAAGCGGAGGACGGCAAGGACGGGCGTGGTGATTTTGCCTTCCAAATATCCCGTATGGATATTTTTTTTTTATTTTTTATTTTTTTTAAATATATATATATATATATTATTTCGAGGGCACTTTTTTTTTGGGTTGTTTTGACGGGAGCCGAAAGGGGACACCGCTTGTTTTGGCGCTCTTTGCTGGGCTGGGGAGCGCCTGTGTAAGGCTTCGTCCAATGGGAGAGCCGAAGTTTGATCGGTATGCAGAACGAATTCTAGATCTTTGTGCTGCATGGTCAACCTTGACGAGCACCGACATCTCATGGCAGTTGGCATTTTGAGTATATGGCCCTAGACAAAGGCCTGAATGTGTCAAATGAGTGGTCCTTCAACCCTCCGATTGGCGGGCTAGCATTGGTTTGCCTTGCACAATCAAGAAACCTATCGCACATTCCTGGATTCTCAAAGCTAGGGTGGTGGTTTTCTGCAGATTTCCTTCAACGCCCTGCCCCCCCCCCCCCCCAAAAAAAAAAAAACAAGGAAGAAGAAACCAAAACGAAAGGTGTCCCAATTTTGTGACGCCTACTGGCTGTCCGGTTCCCTTTGCCAGGGGGCTACTGCTGGCTTGACCGCTGCTCGGCTGCGGAGCTTTGGGATTGAAACATTCAGGATTCCCTCCCGAACGATTGGGAGATGCCCAATCATAGGTGTCCTTTTTGGTTGTTTTGGTAGAAAAATAGAGGGGTTCCGTTTCCTGGTTTACCTGGTGGCTTAATAATCTACCAGGGAAACCCATCTATTTCCCCTAAAAGAACACCTATGTGCCCAGTGCGTTCTGTCCGCCAAATCCCCACACCCAACGAAGCATAAGCAAGGTCCTTTCTTCGGACCAGGGTATCCCCAAATTGGCTGGTTTTCTTTTGGCTTCCCTTTAAATCCAGCCAAAAGAGGGTTCCCCAAAAAAAGACACACATACTTCCAGGTGCACCACAGGACATCTATGTGTACGGCACCCTTCAACTCAGTTAGCACCCTTGTAAGGCCACCCTTCCTCAAGTTGAGCGGCCTGCGGTATTTTGTTTGAATGCGAAACCAGTAGGGGATGGTTTTTTTTTCAGATGCAGTTCACACCATACTATGTACTGAGACTGCTGGAAAGATCCGGCTAGCTGCCTTTTGCGGGCCCTGTCCTTTTCTTGCTTGTCCAGCGCGTTTTTTTTTTTTTTTTTTTTTAAATTAACTTGGGACATCGGTGCTGTTGTGTGGCCTTTTTGAAGTTGGTTAAACACATTAAGGTGGTTCCATGTCCTGTTTACCATATTGTGGAAGTGTCACAATGGGCTATTGTCAATGGACGCTTCATCCTCCAGACGTTTGCGCACGTTCTCAAAGGTTATGCGCTGCTTGCCGCTTTCTTGTTGCGGATTCGACTTCCTGCACATATGTGTATGTGTGAATGGTGCAATCATTGGGGGAAATGGGTGCTGTTGTGCAGCCTTTTTGAAGTTGGTTAAACCCACTACGGTGGTTCCATGAAAATAGGGAGGCTCCACGGTGTTTTTTCCGGTTGGTTTCTCCCTTTAGGCAAGCGAAGGCTCGAGTCCTCGAGGCCACCCTCCGCTGCGAGCCCTGGCCCCCGGACTTCCTGCCCACTTCGGTGGCCGCGGCGCTGCGCGTTGTGGGGGACGCTGGTGTCGGCGCGGCGATTCGGTCGAGTCGGTCGATGGATGGGAGGGGGGTCGAGTTGGAGGGGTGGAGGGGTTGGAGGGGGTGGAGGGGGTGGAGGGGGTGGAGGGGGTGGAGGAGGTGGAGGGGGTGGAGGGCGGGGGGGGGTTTGAGCGGTGCCCGCACACACAGGAAGGCTTCCCTGGTAGGCATAGTTCCGCCCATGAAGCAGCATCTTCCCCGTTTGAAAGGATCCTTCTGCGAAAAGTTGCCGGAACAACCTGGAAGAATGCGGTGGGGATCTACCCTCAGAACCCAGGGTTTGCTTTGCGTTTCTGAAGCTCTCACGTCAAACCCACACGGCCGCCCGACCTTTCTGGCCCATGAAAGGCTTTGGAAGACTCCTCTACTGTTGAACCCTTCCACTTGCAAGGTTGTTGGAAAGAGGGTAGAATGCAAGGGTCATGCCAGTTGACCGCTCCCACTGACCCTAAGTCGCCTCCAAGCCCAAGCTGTCGCGTTCCAGCGGGGTATCCGATCGGTTCCGTCCAGATGGCGGAAAAACACGGAATCAGCCACCAGAAAACACCCAGACAACGCGCCCGATTTCTCGATGCCCGACGCCCTTTTGGGGAAACAAGTCATTTTGACCTTGGCGCAGGTGTCGTTTCTTGGTTTACACACGATGTGAGTCCCCTTGGCGTAAAAAGCCTCTTCTTGGGTCCTCGCAAGGATATTTTTCTGAACAAGCTGTTTGATAGAGTTTAGGTTTTATGTCAATCTGCGCGAATGTTTCTGGGGAGGAGTATAATATACTACATGTATACACATAGATGGGCAACGGTCAATAGTTGCTGTGATGTGTGATAATGAAATAGGGGCTGCATTCACCTTTTTTTACAGTGCGGAAAGGTGGGAGGGGTTTCGTATGTAGATCATGACAGGGCCGTTCTCCGTTCCCCCCCATAGCACCGGTACAAATTTGCGCTTGGTTTAGTATTCCGAGTTTCCAGGTTTCCATGGCATGAGCTGCCCACTGTGTGCAGAGACGCGGAAGGCGGAAGAGATGCGGGGCCGCCTCTTCCTCCAGGTTTCAACCGAAACCCTTGACCGAGAACCGGTGGTAGAGGAGACGTTTTTTTTTGCACAACGTCTATATGTGCATGCGTATATATATATATATATGCTACCCCCCCTCCAAAAGCCTACAACATCTTTTTCGTCAGTGTCTTGAGGTTCAATATTCTCCAGACATGTTTCTTCTGTATCTTCAATGATGAATCTTGAGAAGCGTGACTTTAATGCCACGTTGAGGCAACTTTTCCCAAGCACCCGATTTCCAGCTTTTGAATCTCGAATCTGATCCACTTGTAGTAAGTGATTGGCAGCTCTAGCTCAAAAAAGCACAACTTTTCAGGACACGAGTAGTGCAAAGTACACTTTGGCAGCTTCAACGTGCCTGGAACAATTCTTATCATTTTTTGTTTTGTTTTATCATTCAGTCAAAAGCAGCAAGCTTCGATTTTGGAAAATAATTCATTCCTATCTAAACTGCTATTCCAATTCAAGCGACGCTCCATGTCCTTGCACACTTCCATGTGCGTTCGAATTCAACACTGATATAAATTACATTTGGAAAGCAACTCCTACCGAATTGATGTGTTGTTTATCTGGCTTGTTTGATTCTAGAACACAGTTAGAACAGTTTTTGAACATCAAACATAGTACCAAACACCATGCTGTTTCACGTTCAAACTAAATTCTGCTTTAAGCAGCTGCATTTCGCTGTGCATTCAAAGAACAACTGGACATTTGTTCAATCAACATGCATCTGCTCCTTGACAAACAAATCAATAAGATGCGGTATTTTCAGCATGTGTCAGATCATCGTTCCCCGCAAACGACAGGCCAAGCGCATGTGGTCAAGCTGGGCACCTACTAGTTACTAGAGCGAACATGAAGGGCACAAACCGCAAAGTTTCTGGACACAAAGAAAAGTTGTTTTGAGCTTTCAAATTCGAGATTGCACACAAAAGCATCCTGGGAGTTGTGATTTCAATCCACTCCAAAAAGATGAAAGTGGCTCAAACAAGTCACACATGTCCAAGGCACTCTGCTTGGTTCGCAGATTGCTGCGCAACACTAGCGAAATGTTGCGCACCATTTCCGCTGAACGAAGAAACCAAGAAAGGAAGAACCGCAAAAACAGAGCAACGCCTACAAGCCGTTTTTGGGGGTGTGTTGGTTGGTTTGTCAAATGTTGGGTAAAATGCTGCGCAACATTTGGGAACTCTTGTGCCACATTTCCCTGGACCAAAAATCCGAAGAAACAAAAACCCCAAAAGCCAAACAACCAAAAGCACCGGAGAAAAAAGCAAGACCTTTTGTTCTGTTATTGGTTGGTTTTCCAAATGTTGGCCAACATGTTGAGTGCGTTTGGGCAATGTTGCGCAATATTTTCCAGTAGACCCAAAGAACAACGAAGAACCAAAGCCAAACTTTCCGGCCATGGTGGCAGTGGGGGTAGGATTATTTTTGGTTATTGGTGTGTGTTCTGTGTTTTTGTGGTTGGTTTTCCAAATTCTGGCCAAACTGCTCCTCATCATGTGGGAGATGTTGCTCACCACTTCCACTAGACCAGAGAAGCAAAAAGCAGAAGAACCAACAAAAACACAAACACAACTTTCCAGACATGGTGGCGGAAGGGTTGTGTTTTGTTTGGTGGTTGTTTAGTAGGTTTGCCAAATGTTGGCCAACATGTTGCGTAAGATTTGGGCATGTTGCACAAATGTCCACTGGACCAAAATTAGACAACAAATCCGAAAAGACCAAACAAAAACAAAACCAATCCTACACATTTCCATGGCTGGAAATGTGGTGAATGTTGCGCAAGAACACAAGTTGAAGCCGCAAAAAATTACTTACTGATGGCTTTAGTGGGGAGTAGGAGTAGGGCCAAATACGAGAAATGTTCTTGTTTAGTTGGTTTTGGCTTGATGGTTTTTAGTGGGGAGTACGGCCCACTGCCAGACATACGATTTTTTGGATATTGTAGTTTTTTTGTTAGGGGTTGAGTACCATGCATACATACATACACACCCATACATACGTGGCATTATGTTCCGTTGCGATACGTTGTATTACATGCATGCATACATACATACATACCTGCATATGATATGAGAGATTACACATACACAGTTGCATGCATATGTACTGAGAGTTTGCATACATGCATTCACGCATGCATACCCGCCTACCTGCATACACATACATAGATGCCCACCTACCTAGCTACATACATACGTGCATGCATACATACATGCCCTTATGTGTTGCTATTTGTTTGTTCGGTTTGTAACGTCCCATCAGTTTGACTTGAGCTGATGGTAGGCCACAGCACGATCACGAGCTCGACCTGCACGGACCTTCTCAAGAGCCTCTACGAGGCACGGGCCGTTGGGTCGACGGGTACGGGGAAGGTAGGCGTCTATGGATCCTACCCACCGCAGGAATTTCAATAGGAAATTTGCCAACCACCCACCAATAAAAAGGATTTTAGGTAGAATCTCGTGCATTTGGTCTCTTAGAACCCACCCAAGATGAAGATACCCCACACATGAACCTTTTTTTTAAGTAAGGATGCGGTTTGGAGACTTGGGTCCTGGATGGGCCCTGTACCCACGTACCACTGCTTTTGGGTTTGGGACATTTGGAGTAGGACTGTGCAAGTGATACCATCGTGGAGCAATCCCTTCGGAGCACAGATGAACAAGTTAGTCTCCAGATTTGTTGGCGCTGGAAAGGCTTGAGAACTAGATTGTCTTCAAAAAAAGAGTCAACATCGTGCCGCGGGTTGTTTTTTTTGGGGCAAAAACTCTGATAGATGCTGGGCGGAGCGGCCTTTGGTATCTTTTTGACCCTCACATGCTGTTTCAGCTGGCCTTCCCCAGGAGCGACCTCTATCCAGACACTTTTGGATTTTCGAAACCATTCTGCCGAAGGGAAATTACATTCCATCCGGAAGGTGGCTCTTTTGAACATGTTCTTCGTACAGCTTTGCCTCAAAATCGCAGGATTCAAGTAGTTGCAGTTGAAATCATTTAGGCTGAGCTTCTGGGCTGGAGGGTTTTGAGGGCTCGCCCCAAAGGCCCTAAGCCTTGGAGCGCGGGGCGGGCTTGGGCCCTTTGACCCACTCCGTCAGGGCCCCAAGGGAGCGCGGTACCCCGACCTGGTGCTTGCGGTGGGTCCGGCGGTGCGCATCGGCGCGCACAAGGCTGGTCTCCTGGGCTCCCCAAAAAGAATGGGGATGGAACTACAAAATGAGATGAAACTAAATGGGAAGCCAAAAATAATGGGGATGGAAACTAAAGAAAATGCTTTTTTGCTACTAGATGGGATGAACCTTGGCTGGTTTTGCAGACCCCTTGGTTGGTTGGTTTTTGCCAGTTTCTACTGGACTTTTTTTTTTCTCTTTTCTGAGCTACCCTTTTTGCCTTCGTTTGAAGGGAAACCATAAAGCACCCGTTCTGGGGGTTTCCCTGATTCTCAAAAACATCCGGTTTGCCTTTGCGGTTCATTCCCTCATGGCCATAGCTTGACGTGGTCTTAAAGTCCCCCACCCCATTCTAGTTATGTTGTCCATAGTACCGTTCTGAAGCAACAATCAGCTCATTTTATGGCGGGCTGTAGAGGTAACGTGTTCTTCGCCGGCAGGGGTTTGCCTAACTGAAACTGGGGGCAGCGACATGTATATATATATATATGTTTTTTGGCAAATTCGACAAAGTTTCCCTTTCAAGGCACACCAAGAAGACTACCCTCAAACACAGCCCCAAATCTAGCGGTATGTTCGGCCAGGAACATATCGACTAGAGGAACCTTCTTTCGGGGGCACGGTACTTGGGCTGAGAAACCCCGGACGGACCGCCTTTCACGGAAATTAGAAGCTCCCAAAGGGTGGCTGACATTCTCTATACTTTTAGGGGGTGTCCTCGGAAATCTATGTTACATTCTTGGGTCGACTGAATATGACACGTCTCAAGGCACTTTCTGTGTGTGCCACCTGTGGGACAAGTTCTAGGGAACCCTTTTTTCCAAAAGGGGGTCGCCTTTCGGGGTTCGTTGGGCGACCATTGTCAATAATCACCTGATAGTTATTTGGATCTTTGGGACTTGAACAACTTTTTGCGAACCAGTGGATTGTCCATTGCAGAGGGGTCAACAGCAAAGAAGATGCGGCTGTGGGTCAAAACCAATGGGACCATTTTGGGGTAGGTGCACCACCCATTTTAGTCTATTTTAGTGGGGATTGGGATGTTCACTGGGGGTACGGGATTTTGCCCCATGGCCACATGTTGGCCATACAACAGCACTCGGAAGTCTCCGCTGTGGCTGACGTGGCACAAAGCAAAAACGTGTGAGGCGATCCTGTCTGGCTGGTCGAACTTCTTCCAAGCGAAGCATCTCGGCAGCTGGCGCTTGACCTGTTGGGATCCCACGCAATGTTGACCCAGGATTAATAAAGTCGTCCCATTATTAGGGGGGTGTTCCCTCCAAAAGTGATGAATCCCCACTAAAAAGGGGACACCCCCCTATTAATCAACCAGGGGTTTATTAATCTCGGGTTAACATGATTTTTGATGTGGGTCCCAAAGTTGCGGGAAACACGCAGACGCACACTCAGTACTTCATGAGATCCATGCAATCCTGGGTGAGGTGAGATGGACAGGGGTACCTGGTGGTCTACTGTTACTGTTTGATTTTGGGCAGGACGAGAAGGGGCGAATGTTCCATCTCATGGCACGTGGGAATGCGTGAACATGAGGGACCGCTCAAAACAGTGTCCGCAGCTCTCAACCAACGAGGAGGACCCTGGTATCACGTAGCCATACCCAATGAGATCTGTTGGGCATTTTGTTGGTGCCAGTTGTTGGTGTATGGAAAGTGGGAAGGGGGCCCTTCCCACATCTACCTTCAGTGGGCGATTCCCACAGTTCCTCCACAGCTTTTCGAGCTGGCCTGCTTGATTTGCTATATCGTGAAAGTCAATCAAGCAAGTCTCGCTTCCTGAGTTTATGCACTTGATGCTTTTTGGGTTTGGACCATCTGGCAAGCAAACAGTTGCAGACCTTTGGTTCATCCACTCGATCGGCTTTCGGAGGTTCGCCAGCGCCTTCGGGGACGCCGGGGAGGCGGTCTTAGACCTCACGTCCCAAAGCCCGGACGCGGCTCGGAGGGCGACAGGGGATTCTTCCATGTGATGAAATGTATACATGAGCCCAACCCGGGTAGATGAAGGTTAGTAAGGGGCAGTGCCAGCCAGAAATAGTCGCGGATATTCGCCTTCTCAATTATTTACATGAGCACCGGGTTTTGATTGTGGCTCACATGTTTCTAAATTGAGCACCTGTGGGTGTTTAAGGGAATCCATCACCACTGGACAGATTTTCGCGCTGTTTCGCCAGGGGACGTCTCCGTAAGCTCCTTCGGGTCCGGTGCGACTTCTGGCGGTTCTGGCGCGCTCTTTCGCTTGCCCCAGGCCGAAAGAACAACATGGATGTCAAACCAAGACATCCGAAGAGGGGAAGCTTGACAACAGAAAAAAAGGAAACGCAGAAAAGAGGGGGGGCTTGGGACTCCACTGACCCAAGCTCTCTTGGTCCAAACCAGGGTTGTGGGATCACAAGGGGTTTATCCCCGCTTCTGCGACACAAGGGGATCTCCCCCTTTATATGGGGGTTAGTCTTTGGGGTTAGGCCCTTTTGGTTGTATCACAGAAGTGGATTCCATTTCCCACAACCCTGGTTCGAAGTGGATGCGAGGTGGTGCGGGCCATGGTGGAGCTGATGTACCTCGGGCGCTGCGAGGTGCTGCCGGCGCATCTGCCGGAACTGGTGGTGCCAGAGACGGAAAACATCTCGGGGGAGTCGGAGGAGTCGTTTTTTTTTTTTTTTGTCTTTATTTTGTTTTTTGTTTTACTTCTCTTGTTTGTTCGTTCCTTTTTTCCTTTGTTATCTTTGATTTTTTTGCCTGGTCGAATGAACCTGGGATCCTTCTTGCTGTTCTTTGCTTTTTTGAGCGAGCTGAAGGTTTCACCATGTATTATGATCATGAGGGGTTCTCAAAGACAGGAATCGGTCCCCTAGCTTGTGCCCACAAGCTGTCCGTAGGGACTGCAAGCCAAACAACCAACCAGCCTAAACGCTTCAAACAATGGGCCAAACTCTGGAAAACGGTTGGTTTCCTGGTCTTTCCCTTTGAATGCCAACAAAAAAAACCGCCAGGGCCGTCCAGCATTTGAGAGGTTATCGGGCAAAAAATACCCAAAGGCTTTTTTGGGTAGCCCCGCGCGTGTGCGAAAGCCGGCTTCTTGTGTTGCCATCAGGGGAAGTCCTTTTTCCAGTGGACGGCTTGAACATTTATCCCTTTCCTGACTTTGAGAAGCCAGAGTCTGAGTTAAAAAGCAATTCGCCGAGGTACCAACCCCGAGGGGCCCCGGCACCCTTAGCCCACAAGGGTTGTTCACGGCCGACTTTTACGGGCTGGTTTGAAAAGAAAGCGAGAAGGGCACCGACCAGTTTGGTCTTCCCAGGTTTGATCCACACCCATCGTCTTTGCCAAAAGCGCCGACCCTGGAAGTTAGCATATCATTTGTATTTCAGGCGTGAATTTCATATTTTGGCACAGATCCGATGATCCGAATGCTGCCCCCCCCTTTGTGCGCGGACAATCAACTCGTGATTCAGATTCGCTTGCGACTAGCTGTGAGTGTTGCGAATCTGTGGTGCCGACAAAAGAAGGCGCGTTGGATTTCAACGGGGCCTGGGTCTAGACAGAGGCAGTGCTGGGGCTGGGTTAGGCCACACCGAACAGGGTTTTCTGGTTTAGGGTTACGGACTAAGTCCCCTCCACCTTCGGGGCACTCCATTTTTATCCCCAGATGCTGCACCTGTAATCTGAACACTTGTCACATCTTCCCTTTCCCTCTCTTTTCTTCTCGTTTTTTCTCTTCTCTTGTCCTTTCTCCTCTTCCTTCTTCTTTTCTTCTCCTTCCTCTCTCATCTGCTTTGAAACGACTGCTAGCCTTCACTAGGCGCCGGCACTACGGAAGTTTCTTCCAGACTTCCCTTGACTATTCCATGTGTCTCCATTGAGCGACATGCAGATGGCGTCACGGCACGGCACGAGGTGCTGGCGGACTTTTGGCAAGCGCCGCTGCTGGCCGAAGCGGCCCGGAAGTACTGGCGCCGCGGCCGAGCCTTTGGAAGGGGCCTTTGGAAGGGGCCTCTCATCATGTCTTCGGTGCATTTTGCCACGGGCGTTTTTGGGACTTTGGCTTTTTGCCAACGAATGGGATTCCACTAAACCACCAAAAGTTGAAGACTTTTCGCAGGGGAGCAGCTTTCGCCACCGAGATGTGGATCACGGGACTTGATGCGCAAGCTTGGCCCGTATCCGGCTGTATCTCAGTGGACGCATGTGACGACCTGCTCATGGCATTGCGACAGCTTACGGATCCCTGCTCCGATCGGTGGGTGGGTGTTTGAGCTTTTTTTCCGGCATTTGAACTCTTCTAGCTGACAGGCAACTCCGGCTTCTCGCGGGGTTAACATTGTGGGGTGCGGTACTTCACCTTGTTCAATGATCATAGGAAAATAGCATATGAAATTATTAATATAATACATATGCTCACCCCCCCCGGCAGGGCCTACCTTTCCACTTCAAAATGGACCAAATCCTCTTATTTTAAAGACCGGGGGTGTGAGCACATATACGCAAGAAGTGTGCTGTTGTTGCATATTTTGTGGCTGACAAGTCTGTTGAGGAACAACAGCGAAGAGTTTATAAGCTTTCAGGAAAGTTTAAAACTATGTCAAGGGTTTAACGCCTGCAACAAGGCAACACCTGGGCACTTGGGGAGGTTGAGAAGTCTGGGACAGGGGGAGGGAGGGGGGAGGGGGGGGAGAAGTCTTTATCAAAGTTGGTTGACCTCACTGCTGAGACTTCCAAGCACCCCCCCCATTCCCCCCCCTCCCTCCCCCCCCCTTTCAAGGATACCAGAACCATGAAGACTTCCCAGGGTGTTGCCTTGTTGCAGGAAAACGCCAAACACCCAAAAAGGTTTATAAACTTTCCTGCAAGTTTATAAACCTTACGTAGGCTTACTGCGTAGCAAATGGATACTATTGTTTGGGGAAAACATGTTGTTTGGGAACAGAACCAATCTTCGGTCCAAGGGCTCAGATTTCTGCAAAACACCGCGTTTTTTCCAGCATTTTGCTGGACCTCCAATCCCTTGACATTTCCATTTTGGAACACCTAACACCTAGAATCTGGAGATCAGAATCCTCGAAATGTCTAATCTTGGATTCTCCAAGCCTCATAATTTGGAGCATGGAGTCCTCCAACATGAATTCCTTTCCAAAAATGATTTTACTCCGAATTGAATTGGATGTTGAGGGGGGCAAAATGTTGTTTGGGAAAAGAAACATCTTCTGCGTTTTACAGCATTTTGTCGGACCTCCAATCCCTTGAAATGTCCATGGTGAAGCACCTGAAACCTAGAATCTGGAGATCAAAATCCTCCAAATTTTTGGATTCTCCAAGCCTCATAAGGAGCTGGGAGTCCTCCAACATGTCCAAATATACATTCCTTTCCAAATACGATTTTGCTCCGAATTGAATTTGCACATTGACTAGAAATTAGTAGGCACATAGTTCACCACAATTCATACTTCACCATATAATGTCTATATTCAATCAGAATTTGAATAGGAATACCTTTCCAAATAAGGAAAATTAACGTTTCAGTAGAGCTTAAATACACTTTAATGCAGACAGAATTCAATTGGAACATAAGAAATTACTCAAGAATCCCTTCCCAAATATGACTTAACTTGGAATAGAGCTTATTCTGGAAAGAATTCACTTGGCCTTTGTAAACAAATTTTAATAGCAACTCATTCCCAAATATGATTGAGATTAAATGTGGCTAAACAAATACTGGGCAAATATCCCCGGACTCCCAAAATTGATCTGGAGATGCGTTTGGCATGTGCAAATCTCAGAGCTTTCATTTTCAGGAGATTTTGTGCTTTCGGGTCTGTGCAGGTTGCAGAGCTCAAAGCTGCAAAAAACATCATTTTGTCAATGTGTTTTCCCTTGTGTACTCAAAACCACTCTAAAAAACCAGTGTTTTCAAACAAAGCCAGACTCGAATCTGAAAACGGATTCCGTTTTCGCTTTGTTGCCTTTGAAGCGTAAACAAAGGAAGCATTTGCTGTCATATAGAAGGCAAAACACCAACAAAAACACTATATTTCACAGTGTTTTCAGGCATCTGCAAGAACGAGGCACACGGAGTAGACTTGACACCTTCAACTAGAAGAGAAGGAAAGGTAGGCCCTGGGGGGGGTGACCATATATATATATATACATTCCCTTATTTTGGTTCTTTGAAAGCTCGGCGAGGCATATGCTGCCGATCGTCCACCAGCTCGAGGCTCCGGGCAGACGGGGGGGAAGTTTCGTTCGACGCGTTACCACCGGAATGGGCTGCTGTCATGCGTGGAACATGCCCGTAACCCTCGGGCGTTTTTTGAGAGTTTGATTGATGCCAGGTGTACTCCTTCCCCTTTGAACATGTTCTTTGATTTTTTGTGGGGGGTTGCCGGGGTTGCACAAAATCCCAATTGATGGCTGTTGTTTCACCAAGCTGAAACTTGCAGCGTACTCGAGAAGTGCCAACCCGTCCACCTTTCGGGGCAAGGTACATCCTTGCCCTTGACTATGGTAGTACAGATTGAAATGCCCTCCCTCAGTCTAACATGCAAGCTTTCCAGGGCCCTTTGACTGGGTACCTTGTAACTTCCATGTTACGAGGGAAGGTTGAGGGTTGAGCATTGAGCAAGCACGTCACGGGGGTGCTTCCGAATTCGGGAATCTCCCTCTCCAGGTTTCGGTATCCTTCGAGCTTTGCCAAAAGACGAAGGTGCCAAAGGTTTCCTTGGGGGCTTCCCGGTGCCTGTTGCGAAGCATCGCCCGAACTCCCAAATGGGACGTGAGGTGCTGTCCAACCTGGACGAGAACTCAGCGGTGCCGCAGGCCATGGTGGGCTTCTCGACCCGAGAAATATGTGGTTCGGTTTTCGGCTTTTGGTGTGGGCCCAAGTCCTTTGAACAGAAATGGCTGTGGTCAACACCGTTTTGGGATCCCAGTTTTGGGGGGTTTTTGGTGAATCCACCACCCATTTTGGAACCTATTTTAGTGGTTGGATTGGGATGTTCACTGGGGGTACGATTTGGATTTTGACCCATGGCCAAATGCCCGAGAAGGCCGCCCAGAACCCCGGGCTTTGCCAGGGACGGTGAGGCCTGGTAGGCAAGGCCCTGCCCAACCAACCCACCAACCAACCGAACAGAAATACCACGACCGTCCGGCCAGTTTGGGTTGGAAGGTTCCCACCAGCTAAAAGCCAAGTGGGAGCCCAACAGTTATAGACCTCTGATTGACGAGGGGTGTGCTCCTCTTCGGCTTGTCGGTTCTGAGATACATCCAGGGACATGGGGAACCGTGACATTGCCAAGGGCCACCATGCTGACTTTCCTTAAGGGCTTCCAGCATTTCTTGGGCCCCTGGATTGAAGCCCAACCCACAGGCTGGCTGTTCTAAACTACTTTTCCAGAGGATTGTCGCAAGGAGGGGTTCCAGGGCAAGAGGCAAGATAAGCTCAATGAGGCTGGCAGAAGAGTAGATGTTACATCACCGCCACCGAAGGAACCTCACCTTACAGGGGTCCAACGGTGATGTTGAAATCCACCCACAAGGGACATTTAGGGACCCCCACCCTACCCCACCCCACCCCACCCCACCCCACCCCACCCCACCCCACCCCACCCCACCCCACCCCACCCCACCCCACCCCACCCCACCCCACCCCACCCCACCCCACCCCACCCCACCCCACCCCACCCCACCCCACACCCCTGCCTCCCTAGAATTTCCGAGGCGCCCTGGTGGATTCCCTCAGTGGCAGCTTCAACAACGCCACCCAGCACCTGCAGAGGGGCACGGCGTCCGCCTGTGCCTTGGCCCACCAGCGGTTTTTTTTCCATCGTTATGAGTTACGCTCTGGATAACCGCCGGGATGGTTGGATCAGGACGAGATGGCTGTGGGTCAAAATTAGGCGCCCAACATGGAATCCTGGTAAGTGGAAACATGCCCATCCCCAGATAGGTGCCAAATGGAAAAAACAAAGATCAAGTCATGCCACGAGAAGAAGGGTGGGGCGTTCCTCATGCAATGTCAGTTGGGGACGCACACAGTGACCACGGCTCGGGACGGTGTGCTGATGTCTCGGGTGCCCAAAAAAGGAGCTTTAGGCTTGGAGGCGTTGGAGGCATATCCCGGGTCAAGGCTTGGCGTAAGATTTTTGACATCTCCTAGCGCACTTTGCTCAACTGATGGTAGAACATGGGGAATACATCCTTGGGAAAAAGGGCTGAACATTGAGCAAGTCCAGGAGTGTGGTTTGGGGAAACCTGGTGCCTCTTTTGCTTGGCGCTTTCCCCAGCGTCAAGCCCGCAGACGGGGTCGTCCTTTGGCCACCCCTTGCTTTCAAGGATCCCACCTGGCCGAAAAACATCTCGCATCGTAAAGGCTTTGGCGGCTTTGGGTGCTCCTCTCCCCTTTTTGGCCCCTGCCAGCTTGTGGTACCAAAGCGGGTCCCGAAGTTTGCCTTCTGAGGCTGGAGGCTGTTGGGTGAGCTGCACACCTGGCTGCAGCACACCCCTTCTGTGCCTTTGGGGAACCTGAGGGGCTGGCTGAGCCTGGAGGAGGACCAAGGTTTGTCAATCCGACTTATTTTTGGTCCCGAAGGGTCCGAAGGGGAGCTGACAAATGTCAGCCTGGAGAAGAACCAATTTTCCCTGGTGCGACGTTTTATGAGCCTTCGCTTGCGGCGCTTTGATGGCAGCTCCCGGGCTGACGGGGTGTCATGGATTCAGCTAAAGCCCTGGGCAAGGGTGTTTCTCTGGTGCCTGGACTATCAAGCCACTTTTTTGGAGTATGATCTGTTTTGGTGGCAACCAACAAGTCTGCAGTTTTGCCAAATGAGGAAATGAGTCTGTGATTCTCACAACTTTGTGGCCATTCGAAAACGACACCCGCATACAACCACCAAGGCGCTCGATGGCTCCTTGGCGCACGTGCTCATTCCTGAAAGCCAGCCTGGGTGTAAATCTATCTCGGGACCCTTTGGACATCAGAAAGACCAGGACAACAGAAGTTTGCAATGCGGCAAAACTGCAACACCCTGACCTCTAAATTTTGGTCAACCCTGATGGAAGGACATATTTGCTGAGATCTCAGCCCTGTGAGGATGAGCTGAGCATTGCAGTAGAGAGGTTCGTGTTGGCCGCGATCAAGGCCATGGAACATGTGGCACGGGATCGGATGTGAAGATGCCGACCTTTGGGAGGGGGTTTGACCCTAGAATTCCATTTGTGTGTGTTTGTGTGTGTAGACGTGTAGAGGAAGCCCTTCTCAGGTAGGTTTGAAGGGAAGCCAGAAGGAAGACCACATTTTTTGGCATCATGAGTAGTACCGGGCTGCCCAAGCGAAGAGCAACGTTGCCAGAAACTCGCTACGGTGATCTCTGCCAAGTCATCCGATTTTATTTGGCGGGGGCCATGCTTCGCCTGACCGTTTGTGTACACCTATCGCCTGTGCGCATGTTGCTGCTTGCATATTGGATGATTGGATGAGTGTCAGAAGACCTCTTTGCCCCATACCCCCCACAGCTTCATGCCCACGGTTTGGTCAACATCATGCTTAGTAACCCATAAGGCAGCACCAAAACGGCATGTCACCCATGGCTCCGCAAGAGTCGTCAGGGCATGCCGCCATCGAGTGGAGAGCTTCGGTCAATTGAAGAGCGAAGCCAGGAGCAGACTGTGACCAACCTTTGCCTTCAGAAGGCTCCCAACTGGACCTCCCTGAATTAAAAGATGCTGAGAACAGCCTTTGCAAGCGACCAAGTGGCAGAAAGCCACATCAACAACACGCCTTCTCATGACCTGCTCACTGCCTTCCACCTGGTTCAGCGGCCAAACATAGAGAGGGGTTGGTTGGGCGGCAACCGCCGGCGAGGCGCCTTTTCACGTGCTGGTTCTCAGACACTCTAATGCATTCTTTGTGTTTTCCTTCAAGGCTCGGTTGTTTTGCTTTTGCAATCCGCAAACATGGAGAGGGATGGGTGGGTTCGGGGCTTGGTCGTTTCTCTTTGGCAATCCTTCATCCTTTGGTTTCTTCACCGGAGGCAGCGGACGAGTTGACGAAGCAGCAGCTTCTTTCGAGGCGGAGCTTGAAGACATGGCTTCCAGAGCCCATGCTGCGGCGTATTGCGCCTTGCACGGAGACATTCTCCCGACAGCTTCCGAGGGATCCTTGTGAGTCTTTTTCGACTTGAAGAAGGAGTCTGCCCTTTGGGTATGTTGGGGATCACTGTCCACGGGTTGCTTTTGATTGCTTGGATTGCCCTATCTTTGCCTTTCTGGCATTTGTAGCAGCACCATCTGCTGCGAATGGCTGCGCAAACCGATCTTTGCACCTCGAGATGCCATCGCGGCATTTGCCTAGAGAACTGCAGGCTGCCTCGTTCAGTCCACGCTTTTGTTGTTTCAAGATTTGTCTATACTTTTACTCACGTCCATTTCGTCAATGTTGGGGCTCCGAGTTTGAAATCCTGCTCATGTTTGGGTGGCCACCCATTTAGCATAATTATGGCGACTCAGCCTGCCAAGCCTTGGAAGGTACGGGAAAGCCAGGAATGCCCCGTTTTCTTCTTGGGAGGTTCTCACAACATTCGGCTTGCCCCAAAATTGGGGGAGTGTAATCGTTGAACCCCAAGGGGTTGCCACCCAAAGAAAACCACCCAAAGAAGAAAAAAGTGGATTCTCCAGCACAAGTTTGAACCAGACCTTGAGGGAAATCCGTGCACTGCAAGGCTTAGGGGATCAACTGTGTCCAGCAGACCGCGCACTTTCCTGCAAATCATGATTGATGCCACTTCAAAAAGCCCCCCGCCCCCCCCAGGCCAAAAGAATTTCCTCGACATGTTGAGCGTCGTGCCGCTTACCGCTGCGAGCCGACTTCTCGTTGTGTCTTCCCGAGGTGCAGCAGCTTGCAACACTTGGGGCCTTCAACGAGGGACAGGCCAGCCATTCCACCTACTCGACCAGATGGATATTTAGCTGTATATTGTGCATAGCTGCTGGGTGGTCCTTGCGCGGTCCGCGCCCGAATCCTTTCGCCCCAGCGGTTTCTGCTTGCCACATTGAGAACTGCGTTGCCGCTGGGAGCTTGGTCATTACCGTCCTTGGTTTGTTGGTGGCGGCCCCTGGCATCCTGGGCTTGTGGCTGTTTCTCCACTCTCCCTGACCGATCCCCCACTGAAACTCTTAAGAGAGGCAGGGGCGTCCGCGTCACTGGTCGGTCCTTGCAGCTGACAAAACGATTTCAGGGCGCTCTGCGATAGTGAGCAATGGAGAACCCGGATGGGGGCAAAGCATTCCAGGGCTTTGCTTGCGCGCATCTCACTAGTTTTCAGGACTGCGGGCTGAATGTCGCCATTCCTGCGCACGTAGGTGCAATCCATGTGTGCGGATTTCGCCTATGACTCCAGCCGGGCTTGGCGCATTTCATTTACAAGGAGAGGTCGCATTTCATTTACAGGGAGAGGTCAGGCAGCTCTTCGTGCTGCCTGGCGCCGCGCAGATGAACTCGTTTCCAGATGGAGATCCTGCGATCGCTGCGCTGGCGAGGGCTTTTTCCGTCCGTTCTGTCAGCGCGTGGCATCGACGTTCCAAATTCCAAAAACATGCTGACAGCATAAAATCAACTCAATTACCCGGTGCCTAAATGAGATGTGTTCTCCATGCCGCGTACGCCTAGTAAAGCTCAGTTAAACGGTCCGGCTTTGGATTTTAAGGGGGCGCCAAGACAGCAATTGTTGTTCTCTAGAGTTTATTCGACGCGTGAAGCTGCTCAAGAGCTTCTGCATATTCTGGCGAGCGACAACTGCTCGGGACTAAGGCAGGGGCCTGTTGTACCATTCCTTCTGCAAAGAGTAGCGCGCTTCATCTGCGCACGGTTTGGATGAAGTAGGAAAGCGTCGCAGGTCCTCAAGGTTTACATGGACTGTGCTGGCATCGATGAGACAAGTTCAGGGCGCGCGGCAGTTCTGACAGCGCCATGTGCACTTGAAGTTGTCGGATCGCTGGATTGACCTGTCGCTGATTCCCAGTGAACTGAAGTGGCAGACCATGCTCTACGCGCTGAGAAATCAGAGCAGCAGCAAGAAGATGACCCAAACTCCAGGTCCCAAGTGTCAGCAGATTCAGAAGCTGATTCCAGTGGATCTGACAGCTGCAAGGCAAGACGAAAGAGGAAAGATCATCAAAGAGAGCAAGGAATTCATAGGCGATGTGGTCAACCGGCGACGGTTTGCAGGCGACTACTTCATAAGGAAAATAATTTAGACTGCCTTCGCAGACTTTCTCAACGAGCTGTTTTCAACCCAAGGGTTGAAGGGGCGGTAAAAGTTCTGGCAGAAATCGGCCTGCATCATGTTGATTGCTCTCATTGCGCTGGAAATGACGGCCAGCAGCTAGCAGACAAACGCAGCAATCAAAACATTCTCGCGCTTGGCATGCTCCGGTCACGCGCAAAGCTGTTGGAGTCGCCCTCCAGCATCACCCTCTCGTATGTGGATGCGTGCCAGGGTGAACCAAGAGTTTCAGTGGTTTCCCCAACAAGGCTCAACGACACATTCTTCCACGAAAGGAGAAAGACTAAACAGTTTTGGCGTGGGATTGGCTACGGCGATTCGTGCCATTCCTTTGTTTTTTTGTTGCGATTCGCCTAGTGGCCTTGATTTGAAAGCCCATTCGCGTCAAGATGCTGGATCACGCCCACTTTCAAGCGTTTGCAGAGGCCAAGACCGCGCAACATCAAGTTGACTACCCAAAACCGATAATCTCAGCATCGCTACTACGGCCAAGCGAGATGTGTTGGTAGTCCCACATACATGTGTATATATCTACTTGTATATGCATAATATATATATATATATGCACCTGACTGAACGCTTGTGATTTGGAAAAACACTTGTTTTGCATTTTGTTTCTGGCAGCTTGGGTTGTCCATTTGTTCCGTGTTGGTTTCATATGCTGGGTCTAGTAGCTCATCTTGAGTTTGGACATAAGACTTCATGGCATTGTAATAGAGAGACACAGGGGTTCCGCCATCAACTTTGATTGCCTTCATGTGGCTGTTGTCCCCTGGGTTGGGCAAGACAGTCGTGTGGCAGGTGGCCTTTTGGGTGTCCTGGACATTGTCGGGAGGCCGGCGAAGCGGACGGGGCGAGACACACAAAGACACACGCAGACACACACACACACACACAGCCACACACACACACACAGCGACACACACAGACACACCAATAAAGAACCGCAGAGGCACACAGACACACGCAGAGACACACCCACACACCCTTCTTGGCTCCGGCGGTAGAGCTGCTTTGCGCCTGCGCTTTGCGTTTGCACGCGCTTCCAGGCCTCAGCTGCGAAATGCTGTTAGACCTCTACGAGGACCTCGAGCGCAAGGTAGACCTCCAGGAGCCCAGTGATTCGCACTGTTGCTGTCAGCGCCATGATGCTCACCTGGTACTGCAATGTTTCCGGGTTGCACGCAGATCTTTACAATTCCCACGGATACACAAGACAGACATACATATCTACTGCATCAAACGCAGCAGAGACACAGCCTATCTCTGTCACTGAGCGATGGCGGACGTGGGCGCGGTCAAGGCGTTTGACGGCGAGGTGCTGCAGGTGGGCGCTGTCAGCCGAGCGTTCAGGTTGAAAAACGTGGACAATCAGTTCCAGTGCCCCGTGAAGACGTTCACCTCCATCGACACCTCGCTCCTCTTCAGTGACAGTGAAGAGGTTCGGGTCTCGCCTCAGGCCTTCTCGTTGATGCGGAAACTCAGCGACATGCTCGGGCCGGTGGGGGCCACGCAAGGGGCATACGGCGCAGGGGGAGGTGCCATGCACATATTTTACTTCGGAACCACGGAAGGCGTAGATCTGGACGGTCCTTTGGGGCCTGTGGTGCAACACGTGATGCGGCAGACCCACCGCGACGGAGTGGCCGGCCGGAACTGGGGATGGCGCAGCACCGTGGATCCATGCCACCAGTTGCTGTTCGCCAGAGCGGACAGCAAGGTCATGGGAAGGGACGTGTTGCGGTGCTTTCAGGAGGTGCTTTCAGGAGCAGAGTCCGTCCGCGCGCTGGCGGGGGTTTCTTTTCCGCCGCATTCGCAGAGGGAGCACTCCTGCCTCAGCCTTCCGCCGAAGGTCTTATATGTGTTTCCTGCTCTGAGTATGATGCATGATGGCAACTGCCCCACCGATTGCCCGAGGGACGCCTCCGTGCTCGTCGACACGTTCGGGGAGACTGTGACCTTCGACGGTGACATTTACGAATGCCCGTGCTACGCTCTTTTCCAGCTAGACACCGGAGAGATTCTCGGGCTGTGCAATTGGGACTACAGGAACTGAGAGCACAATGTTCCAGATCCTGCAGAAATGTGGGAGGTTCATGCCCCAATGGCCCCTGAAGTCACTAACAGCCTTCTAGGCTGCGCTGAATCGATATATTAGAAAGACGGGGTGCTTTGTTAGCCGGTGGATTTCTGCCATGATACCACAGGGCTCCTTAAAAGATACATTTTGCAACCAGTTGAGACATGGGTTTTCTTCTTCCAAAATACAGGGAGCCCACCATTTACAAGTTGCAATGTTCAGGTGTATGATGCATCCGGATCCCTGTACCAGATGAGTGGATGGCCCCCCCGATCCTTCCATCCTTCCAGGAGCCCGGAGATCTTCAAGTCTTTGAAGGCGGGGGGGGGCAGAGTGCTGGTGGCCCGAAATGGGACAACGGGGTCCAAAACGTGTGCCGGAGAACGCTGTGTGTGGCATAGGAGGTAGGTAGGTTTTGCAACCTGTGTACCCATTCAAGTCAGATAGAACCTTTGAGCAGGTGGAAAGAGGGTGTTTAGATGTCACTTGGGTAGTTTAATCCCGGGACAGTTTCGATGAGGTTTGCAGGGACCTCTTGGCTTATTATGGTTTGAAACAGACACGCATAGCCGAAACTGGCGCCTAAACCGCTCTCACAGGTTCTGTGCAGTTTAACTGTTTAACAGCCCTTTTTGAAAAGTCACAGGACTATGCCACACCTTTGTTGCCGAATTACTCCCCTAAACAAATAGTGTCAGTTTGTCCCTACTGCCTAAATGTGGTGGTTCCTTTTTGATTTCTCTTTGAAACAACCCCGCAGAACAACAGCACACCCATATGTGGACCCTCAAGCTCATCGTCTTAATTGCACATAGCTTTCCTGATCACCAGAGCGAGACCTCGTATGTTGTGTACCTATTTCAGCTGCCCTTGCTTGCTTTTCCGCTCGCCACACCTGCTTGGATTGCTTTTTGCGGGGACAGCGACACTGTGCTTGCTCGAATGCGACTTGTTATCTGCGCGCTCGACGGAAACAGAAGCTGTTGGTTGGGCAAAACGGCTGCGTCGATGGATCAGGGGCCCGAGCAAGCTCCCCTGTAAAGCAGCTGGATTATTGGATGTGCAGAGTCTTCCACTTCTGGAGACGCACTTGGTTGTCCCAATTTGGTTTGCAACTTTAAGCGTGACGACGGAAGCCCGAACACGACGAGCGGCAGCTCGCCATTTCCCACTAGACCCACTTGGCTTCCTCTCGAAGCGATGCATCGAATGAGGGAGCCCTATGAACCATTCCCTAGGCCTCCTTTAAGTTGGCATCCCCTTCCGGTTCATTGCATCTCTCATTCCCTGCCTCTCTCGCACCAGCAAACCTACCCCCGGAAAGAAAAAGAAAAAAAAGAAGAAACAAACGGGGGGGGGGGAAAAAAACACGAAAACAAGATAAACAAAAAAAACAGGGAAGCAAAAAACAGCGACTCAACGGCGCCGAGACCCTGGCGAAACGACCTGCGACGCGGCGACGGCCCATGGCCTCGCCGTGCCGTCGTCTGCGGATCGACGGGGATCGAGGCCTTCAGCCCGCCTTTGGGCTGGCGCTGGCGGAGGAGTCGCTGCTGAACCCCTCCGCCGGCTTCTGGGAGCGGCACTGGCACCGAGGCGATTGGGGGGAGGGGGGTGGTTGGAGGGGGCGGTGACTGGCGGTTTGGTGGGGGGGGCGGCCAGGTTGGAGGTGGTAGTTGGAGGTGGGGAGGCTTGCGGGGGAAGGGGGGGATTGGCTGAAGGCCAACAGGAAGCAGTTCCCTTTCCGAGGGTCCTTGAGACACACAGGGGTCCCTCAGTTTCACTTGTTTGGACCAACAGTTGCAATCTTGTTAGCTCAACTGTAGGCCCAGGTGCGTCAAACCGTCGTTGGAGGGCAAGTCGTCAGAACTCGGAGCAAGGTGCTGTGCGTCATGCTTGCTAGGGATCGAGAATAGGAAAACATCTTCAAGGGGCTCCACATATGACAGGGGTCACTAAATGTCTTCTTCAAAAGTTGCCGAGTGGATGGCCGGGGTGATGTTTTCGGGCCGGAAATGAGGGGACACCTGGACGAGCTTCTCGGCAGGAGACAACTTCGGGTGGGTGATGCGACACGCCGCGCGCGTCTTGGGCGAGGCAGCGCTGAGAGGGAGGCGGGCACCCAAGGGCTCGAGTGGTGCGGGACTCCGGGCGGCGTTTGCAGATGTGAGGCTTGTTTTGGAGGAGGGTTGCCGAGGGAAGCAAAAGGAAGCCGCTTTTCAGGGCTCCGTCTCCAATTTTGAGAAGCAGGGTGACCAAACAAACATGTGCGAACATTATTTGTGTCAACGAGCGAAAGCGATCCAGGGCAACACGAGCGAAAGCTTATCAAGGTGGATGCCCAGGGCTTAAGCCCCTGATGCATGTGTCGCGAGTTGGGCTCGATGAGTTGGGCGCTCAATGATGGTGAATTGATTTGTTTGCAGAAACCACAAGGGGATAGACGTGCGTAACATATATTTATACATAAATAAATATATGTATATACATATATATAATACACGCACTATACACAATAATCTATATATAGTTGTACATTATAATAATAATAACTGATAATGACAACAATACTAGTACAAATAAGACTAATAATAATAACAACAATCATTACTAATTATAATAATAATGTAATTAATAATAATAATATAACAATAATGATAATGACAATGATAATAATATGAACAGTAGTAATGATAATAATACTATTAACAACAGTAGTAGCACTAATAGTAACAATCATGATAATAATAAGGATCATGATAATAATATTCATAATCACAATGATAATAATGATGGTAATAACAACAATATAACTAATAATAATACTAATATATATATATATATATGCACACCTGTACTGTTTCATTTTGTCAAGATTCCCGAGTTACTCCACTCAGACGGGAATTGCCTGTCAAATCGTGGCTCGGGGCAGACTCGAACGAAAAACATGTGGCTTGAGCTACGAATCAGACAGGCTTGGCCACGCTCTCTTGGCGCTTGCCAAATGTTTGGCGGATCATTGGGGCACACACCAAACCGAGAAACGGCCAACGATAAGCTTCCATTTGCTCAAGAATATTGTTGAGTTCCCCCTTCAAAGGGAATCCATCGCTGGACATGTTTATTTGTTTTCTTCAGACGTTCGCACATGGGGGTCTGCTTTTTGAGGGTGCCTCGTGTGCGGGTTGGTTTAAAGGGAACCTTTGGAGAGTCCCCCCCCCCTTACAAATTTCTACACCCGAATAGAGGGTAAATGGGACACCACCCCCCAACCCCTAAACCAATCCAACCCACCAATTAGAGGGACCCAAACCACCAAAACACGAGTTGGAATCTGAGGTAACGAGTCTTGACACGTTTGGGTTGATCCAATGGTCTTTTGCATGGGGTGATCATTCAGGCAACCACCCAAAAATATATGACTTTCACCAATGGGAAAAGTTAGCGATGGTCATTTGGGGGGCGCCCCAGGAATTTTGATCAGCCCCCCATTTCAAAGACCAATATCCGAACCACAAACAAAAACACCAACCCTAACCCCCAACGCGCTGGAAGTCCAAACCACATGGAAGGAGGTAAGGGGTTTTGACACCAACATCTTGCTGCAACCGCGCCAAGCCCCCAACCCCCCCCCCCCCCCCAACCCCCTCCCCCCCATTCCCTGATTTTCTGCATTTGGCTGTGGGTCCAACATCGGCACCCAAAATGGCTTGGTAAATGGACTAAAACCGGTCCATATGCTGGTGCCCCCCCCCCAATCACCCCCCCGCATCTGGCTAAAACTGCCCTCCCCCCCCCAACCACCCCCCCCACAACCTCCCTCCAACCACCACCCCCAAACCTCCCCCCCCACAACCTCCCTCCAACCACCCCGCCCACAACCCACCCCCACAACCACCCCCTCTCCAACCACGCCCCCCCACTCACACCCCCTCTCCAACCAAACCGCATCTCTCGCAGCGCGGGAATTCCGAGGCCGGTGCCTCCGCTCCCGGCGAGCTGCGCCGCCGCGGCCCTGGAGGCGGCCTTCGCCCGGGCGAAGCCGCTGGCGCTGCGGGTGGCGGGGCCCGAGGCGACGGAAACGGGCGCCGGGCGCCGGGGGTAGCGGTGGGGGGGGGGGTTCGTGGTTTGGGGGGCGGGGGGGGTGTAGGGGGGTTTGTTTTGGGGGGGGGGACACCAGGGGGGGTGGGGTAGAGGGGACGGCCCTTTTCCGGGAACCCCCCATCAATTTTCACCGAACACCAACAAGAACTCCCCAAGATTGCCCATGTGTTGAGGGCTGTTGTCCTCAGAATGGTTGTAGTTGTTTTTGGTCCACAGTTGCGGTGGTCGACAGTTGCGGTTTCAAATTTGGACCACGGGGAAACCACCAGTTTGCGGCTTTGTCCAAAAAAGGCAAAACTGGTTCAACCCGTTCCAAGGCAGGTCGGGATTTGACGCACCCCAAACAAGAACCAAATTGTGTGGTTTCCAACTTGAGCCCTCCAAAACGCGACCCCCAACTCCCCAACCCCCCCCTCCGGTAAATAGGAAGCAGCCTTCAAGCTTCTTGTTGTTTGGCTCATAGGCAACGGGGGCAATCACAAAAAAGATCTGGTTTTCTACTGGGGGACATGGAGTACACCGCAGGTTTGAGGCTGAAACCTACCTTGGGGGTTGGTTTGTAGGGAAGCCAAAGGGGCTCCGCTCGTTTTAAGGGACCCCTTTTTTGACACCCCCACATTTCTGTCATAACCAGTGATTAGCCTTTCCAACGAGCGGGAGGGTCCCTCGTATCACTGTGGGCTCAGTACACTGCCTGTGCAAATATGAGTGTCAAGTTGTTTCAAACAGCTTGTCGGTTGGTCTTCAAGGAACACCAACATGAACCGGACCGTTTTGGGCCCCTAATGTTCAGACACCCCCGTGTGAATGTAAATACGGATGCGGTGGAAGTCGGAAAAACAAACAATCAAACACCAGAACTTAGGGTCTATTCGGTTGGGTGGTTGGGTGTGGAATCATTCTTAGGTGAGAGTCTCCTTTAATCATTTCCCACAGGGGGTTTTCAATTTGTTGAGACAGAACCGGTTTAGAAAAAAACATGAGAAGTCAACTATGAGAATCGGGGCTGTTGGACGGAAAGACAAAGGGTATGGCCGGTGCTTTGGTTGTCTTCATATTTTTGGATTTCATGCTCTTTCACTGTTATTGCAACCTCATAAAGGGGCCATTCAGAACCATGTGGTGACCTTCCCACTGCTGAGGCTCTGAATCAGATGACAACCAGGAGCTTCTTTCTTTGCTCCCGAAAAGGAGAGATTAAACACATTTTAGATTCAATCAAGAGACATGAACCACCCAAACTCCAGGGACCTGGCAAATCGGCTTTGCTATCTCACTCATGATGAAGGTATCATTTTTGTGTGTCCATGATTTCAGGCTGGTGAACTCAATTTTTTGTAGTGTGGCCGGACGTTTGCCGGATACACATATGACACCAAGGTTTTGGCTTTTAACTTCCTCCAGAATATTATTTTTGAACGGCAACAGAGGGAACACCAGATCCAGTACATCAGCTTTTTCCCCAGCGCAGGCCCCCGAGCTGTTTCAAGCAAAAGGAGAAGCCCACGTCTCTTCTGCGGGCCTGGACAAATGGAACTGGGGTGCCCCAGTGCAGACTGAGATCTGCCTCGCAGGCTGTGGCCGGGACCTACCAGGCTGAGGCGGGGTTTGGGCCTCTTGCGTGGGACGCCCGGATTTTTTGTTGAGCTTACCTGTCCGGGATAGGAAGGTTCACTTCTTTCTGGGATCTCTTTTGAGAGAATGTGAGGTTTTAGGTGGCAAAAGCCAAGGAAGATGGCATGGTTCAGGATTACCCTTTGAAACCACCTGGGCCAAAATGAACGGGCCTCATTCTTAAGCCACCATCTTGGTTCATGAAGCGATCCGCTTTTGCCTCCTCCGAAAAGTGTTTTGAGGCTAAGGACAAGCCTGATATGCATGCGCCACCTCTTTTTGCATGTATCGGTGTGTGCGAACAAACGAGAAACAATGCAATATATGTATGGCTCGTGTGCTTGTATGCCCCTTCTGCTTGACGCGCTTGTGGTCCCGTGCATGAAGTGTTTGCAGATTCAGATCCAGCTTTCATAGCAATATGCTGTTCTTGTGTTTTTTGTTTGCGCCCCTTAAAATACGTCAACCAGGAGTTCAGCATTAGTGTATGGCGCAGGTCAAGCATACACAATAAGCCATGATCAGCATGGGTAGCTGCTTTGAGCAAACTTGAACATTTGAGGTTGCTTGATCGGCCTCGATTGGTGGCGAACCGTTTCTTTTTTTTTTGCGCTGTGTGCTTTGGAATGTGAAGCCCACAAGGTTATGATCAGAATCACTTGCAAGGAGCTGTACTCTCTGTGTTCTTTTGCGTATGGCGTATCTCGGGGACTTGTACGACTGGTGCACTCCTGAAAAGGACCACCGTTGCTGGGTTTGGCACTGTGCATGTTTGGCAGGTGTGTCCTTTTTGAGGGGGTGGCTAAGGAAGGCCAAATTGACAAAAACCTCATTTAGGGATTTTTCACGCGCCACACCCCGTCTTCGCCCCGCGCCTTTGGGGGGGGGGGGTAACCGGTAGAACGGTTCGCCAGGCCGGCGCTTTCCGGCGGAGGGGCGAGGGGCCGGTGCTGGAGCTGCGGCGCACGGACAGGACCTTTGGAGGCGACGTTTTGGGTTCCAGTGACCCCGATTTGGCCGGTCAGAAACCAAAATCCCGAACCCCCAGTGAACGGGACCCAATCCAACCACTAAAATAGGTTCTGAAATGGGTGGTGAATTCACCTACTCCAAAATGGGATCCCATTGGTTTTGGCCCACAGCCATTTCTTGTTTGCACGTGCTCTGCGGCCCTTAGGCATTTGCGGCAAAACATGTGGGCAGGAACCTTTCGTTCCTCGCGTGGTCTCAGTTTTCTTGTTGGACTCACTAATTGTCCGAAGTCCCTTGGGGAAAAACTTGTCTTGAGCGTGTTTCGTACGATTTTATATCACTTCCTTCCTCTCAGCTTGATTCGTTGGCACCGGTCATCGCTCTTGCCGCAGGCCCCACCGCGACCGTCAGCAGGTTTGATGTCGTGTGGCGGCTTGGCATGCTGTGGGGGGTCCATGTTCAAGCTGATTCCCTTCAGCAATTGTTGTAAATCGATTGGGGATTGGGGACTGGGACTGGCAAATCGAATCCATAGGAGACACGTCAGGTGGGAAAATGGCCCACATTTGAGAAGGAGTCAACCGGAGAAATGCAGGGAACGCGCATGGCGAGACACTCGGTGGCTGTTGAAAGCCTGCCGACATCAGACGTTTCCCGGCGCGGCCTGCTGGAAACTCGGACCTTTTGTAAGGGCATAGGAATCCGTTTAGGTCAGTTTGGGGTTAAGGATGCATAGATGGAACTGCGTGGTTTCAGCTTGGTTCCTGTGCATTGACCAATGCCATTTTTGTTTGCTAATAGTTCAGAAATACTGTGGATGGACGAACTCCTGCACCGCCTAAGAAACCTTGGAATAATGATTCCCCTCTAAATACCAAGAAGCAATGGCTTCCCATGGTTTCGAAGTGGTGCGAATTGGATTTCGTCCATCCACAGGGAACCCCGGCTTGGATGGATCTAAAGCTGAAGGAGACTAACCAGGGGTCGCTGATTCTGCTCTGCCGGTCTAAGGAAAGGCCTACCGGTGGCGGACTACAAGAAGGCGCGCAGACGATAGATGCGGGGTATGCTGTTCCCTTTAGTGGGCACCATGTTGTTTGGAGGTTGTTTCAAGAAAAGCGCTGCCATTCTGGGTCTTTCTTCGTTTTTTTTTTTTTTTCTTTGCCGGGGGTGGAGGGGGTCGCTATTTTCCAGCACACCCAGATGGTGCAGCAAGATTCGTTGGCGGCAACGCAACAATTCGCAAGACGCGGCGCCTTTTCCAGCGAGCAAGTGTCGCGTCGTTTGGTGCCACCTCGAGAATCTAGTCAGCAAGAATTCACCACGCAAAGCGTCGGCGAGTTTGAAAACTGCCCGTAGCGGACTTGGAGGTACTCCTCTTTTAAAGGAGAGGATGTTTGCATTCGTTCTTTGAGTGACTTTTGGTTGTTTTGTGCGAACGTGTCATTCATTGGGTACACACATATATATATATATATGTGTACCCTTTATAACTTGTTTTTTGGCCAGCATTGGTTCAGTTTCCGGCTTCTGCCATGTCGTTGCCATCCTGTGAGTAATCCAGACAAGCTCGGAGCAAGCCCGTCACCAGAGCCGTGCTCGAAGAGCAATTCAATCGGGCTGAGCTTACCACAACATCTGCAACAGTCTCACAAGCATGTTACTTTGACAAGCAAATCCAGATGACCATATCGCGCGATGTCACCTGACTGCCACCCAGGACTTAAACCTAGGGGTAGTTGATTGCCTCAACAGACACCCCTGGTTCGAGGCTGCTCTTGGGTAATCAACGATTTCAAGTTCTCAGAAAAAGAAAAAACAACGAAACAGACATCGCATCCAGAGGGTCCGGTACTTTGAGAAAGCAGCCAATGCCACCCCAACCAAACCGTTGCTTCCGAATCCGCTTCCGCTTCCGCATCTACAGGCCACCAGCCTGTGGTCCATCGAGGATATCCATGCGGTGGAGAGTGAGGAGATGCAGCCGCCGCTGGCGCTGCTGCTCACCAGGCGGGAGCTCTGGGGGGGGGGCGGCTGTGGGGGGGAGGTGAGATCCGCCGTATGCACGGTGAGACCTTGCTGGGGTGGGGGTGGGGGTTGGACGGTTCATTTCAGGTGGGGGGACCTTGGGGTTCACGTTGAACATGCGCTCGTTTTTGTTTTGCAGGCATGCGGCAAGGCAGCATTGCGCAAGGCATTGCGTACATCCTTTTGGTTCGCATTGCAGGCAATGAGTAGGAGCTTTTGTGGCATGTGATTCTACGGTGATTCTACAGCTTTTGTGTTAGTAAATCCTTGGTATGTTGATCGGTGATTCTGTGCACTCATTCGTGGTGAGAACTTTTTTAAGCAAAGATGGGCCTCAACTTTGGTGGTCGTTTGAAGGCGGCACAGAGATGAAAAGCGAAGACCAGCCAGTATCAGTGTGCGGGTAGGGAAGCGTCGGTGTGGGTAGATCAATCATCACTTTCATGCCGCTCCACCCACCCGCCCACCCACCCACACCCACACCCACACACACCCACCCACACCCACCCGCCCACCCACCCGCCCGCCCGCCCGCTCCCGCCCACGCCCACGCCCACGCCTACGCCCACACCCACACACACCCACACACACCCACACACACACACACACACACACACACACACACACACACACACACCCACCCACCCAACCCACCACCCCTCAAAACAGCCAGGAAAAACACGGCGTTCTGCTGCATGGTGCCTTTTGGAAGGCGGTTCGGAGGGGTTATAGTAAGACCCATGCAAGCCTGCATAGCCACCGGCCCTGCTCAGCTGTCCTGTCTGGTTCCATGTTGCTTGTCTCAATCCCGAAATGGTCTGGTCTTTTGACTTTCGGGGAAGTCCATATTGGTGGCAAAACAAACAGTTCGGACTTCTTCTGGGCCCAAGCCACTCAGGACGGGAGTTGAGAAGCAGATGGATTCCACCAGTTTTAATTTGGTTCCTTTTGTTTGTTTTTCGGTCGCATATGCCTCCCTCCCCCCCCCCACAATGCGTGAAAGGAACGAAGCAGAAACAGCGACTCAGGATCTTTGAGAAAGGCCAAGACCTACAAAGGCAATCAGGAATACTCATGTCAGTTCCGTAGATCAAAGGGAAGATTGAGGATCAGGAATATCAAACCACCAGAAAAACTCCGCAGGTGACATTTGGGGGATTTGAAGATGAGGGCCGCTTTTCGGGCCTCAGATCCGCTCCTTGGGAGCGGATGGTGCTGCGCTGGTGGCTGGGGGCCTCAGAGATTGAGCACTCAGCCATGGGAGGTGGGTGGATGGCATAGGTGTCCTTTTTGCTTGGTTTGCTTAAGAAATAGAGGGCGATTCCTGGTTTAGATGGGGTTTCTTCCATTTACCAGGGAAACCCATCGGATTTTTGCCAGAAGGCCACCTATGATGGATGGGCCTTGTGTGTGTGACAAATGTTTGCTTGATTATATGTTCATTCCGGCAGTATGTTGGCCGAATGACGAAAGACGAGGGGAATTGAGGGGGGTTTTAGGGCCTTCACCATTTTGGCGATCATCACTTCTATCATGTTCGTCATGTTTCGTCATCATTGTCATCAGTGGCCATTTTGTCCTTTTCTCCAGCTCCACGTGAAGCGAATGTGCGGCTACCAAAGCTGAGAGTTTGACATGCAAATTCAAAATCCTTTCCAAATCCCAGGGTAAACCCTGCCAAGCATCATCGACGCTTTCGCGCTCGCTCTGGTCTGCGTGTGGAACGCTTCTGCCGACCAGAAAAGCGTCGGCAGGTTTCCCCGCAGGTACGGCGGCGAGGTCTTCCGGCCGGAGCCCGGTCTCAGGGTGCAAGTGGAAGCCATCAGCGAGGCTGAGGTGCGGCGGGCTTGGGTAGGGGCAGCCCGGAGGATCTTCCCTGGCTTTGGTCGCATTTGCTGTGGGTCAAAACTGCGTACCCAAAATGGAACCCTGGTAAATGGAACCCATGACTAAAACAGGCGGTCCCCTGGTGGTTTAATTTTGACCCACACCCATTTCTTTTTCTTTCTTTCTTTTGCGGGGATTCTCTCTTTGGCGCCTCTCAGTTTGCCGATCCCTTTGCCAGGCTGGCTGGTACCTCAAGATCTGGTTCGCAGCCCGAAACATCGAATCCTGGGCACAAACAACCATATCCAATGATGAAATTTGTTTGACGAGATGTGGAGTATGGATTTCCGCACTTAGTTAAATAATCAATCACCCCGACACCTAGCGGCCCGGTCCCTTCCAATCCAAGCCATGCTAAAGAGCTACGCTTTGGAAGCTCCCAGTGGAAGGTCCTAGGATTTTCTGTAAGACGGGGTTTTATCAGCCGGCAGGGGTCACCACAAAACAGCAACTCGCTGTTTGGAAGCCACCCAAAGCCTACTTTCGAGAACCCTGGTTGAAGACAGTTTCGCCGCCTTGCCTTAGGTGTGGATCCGACCGGTTGTGCCTCTTCTCTCAACATTCTTAGACTGGGGTGGGGGTGGTGGGCGGGCACTAGACATACTTCCACAGAAAATGTATGGGGTTTCTTTTGAAATCATGTCACACTATGTAATTTGAGAGCGATGCTTAAAACGGCGGCAACGGCCGGGATTTGTGAGTACTATCTCAGCATCCTTCGGGTCAGCGGCCAGGGGCATCACACATCTCAAGTTTGGGGTCAAACATACGCCGGACTTGAACACAACTCAAAAAGACCAAAGCCATCCCCCCCCGTCCTTCCAGAAAAAGCTCCCTTTCCAGGAAAAATCCGAAAAACCCCGGTTTTTGTCGGGCTTTTCCAAAGCATCGCAGACGACTGGGAGCTCCAGCTGTGGGGTTTTTAGTCCTGAGATCACTGCCTAAACCTCGCCCGAAGTCACAGGCCAGCTGCCTGAAGTCCAGCCTCGGGCCGTGGACGGCGGCCTTCTTGCGCCAGGTGGCGGAGGCCGCAAGTGCTGGCTGGTGGGGTCCAAGGGGAGGGGAGGAAATGTTCTCAAAGTCCCATAGGGGCCGTTTTGGGGAGGTTTCTCTCAAAATTGGGGGGGGACCCCAGATATGGGTGCTTACCCCAATCTTGGAGTAGGTAAAAAAGAAGGTTTGAACCTTAAAGATGTTGGTAGAACCTTAAACAATTCTGGGACGGCGCAGATCACTTGCCAATGAGACAACGGAAGAGCTTTTGAAGAGCAGGTAGAGGCCGGTGGTGCCATTGCACGGCGTTTGTCCCCTAATTTTGGGATCCGGTTCCCAACATTAGCATTGGTTTCTTCATGTTTCTCGTGCAAGCCCCAGAAAGACGCTGGTTGGTTGTTGCCTCTCTTTGGGGATCATTTTTTGGTTGCCGCATGGACAAGCGGTGCCCCCCAAACTTGGCCTTCTTTCCCGGAGTAATTTGTCCAAAAGGACAGCTGCAAGGACTGTGAGTCACCAGCACCGGAAACTTGAGAGAATCACGCAGCGTCTTCATCTGAGTCCATGATTGAGCTCACATAGTTCTATTCTCATGAGATCCCGCAAACCCGTTTCTTACACTGGTTGTGCCTGGATTCTAGCTTATTCAGTCGCAACAGTGTCTTGAGCCCTGAGCTGTCGTTTAGCAGTGGCTGGTTGGAGCTCTTTCAGAGTCAACCAGCTTTGTGCTAAGGATGTGCGTCCCGTGAATCAAGGCATTTTCTTTCTAGCCGTCTGAGATTGCGGGCCTTCGGCACAAGCAATGTGGGAGGCTGGGATGCGCCAGGCATCGGATGTCTTGGCGGTGCAGAACCTTTGCAGGGCGGTGCAAGCTGAGAAGGCACAGCCTGAGTTGGTGACCTTGGGAGTGATCGTTACGGGGTTTGTAGGTACCCCTTCCCAAGAAGACGTCCAACAAAAGCATCAAGGAAAAGAAAAACAAACAACACCTGGATGCAGTCCCCGCCTTTCAAGCTTTGGTGACGCGTGGCGTGGGGTGGGTAGATCGCTGCAACCTCCTGGTTTTTGATTGCGGCTCATATCAGATTTGGGACCCTCTCAACTCGCCCAAGCAGACACTCTTGTGTCTTTGGATTTGGCTTTCTGCAGCTTAGGATCCACTGAACTGATGGACTTGATCGAGCATGGCCGTACTTCAAAAGGTCCTGCATCCGTTCTCTTTCAAGTGTGGGGTGTGGTTGCCTTGGAGTCAATCACCACAAGAAGGGCGGATCGAACCTGTTTTCTCGCCCTCTACCTGTCAAAAGGTAAAACAAAGGTACAAACACAGGTTCGGAGAAAAACAAGATGACAACACAGTCCCCCCCCCTACAGAAAGGGCGCATTGTTTTCTACTGGCCACCCTGACCACCTGAATGGCCCGGCCGGAGATGTGGTCTCAAGAAGCCTTAGTGACGTGCGATGCTTGGTTTCACGCTCTTCCAAGTGGGCTTCCAGGTTTTAACAGGTACCCTTATGCGTGCGTGCGTGCGTGCGTGCGTGCGTGCGTGCGTGGGTGGGTGGGTGGGTGGGTGGGTGGGTGTGTGTGTGTGTGTGCGCCAACGGGACATGGTTTTCGCGGCTTTCTTCTAAAGTACCGGCCAACAGGAGTGCCAGAGTTGCAGATGTCATCAACCTATGAATGATTGCTACTACGGGTCAATTCCAGGAGCACATGGGGGGGACTATCCCCCGTTGTCCAAAAACTCCCACACAGACCAAGAAAGTTGGTTTGAAGGGTCCACGACTTTTGATACCCAACTCCAGTTGGGTCCTTGCCTCATTTCCTGAAGACTTTCCGGCAGTTGTCAATTCATCTCTGTGGCAAATTACCCATCATGCCGAAACTAGATAAGGGAACTCCCCAGTAAAGACTTCATGTGTGAAGCCTTCGCTTTAAGCGCTCCTCGGTGAGCTCGGCAGCAAAACTGCCGAGCTTTTGGATGAATTCTCGCCCGATTCATGGGGCCTGGGGAGGGTTCGGGCGACAAGGCTTCGGCAGTCGCTTGGAGCTGGTTTTTTCAAGGAGAGCCAGAAGGAAAACCATGGATTGAGACCAAGTCACGCTTGGTTTTTTCAAGGAGAGCCAAAAGGAAAACCATGGATTGAGACCAAGTCGCGCTTTTGCCGACACGGCGCCCACAACGGATTCGCTTATTTGTTGTTCCACGCCAAATGGGCGGATCTCCGCGCCGCTGGGCCGAGAATCCACGTGAGAAACCATGGAAGATTGGCCCATACGTGTTTTCGTCTTTTCCTCGGCAAGAAGAGCAGCAACGGACAATGCTGGTACCAACTTTGGAAAACACACCCAACTCAAGGTCTTTGTTCAATAGCAAAGATCCCTGACACTTCAATCCTGAGTGCGCCGCAATCAATACCTGGGTAAGGGACCTGCTGTAGGTGCGGCAAGAAGCTTTTTGGATTCCCTCAGTTTTCTTCACCAGAATTAGCTCCCCTTTTTGCTTTTTTGCTTTTTTGGGGTTTGCTTTCCACTAACCAGGCAAAAAAGATAATGTTTTGCTGGGGTCCTAATTCCAGCCAAGTTTAGTACTAGGCTTTGAGAAAGGCTGATGGATCTGTCGAGCCGCCAGGCACCTGCGCCGGTTTCGTCGCCGCTGAAACCAGCGAGTTCAGCGGCGCCCCCTGCGCCGCCCGAAGTGCCGGGCTGCCTGGACGGGGCGGGAGGTTTTTCAGTTTGGATTGAGACTGGTGGAAGGCCCAATTTTGGCGGGTAATTGGGAATATAACACATGAAAATAGTTGCCAATTGCCAGTGTAGGGGACCCATACCCAAACGTGTGTTCCATCATGGAACGCGAGGATTTTCCCTGTTCTCTGCGTACCTTCCACGTCCCGAAACCACCAGCAGGTTCTCATGTGGAATATGTGGTTTCTGGCAAGAGCGGGGGGGGGGCAAGAGAAGAACGGAGAAATGACCAACATGTTCAAAGAACTTCCGGGATCTTGACATTCTCAAAGTGACGCCCCCGTTCTTGCGATTGGTAAAAAAGGGGCGCTTTGCACTACCCCATCTCCAAGGTAAAGTGGTTTATGACCACCATACCACAAATACAAGGGGGGGTAAGCACATTTGGAACCACTCTAATTGGATGGAGTGCTGGTTGGGGTAGAAGAGTTCCTGGGGTTCCCATCCATTGTGGGACTGCTTGATCGCCATTTGAAAGCTGTGACCTCTGCCATTGTGCAACTGGACTGTGATGGGGCCTTAGCTGGAGAGGCTGCCTTAGTTTGCACTGTTTGCGTGGGTTATGCAGTTTTACAACATGTTTACACATGACATACTACATATGATATACATGCTATGCATATGTAACATGTATGATATCGTAGTATATACACACATTGAACGCAGCTAGACATGCCACATACACTTGTATGCACACACACACACAACACAGAAGTGTTGAGTATGCGTGCACAACACTTAGGCGCCCAATGTCGGCATGTATTCCAGTAAGAGTTCTGAACCTGCATGCTTCGAATGCATTGCACATGTATAACGTACTGTAAGGGTCATTAGGAGTTCACTGGCAATTGATTTCCCCCTTGGGCAGGAACATTTGACGTGTGGTGCAGAGAGCAGATAGTTCTTGCTTTTAGAAGGTCGGCCCAAGCCTCAAACAGCTTTGCTCATGGACCTTTCAGAGCTTGACCTGAACCAGGACTGGCGTATTCTGTTGTCCTCTTGAGCACATTGGTTCCCGAATTCTAGGATGACAAGTCTGTTTTGCAGCATGCCAGATGTGTCCGACGCACATCAAGTGCCAGAAACTAGTCTTGACTGACAAAGGCCGATCCATTTTTCACTGCAATCCATTATTTACCGGAAATACTTCAACTCAATCTGCATAGCCATGCTGGCCCTTTTCCTTGAGCTCAGGCAACAAAGGAAGTTTGGAACTTCCGTGGTACGGAAACTAATTGAAGGATAGGCGAGGATAAGAAAGATGCTTGAAATATATTAGACAGAGACTTGAAATATATTAACCAGGCTACCGCCTGCTGCCGCCGACCCTCGGCGCATCAAGGGAAAAGTCACAAGGACCGGTCCTGAAACACGTCCGCAAACCCAGGGACCACTTTTCAGATCCTCTACGACCACAAACAAGGATTAACGGAAAAGTCAGAAATGTGGCAGCTAGTCCGTTAATTACCGCTTGGGCCGGCTTGCGCCCAAGTCACTTCGAGTTGGCCCGGGGGCAGTCGCCTCTCCCGGGGTCGCCCTGAAACTGGCTCCCGAAGTTGCCCTGGACCGGTCGCCGGCAGGGACCGGGACAGGCTGGTCCCAGTCTGGCGCGGTTTGACTCGACGTATTGGACTCGCTTGCAGAATAGATCCAGGGATGCTCGACTACCACAAGGATTAACGGAAAAGTCAGACAGATGGCAGCTTGTCCGTCAATAACCGCACGGGCCGGTTTGTGCCCAAGTCACGTTGAGCTGGTCCTAGAAACAAGGCCGTCGGTGCCCCTCAACCGGTCGCAGAGAGTGACTGGGACTTGGGACCCTGTCCAGTGTGCTGAAACACGGGTGCCAGTCCGGAAAGGTGTCTGGAGCGGTTTGAGGTGGCACCACAGCAGTTTGAAGTGACCCGATAGCAGCCGGCTTCAGTCCTGAAAGCGGTCCTGGCCGGGACCAGTCCCAGGACCGGTCCCAGGACTGGTCCCAGGACAGGTCCAGGACCAGTCCCAGGACCACCGGTCCCAGGACCAAACCCCGGTCCTGGGACTGGTCCCAGCAGGACTGGTCCCAGGGTCCTGGGACTGGTCCCGGGGACCGGTCCTGGTTTTGGCTGACTACAAGTAATCTGAAACAGCAGAACCAGGGTCCCAGGACCGCCAGGACTGGTCCCAGGACTGGTCCCAGGACCGGTCCCGGGACCGGTCCCGAGAAATCCACTTTTTGTGCGTTCGGGCGTGCCCCCCAGGGGCTATCATTGATTCCAATCACTTCCAGTTGCATCCCACGCCGGTCCCCTCTGCAGGAGGCTGGGACGCGAGGCAGAGGGTCGGCGGATTAGAAAGTTCAGATTTCGTGGCAGGGGCAGTATTCCAGCATCTTGTCTGAGTGCGCGAGAAGATCGAGAATGCGCGCAAACGTGGCAGGGTACAGGAAGTCGCTGCCGAAGATGCGCGAAAGGTACCTCTGCCGCGGCGCCTGTTCGGGACGGTCTCAGGACGGTCTTGGACGGGGGCCCATTGTAACAGCAACGCGGAGGTTTCGCAAGGTTAGAATTTCGTGGCAGGCGCAGCACTTTGGCGAGCCGAGGCAGAGATAATAGATTTCGTGGCAGGCGCAACACTTTCGCAAGGCCAAGTATAGATTTCGTGGCAGGCGCGCCTTTTCCGCAGCGCTGGCACGGACGCATCGCAAATCCCACTGGCACGGGCACGCAAGGTGGCGCGTGCAGATTTCGTGGCAGGCGCAGCACTTTCGCAAGGCTGGGTACAGATTTCGTGGCAGGCGCGGTACTTTCACAAGGTCAGGTACAGATTTGGTGGCAGGCGCAGCACTTTGGCAAGGCTGGGTACAGGCAGGCGCAATACTTTCGCAAGGTCAAGCACAGATTTCGTGGCAGGCGCAGCACTTTCGCAAGGTCAGGTACAGATTTCGTGGCAGGCGAAGCACGATGACGATTACACTCTTCCAGCTGCAGCAGCCCCAAAATCCAAAAATCACATACAAAAGTTAACACTTTTCCAGCTGCAGCTCGAAAATCGCAAGCGTTAAGCACAAAAGTAGTATTCGAAGTAATTACACTTTTTCAGCTGCAGGTCGAACTTCGCAAAAGTCGAGTACAAAAGTAGTTTTAGAGCTAGACAGATAGCTAGAGAACCAAGTGGATAGATGGATAACAAAGTATTCGGGTAGAGACATGGATAGACCAATATGCAGATGTCGGTCGTGCGTGCTGTTTTTTTGGCTGGCAGTCTCTGGTGACTTGAGCTGTCTACACCAAATACACTAACACTAGAGTCAACAGAGGTAACGAACAAAATGTTGTCGACAACTACAGACTTCTTCACAGGCATCGCGCAAGCCTAAGGCAACTTGTTCCAGTCACTGTTTGTTGCTTGTTCCTGCAGGACAGACACGCCAGAGCATAGACAACCGGGAGAGCATGCAGAACAACACACTGTTTCTTAGCAAACGGTTTCGCCTCGCGGTTCAGGCCGCGAGGCGCGCGAGGCGTTTGCTTGAAATGAAGTGCGGCTGGGAGGTTCTGTGAGCGAATGTTTTTGACATGGCATGTTCAAGGAGCAAGGCCCCCCCGCTGAAGCCAGCAACAATGCAAGTGCTATAAGTCCCACGTGTTTTAGAAACTTCCGCGTCCCGGCTTTGCCGGCTCTACTGGTAGAAGGTTCCCTCCGCAAACCTGAAAAGATGTAGTTTGGAGGGTTCAGTCCTGTTGCACTCAAGCTGACTCGCAAATCAAGGACGCAGAGTTTTCAACGACTGCTTGCGGCTTTATCTTTGGTGCATGTTGCTTGGCTGTTAGGACTTTAACTTTTTGCCAACGAATTTGGGTTTTCCATTAAACCACTAAAAGTTGCAAACTTTTAGAGCAGGGGAGCAGATTTCGCAACCGAGTTATGGCGAGTGTTTTTTCGGCGCAGCTCCCAGGTGGATAGCTCGGGGGTGTTGAGAGTGCCCGCCCGCCGGCCCGCCCGCCTTGCGCGCAGGTGTTGCGACGAATGGCAGAAGGCCCGAGCTTGGAGCTGAAAAATTCGCCAAAAGAGTGGACTGGCCCGGGACCTCTTTGGCGATGTTTTAGTCCGCTCTTTTGGAATTCTCGGGGGATTCCTACATCATTGCAATGAACCATTCCTTTTTTAATCTGCATGCATTGCAGAATCCTGTACCCCCCAGAAGATTAGATGATGGTTTAGTCCTTTTGGGGGTAGCCCATGTTTTAGTTCCTTTTGGGGGGGGACCCTCTTTGTGACGTTCGTGGAACGATCGATTTGGGGGGCTTTTGCAGGAACATGGTCTTCCAAGCTCCGATCGTCAGCTTGCATGGTTGGAGGGAGGGTAGAACACCCTGGCTTTGGGTAAGCTGGCTGTTCGAGGCACCGGCAAATCTCATTTTGTTGGCCCTTGGCCTCGAGCGTGCCCGCATGCCCGCGGCTGGGGTTGGCTAGGTGTTTCGGGCCTTGGGTTTTGCTGGTGAAGAACGGGTACTCAGACTGAGCTGGGTTTTCAGGCTGCTCTCAGCGTTGGGTTTCATTAGGCTGGTTTCAATTTGCGAAGCTTCGAAATAACATAGCCAGTCACCGGTGCCATTAATGCCACCAGTGGCCAGCAAGAATGCATAAGAACAAGGATCACCCGGCGGCACCTGGCTACATTTGATTGATCATTGTTCTTCCCGATCGCCAATTTTCCACAGGGAGCCGCTTCAAAAGTGGTCGGTGCACATAAATCCACACCCATCTCCACCAAAGGGTTCCCACTTTCCGGCGAAATGTCAGCGCGCGAGGCTGCAGAGATTGTGCGCGGGGCGGCGAAGCAGTTGCCAGGGAGCCAAGCAGCCAGATTTCGGACTTGTCCCATGGCTGGCCAAGATACAAGGACTTCATTTAGGACCACTCGGTTTCTTGTTCAATTGGAGAACGGAGACGATCAAGAATGGTCAAGCCTGGCATGCGCACACATATGCTCACAGGGAACCACATGAAGAGGAGTGTCTTGCACCCATGACTTTTCCAGAGCAAGGATTGCTTGCAGATGTCTGCTTCTGAAATATCCAACACTTTGAAAGTCTTGGCTGTCTTGTGTTGTTCTCCACTTGGTGGCATATCCACGATGGCAGCTACGCTGGCGTGACGTAAATCTCCGGGGCTGATGTACCCCGCAGGTTGGGGCCCCCAACAATTCACTTAGAGCCGCTTTTGAGAATACCCATTTAAAGGAGTAAGTCTCATAGCCACTGGGTTTCAGCGTGTTGGTTTTCCTCTTCAAGCGCCAGCTTTGTTGCTGAAGCCATCTTGCGCGGCATCTCAGCCCGAGCATGAATGGCATGAATCCATCATGCCACGTTCAGATGACATTTAAGCATGGCAGAGCCTCCGCACAAGCGGAGATGCTTCTCGGCAGAACCTGATGTCGAAGTGGAGGTGGGCGGCGAGACGATTCATGTGCATTCCTACGTGCTGATTGCTGCTTCCGAAGTGTTTGCAGCAATGCTGCAGTCTGGGATGCAAGAGGCGCAGACCGGTCGGATAGTACTGACAGACAAAACCCGTGAGCAGTTTGATGAGCTCTTGCGGCACTTGGATCTGCGGGGTGGGTGCGCACCGCCCCACGAATGACCATGGCGAGTGCGAAACTGATTCTTCCGCTTGCGCATGAGTATCAGATAGCCGGTCTGATAGAAAGGTGCGACGAGTTCTTGTTGACATTGTCACGGAAGAAGCCCACAACTGTCCTCGACCTTTCCTGCAAGTACAACTTGCCAACGAGCACGCAAGCAGCCGCCCGCGCGCTGGTTCCAAAAAAACCCTGCAGCTCTTTGCCGTTTGAGGACGACGCCAGCGTCAGGCAAGTCGTGTGGGATGAACTCTTCCACGTGCTACCAGGAGAAGGGATGCCGATGAAAAAGCGGAAGCGGTCGGGTCCAGATCCTGTTTCCCGAAGCTGCGGTTCCTGGACACGATGCAGAACGGCTCGCGGAGTGCCTGGCAGTGGAAGGCTATGGCGGATCTCCTTTCTTGCGTCATGCCGGGATTGGAAAGGCGAAGGCAGGAAGAGTTCGAGAAGCTGCGAGCTTCTTCTGGCCAGGAAGTGGGCTCTGGATGTGAGGAAGACGAGACATTGGAGAGTGTCCAGGTATCGGTATACTTCAGCAGTGCTGAGTCTGAGTCTGAAAATCAGAGTTCAGAATCTGAATGAAGACGGCGTTCCGCAACGCTCAGCGCTCTCGCAGAGAAATGCAGCGCCGGGAAGTGGAAGGTATACCGCGGTGCTTGACCAGGCCCTGTTCTTCATTTAGGACGTGCCAGTAGGGATTCGACTCTTAAAGCGGCGGTCTTTGTTCGGGTTTCTCTGTAAACCAAGCTCAACAGCGCAGCCTCAACAACAAAAACACGGGAAACAACACTATGCTCATGTTATGATCTCAGCAGCATTTGACGTGTTGCTCCGTGGGCGGCCCAAAGACCTCCAGGATAGGAGCCAAGGCGGATCTTGAGGGGAGTGCGACGTGACCCAAAGACGATGCGCCCAGATTGCAACATCGCAATCCCCAGAGGTCGCATGCAGAGACCCGGACCTGTTCGTTCGCTGACATATTTATCCTTTTGGCATCCCAGATATGCGTGTGGTTTGATCTTGGTTTCTGAGCCTGCGCGTGTCATGGTGCCTCGGGCATCGGTGTCGGGGAGCCCCCCCGGAAGTTCCAATCGGTCACTGTGCGCTTGGCGGCGGAGCTGGGAGGTTTTTTTTCCCAGAGAACCAGCACATTCTTCACTCTAGTTGATTCCGTGCGAAATCGCAGGCTCGACGACTGGACACGCATTCAGACATGTTCCTCTCATTCTCTTGACGGCCGGCAGGCCGCATCGGCACACAGGCATTTTCAGGGCTCCACGCATTCAAGCGACGATGGGCCGTTCAGCAACTGGGAGCCCCAGAAGGCAAAGATGGTCTGGAAGACACATTGAATACACAGGGCTCCTTAAAAGATACATGTTGCCCGTTTGAAACATGGCTTTTTCCACCAAAATAAAGGGAAACCGCCATTTACAAGGCAATGTTCAGGTGTATAATGTAGGGATCCCTGATATAGTTTGTCCCTATAGCTTCAAATGCAGAGCAACACCAGATGTTTATGGAATGAAGTGCTTGAAGTGCTCAACCGTTTTGGGGCAACAACATGCATCCCCGGAAATCCCAAATGCATCTGCCCGCGAATCGCTAATAAAACAAGTCGCGGGAGTACGCCAGCGGACGATGCGTACGTTACCAGCCCTATCAGGTGATGAAAATTGCCGAATGTAGCACAACATTTAGACAGAATGGTATGCTTGAATGGTATGTACATTTAAATGGTATGTAAATGGTATGCGAATTTTCCGATTCCTGTGAATGGTGTGCATGTACCACTGGGAAATCTCACAGGCATCCTGGCTAGTGCCTGTGCAAGATTGCATGCAACATGTCACGTTTCCAAACACACGTTTCACAGTCCACTTGGGCTGCTTACAGTTGACTCGTGGCTATAGACATGACTTTGAAACGTATGTTGTCTGAACTGTCCGCTACTCCGAAGGCCCTTGTTGGAAAGCCGGCCTGGGAAAAAGACGGCCCGAGGTGTCAACTCCTGCAGGACGCGCTCGGCGCTTTGAGCCCTGCCGTGATCTCTTTTGGGATCGCCAAGGGGTGCCTGTTGATTTCCGGCAAAATGGGGCCAACAAAGACCGACCTGGTGATAGAAAACCACTCTGAACATTGTGAAATCAGCCGTTTTTGTGAGAAAAGGCGCAAAGAGGGGTTGTTCAAACAAATGTCCAGGACAATCATGTTGATCGCACATGTTGAGGGTTTGCTGGCTGATCCATGATGAAGGTTCTTTGATTCGGGATCCTGATTTCAGGCTGGTCGCAGAAATGGAATTCACCTGTAAAACGCCTTTTAAGGGAGACCAAGGGAGACTGATTCACACAACAACAGTTTAATTGTCGTGACTGACGAGGATGCTTTCGGATCGTGGAAACATACCAAATCTACTTGGGATTTGAGATTTTCCTAGGGCCCCTTGTTTGGATCTTTCCGCTGGGTTGTAACGATGTCTTTTTGATGAGTAACCTGAGGTTGTTCTGCTAATCTCATGATCGCAGTAAGATAGACAATTGGTTGATGTTCATTTCGACGGTGGTACAACACAATTTGTTCCTTTGCTGTTAGTTTTCTTTGGAATCCTTGGGCTTCCTTGATTTACTACCTTAGTTTCTGTGGTTTCTGCGATTTCCCTCTAGCTTTATGGCTATTTGGTTTGATCTTTTCCGACTTCAACTTATTTTGGGAAAACAGTGGATTGTCCGTTGGACCCGCAAGTTTTTTTTTTTTGCCAAGGGGGCACCAGCAACCAAGTTTGTACATTTGGCCAGGACCCTCCTGGAACCACAGGGTGAACCTTTCAAAGAATGCATGGCTTCATTGAACCAACCAACTCACCAATCTACCACTCGAAACCCTTCAGTGAACCCTCGTCTTTTCGCCGCAGGACCTGCAGGGTGACCTCTCCCCCGCGGAAGCCAAACACCTGCTGGCGCGGAAGCGGCGCACGGGGTCCCTGGCGTCCGTGGTGTTTGGGTTGTCTTTGTCGAGGTTGGACCCCAAACTTGCTTACATACAACACATATGCAGGAAGTGAAGCATGTAGTTTGACAAGAGCGAGAGAGAGAGAGAGAGAGAGAGAGACTAGGTCCTCCAGTGGACAGGAAGGAGACAGGGAGACAGAAAGAAAGACACAGAGACACAGAGAGAGAGATAGAGAGATAGAGAGAGACAGAGAAAGGGAGATTGAGGAGAGAGAGGCTTGGGGGGATGGGGGGGATGGGGAGGATGGGGAGCAGAGGGAGGGAGAGAGGACGACAGAACACGCGGGGGAGGAGACAAGGCAGAGAGGAAGAAGGAGAAGAGGGAGAGGACAATGTCGGCGGACTGAGCCGGAGGCTCTAAAGTATATGTATATGCATGTGCATATGTATATGTATATGTGTATGTGTGTGTGTGTATGTCTGTCTGTCTGTCTGTCTGTCTGTCTGTCTGTCTGTCTGTCTGTCCGTCTGTCTGTCTGTCTGTCTGTCTGTCTGTCTGTCTGTCTGTATGTATGTATGTATTTATGTATGCGTGTGTGTGTGTATGTATGCATGTTATGTTATGGTATGTAGGTTGAACAAGTGTGCCAAGAGATCACACCCACGCACCTCTTCCAGAAAGGATTTTATTGTCACGGCTATTTATTATGTTCTAAGACCTTAGGGGCTTCTCCTAGGCATTTCCAGGGATAGGACCTCATTTCGCCCCCCTTGAAGGTCCATAATACATTGGAGACACCCCAATGGTTTGTCCACGAGAGGAACCGACACTTCGCCAGTGACATCTCCAGGATAAGTTTACCTTGGAATTCCATGCCCCCACTGAGAACGTTTTTGAGAATCAAGAACCCAAGAACACCCTGTCACAAGGTGCCATAAAGACACCTTATCGAAGAACCGCCGGGCTGTTCCCCTGGGCTGCAGCAGTTCTTCCTGTGATGGACCAGCCTCCGTTTCGATGAGCCCCAGAGTGGGAAAAATTGGCGGCTGGAGTTCCGGGAAGGCGCGGCACTGGCACTCCAGGTCCTAAGGGAAGGCACTGAAACTGGGGACTTCGATCTGGGTTTCCTAACCCCCACCAGCTCCAAAAAAGGGCACTGGGTTCTCTTAAGGTTTCCCAATGAAAACCAGCTCCAAGACTTTTGGCGCCTCCAAAAAAAGCCACGCCCCACGAGGCGCGAGACATGCCGCGAGCATTTCTCTCCAATTTCCCGGGTCCCGACGGCGGCTCGACGGCTCGACGTCCGTGAGGCCTGGAGAGCGAGGACACCTTTGTGGCGGCAGTGCGGCGGCTGGAGAAGCCCACGGCCGGGGTGGGGCGATGCGAGTCGCTGGTCGTTTTTTGTTTTTCTTCTGCAGGCCCCGAAGACTTGCTTTTTTCTTTTGAAGGACTTTTCCTCAGACTTTTCAATTCCTCCATGTTTCTGTTTCCTTTGGTTCCTTGGTTTCCTTTTTGGGTATCCCTTGGAGGGATTTTTCACCACCATGTAAATGATCTCAAGGGCCAGTTAAGCTGGCTCAAGGTTTCCTGGTTGTGCGTTTTGTTGCCTTTGTCAGGAGGTTTTGGAGGGGTTCTCCCTTCAAACACAATTACCACACAAAGAGTGTTTTTTGTTTCCCCTGGCCGCTGGGGGTCGGAGTCCAGAAATCGACCAGACACGCTGCGTGGGAACTTGTTGAGTGCCAGTGGCGAGGCGAAAGACGATCTCGGCGATGGCTGACTGCTTTGCGGCCAGTGCTCAGAACTCAGCATTGCCGCGCGCTGCTCAGTCAGATTCGTGTTTTTGGAGGGCCTTTTCAGATTGATTTTGAACGGACACCAAAAGAAAGCCACATTTATTTTATGTGTTTGTTCGGGTTTGGCAGGTTCCATGACCAAACTTGCCGTTGTTTCCCCGTCGGGCTGATTCGTTTACCAGCTCCAAGGTAGAAAGCATTGACTGGCGCAACCAATGTCAACGGTGCTTCCTGTATCAAAGGTAATTACTTGGCCATTTTCAATACGGGTGTTGCAAGAATAGGGATCCCTCAGAAGATGTTGAGTTCCTTTTAAAGCCAACCGCAAGATGATCAAACCCTCATATGGCTGACGCGATATTTCTGACCCGCCACCAAAATGGCCGTCCAGAAAGTCGTGACTGAACGTGGTTTAGTGGGATCTCTCGTGTACTATGGATAAGGAAATCCCCTTTGCTATAATTTTGTTTGAGGGCTGCGACGCCGGTTTGTGGAACGCCCGGGTTTACTTTGTCCACGCTGCGGTGCCCAGCCAAGAAAGAAATCCAGGAGGAGAATGTTTGGCATTGCTGTAGCTTTACATGAGCAATGCCCAAAACCCAAGGTAGAAAAGGTTGCTATTTAGGGATAGTCATTTGTGGCAACACTACATTTGGTATTTGGTCGGCATCACAAAGGGGAAGCTGGCAATGGCACCAAAGATTGGAACCAGGAGTTCGTTAAAGCAATGTTAAGCGGCAATACACCCCTAGCTGTATTTAGGGTATGGTTTTATTTAGTGTGAATAACATTGTTGGGGTACCCTTGGCTGTGGAATAAAGAAAGCATCAACATGGACACCCAAAAAGTGTGCTGAACGTGTTGGTTTCTGCCCAACAAGTTGTTTTCTTGACGCTCAACAAGTTGGTTGTTGGGAATTGTCTCTTCGCTTTCCCAATGCTGACCTTTTGACCTTGTGGTTTCCCTGATTTGGTACATTGTCAAGGTTCCAAAAGGCCAACCTTTTATTTCCAGGTCCTTTGGGCAGAGTTAGGGTTGCTGTTGGGGATTTTCTTCGCTTTGTTCAGGCCGTTAGTGGAGAGTAGTGCACTCACCGGCATTGGACATTTCCAGCGGGGTTTTGGAGGCTGCTCGCGTATGCAACAGCCATTTGGAACCTTTCGAAGGAGGAAAACACCGAGAAAGGGCCAGCTTGGCACATGACCATGTCCTGTGAATGGATGGCGACCGAATTCCTTCCAAGACATGACGTTGCATATCGAGGCATTGTTCCTGAGAGGGCACAGAGAACAAACATAGCTTTAGGCAAAAAGCGGAGGCCTTAGTTTCTTATTTGGTGAACAGGTAAGTGCAACGAAGGGCTGTCCATTGATTAGCGTTGCTACTGTCAATTCCGGTTTGCAGGGATATTCAAATATTGTGCCTACCTCAAAAGTGAAGGATCCCCACTTGAGTGCGACTCTCCGTATCAATCAACCAGGGGTTGATTTATCCTGGGTTCTCACTTGACATAGCGCTACCGAGGTGGGGATGCCTAGTGCACAGAGCCATTTGTGCCGAATTCGTTGGGGAGCCTTTGGGGCAAAAGATTCGCTGGCTGCAGGGATTTTGGCTGAAACATCCTGGGCCGCCATACTTTGTCCGCGGCTTGTGCTGCTGCAGGGTGCTTGCATACTGCCCGAGCAACCTTGGTCCATGTCTTTTACGTAGACCTTTGGAGGTTCCCTTTAAGCCAAAGCCGGTGCCAAGGATGTTCAGGGTTGTTATACTTGCCCAGGAGCTGATGGGGAAGTCGTGAACCATACTTGCATGAAATGAAAGCCAGAGTCAGCTCCCATCAAAAGCGGGAACTCAGACGGCTGGCTGCGGCAACCGTGTAGTTTATGAGTTGCCTGCCATTCTGGGAAAGGCAGTGGCTGATGTTTCAACCTGCAAATCTGCAAGGGAAGAGTAGGCCAGTTTTTTCATCGTGAAACAGGTTAGCAGCATCCGAGTGTTCTTGTGGATATCAGGGAGAGCATCCTATGTATGTTGGCCATTGACGGCCGAATGTTTCGCTGCTGCCGTTTGGCTCGTATTTAGTGAGTTTACAGGGTTCCAGGGCTGGCTTCTGGGAGGAAGCCTTGGTTGTATTGATGAAATGGGGGGAGCATGCGAACAAAATCTATTGCAGGAGCACGGTGATGCGCCCTTCTGTTGCAGCCGGAGATATAAGAAACGAGCAACCGACATGACCAGGAAGGCCTTGTGGCTACGTAATCACTTGGAACTGGCCTTTGGCCTATTTGAGAGGCAACTTTCCTCCATGGCATTGAACCTGGATGGGACCTCTGCAAAAAACTCTGCGCCACCCATCCCAACGCAGGCCGAGTAAGGGCCCGTCCGTTAGCGTGTGGGTCGGAACAACAAAGAACAACGAGGCTTTTTGATACATGGAAGGGCGCGCTTTGACTTGTTTTGCCGGTATGGAACTCTGCAAATCGACAAGGAGGAGAAGCAAGCGATAATTCTAGGATAAAGGTTTCACTGCTGCGTAGCCTCGGTCAAACATTCAAGGATAAACAACGATAGCCAACTCATTCACATCGAGAGGTGGCCCCCAAAAAGCTCTTTTCGGCAGGTTTACAGCGTGGCCCTCCGGGTTGCCATGTTGGACTTTCCTTTTGTGGGAATGTTTCGGAACATACTCGGAAACCCCTGCGTGTCTTCTGCTAGTGTAAGGTTTCTGGTAGTGATAGACATGGCAGAGGTCTGTGGAATGAAGCGAGATCCATTGAATACCTTGGTCATTCAAGCATTTTGTCCTCGACTTCGTGAAGTCTCCTGAAGCAGTTTCGGGTGCCCCGAAAGCGGTGCGTTTACTTGCGTTGCGCTCAAATAGGCAACCAAGAGGGAGTATTCACATTGTTTTTGAAGCGTTGATTTCCCCTCTGGACAAAAAACATCCGGCATGAAGCTCCCTTCTCTCAGGAACCAGCTTGCTGGAACGTACACTTCTAACCTATGCTGATATGCTGACGTTTATTAAAAAGGTGGCCTCCTGGAGCAAATCGAGCACAACCTTTTTAGCCAAAATCCACGCATGGCAGCAACCCACTGATCTTGTCTGAACGCAACGCACTGTCAATTGGCCTTTACGCATCGCAACGCACGTATCCAATCTGGGCACAACACCAAGAAAAACACGTTTAATCATCATCATCATCATATCATCATCATCATCATCATCAGCATCAGCATCATCATCATCATCATCATCATCATGATCATGATCATCATCATCATCATCATCATCATCATCATCATCATCATCACCATCATCATCATCATCACCATCACCATCACCATCACCATCACCATCACCATCACCATCACCATCACCATCACCATCACCATCACCATCACCCTCACCCTCACCCTCACCCTCACCCTCACCATCACCATCACCATCACCATCACCATCACCATCATCACCATCACCATCACCATCACCATCATCATGATCATCGTCATCATCATCATCATCGTCGTCGTTGTAATCATCGCCGTCGTCGTCACCGTCCACTTCGTCGTCGTTGTCGTTGTCATTGTCATCATCGCCATTATTGTCATCATCGCCATCATGCCATCATCGCCTTCATCGACATCATCGTCATTAGCTGTTTAACGTCATTAACGTCATCCCCGTCGTTGCTGTCATCATCGTCATCATTGTCCTCCTCCTCCTCGTCATCGTCATTTTCCTTGTCCTTATCCTCATCCTCACCATGTTCATAATGTATCGTCAGCACAACATTAATCCCTTCCCCTATTAATACATGCTCCCAATGATAGATATCGTTTTTCCCAGGCCGCCGAGTCCCCAGTACTACCTTTAGAACAGGCCAATTCCAAACCACTAGAACAACAGCAACATCAACAGCAATGACGACGACCCCAACAACCACAAGCACAACGCCAGCCACAGCCACAACAACACCAACACCGACGCCGACACCGACAGCAACAACAACGACGACGGCGACGACGAAAACAACCACAACAACGGGAACGACAATGACAGTCGCAACAACAACACTTGCAGCAACAAGAAAAACAACGACAACGACAACAGCAACAGCCACAGCAAGAGCAACAAAAGCAACAGCAACAGCAACAGCAACAGCAGCAACAACAGCAGCAGCAACAGCAACAGCAACGGCAACAGCAACAGCAACAGTAACAGCAACAGCAACTGCAACTGCAACTGCAATAGCCACAGCAAGAGCAACAACAGCAACAGCAACAGCAACAGCAGCAACATCAACAGCAACTGCAACTGCAACTGCAACTGCAACAGCAACAGCAACAGCAACAGCAACAGCGACACCATGCGACAGGGACGACGACAGCGACGACGACGACAACAAAACAGCGACGACGACGATGTTGACGACAACAACAGCAACATGGAGCCTCACATGTTCTTTGGTCGCATGTTTTCTAGCCTTAGCATGCCACAAAAAGGCAAGCAACCCATCAATTCCTAGCCGTGCCCCGCTCAGCTGCTGGTGCTGGATCTCCAAGCCCCCCTGCCGCGCAAGCGCATGGAGGCGCAAGTGGCCCCCGAAAGGCGCACAGCCGAGGACCCCATTTTTTGCCGCAGGCAAGGATGCGGTTTCCACAAGGAGCTTTCTGCCCGCCGCGCCGTTTGCCCGACTTGAAGGGGATTTGTTCGGCGAGGGTGCAAATTTTGTAAGAAGGCAACTTGAACCAGCGAGTTGACCACCAGTTTACCCAACAAAAACGGTGCACAATACCATACCATAGCAAGGGTGTCGAATGAGAAGTCGTATGCCTTTCGCGAGAAGTCTTGTGGACCTTTGAAAGGGGTGGGGAATTGCTGTTGGCCTGCTTTTGGTTTTCAAATGGTGGCCAAAGGGCGCGATTGGAGGGCTCATTTCTACAAACTGTCCCAATATCAGGCAGAAAAGGGACTTGTCTTCCGAAAGGGAGTTCGAAGGCGCTCTAGAATCTGCTTGTGGGACGATGGGCTTAAAGGAAACTGTTTTTTGTCTTCAACCCTCACAGGTCCAGTTTTGAAGCAGAAGCCGCCCGGATATTGAAGAGCGGAGGTGTTGATTGGCCGCTCATTGAGGTAGTCTGAACAAACTATACATCTGACTGCAACGCCATAGAGACTTCCACGCTCAGTGACATCCACGCTGAGTGTATGAAACTACGAAACGCGGTTTCCCCAATCCTCACCTGCACCACAAAAGCAGGGGGACTCACCCAACTCCCTTGTTCTTCAGAAAACATATGTAATTTGAACAACTCATGTGAATCTGCAGGGGGAGGAATCAACATTTGGGACCCCAAAATGGATGTTGATCAAGGGGTTCCAGCTTGCGCCAAAGGACAATCGTTTGTGTAGCATTTGAAAGAAATTCATTTGTTAGAGCCCATTCAGCGGCTCGCCCAAGCAGGGGAGTAATTATGCGTACCCCAAAAGGTTGTTTTGGTTGTGGATTCCTTTAAACCAACCTGAAAGAGGACACTGGTCAATTTATTATCAAGTTGGTTTAATGTGACACAAAGCTGCATGGGTGTGAATTCTAACAGGGGACCGTTTGGAGGATCTCATTTAGGGCAGGATTTATGCTGACCAACCATTTGGGAGGGTGTTCCCCATCGAAATGACTGGCATGTGTGTTTCTCACAATCGGCCACCCGTTTGCAAGAGTTGGGAAAGCAAGACGAAGCCAACCTGGGTTTCTTGTTTTTTTGTTGCCATTGTTCCTCTTTGTGGTTCATTGAAAATTTCGGATTTCCCAAAGGTCAGCATCGCCCACGCCACGGGGCTTCCGTTTTTTTTTCTTCTTCCCCTCGAGGCGGGCCTGGCGGTAGCGTGCCAGGCGAATCTGGGCAGCGGCTTCCAGGCAGCGAATCCGTGTTTCGTTTCTTTTCTGCGCGTGGCTGTTTCCCGGTTGGTGGCATTATTTTTGTTAAGCAGCTGTTCTTCCTGTTTGTTTTTGTTGATCGTTTTGTTGCCAGGTTGCTTTGTGTTGTGTTGTTATTGTTCAAGGAGGTCGGAGTTGCTCCCTACCCGGCACTGGCAGGTTTGGCTTGGTTGGATTTTACGCGACAGCCAATGAGCGATGTCATCATTTGGCAAGATCAAAGGAAGGGATAGCGGATAGCTCGGAGTGTAGTTGTTTTGAGCGGTTCCAACAAGTTTTTTTGTTGACTTGACAACCTTTTAGGGTTGTTTGAGAGGGAAACCAAAATAGAACAACACGGGTCCAATATTCTGAGACAATCCCCGGGTTTGTCTCGAAAAAATCTTACGAGAAGGGTACCTGTCCGGGGGATACTACCAGTCGTCGCAGGTGAACTTGGTGGACGGCGGCGTGGTGGTTCCTCTGGTGCGGCAATTGAAGGCTGGTCACATGCTGTCACGCCAACATGTCTCACACGCAGGCTGCGAATGACTATTCAACTTGGTTGCTCCCAGGCATGCCCTTAGCCTTTTGGGCCTTTTAGTGTTTAGTGGCAGTTTCCATGTTAAACTTTTAGCGGGGGATCCGAGGGCAGCCCAGTCAAACAAAGGATGTGGACAACCACAGTGCTTCTTTGTGAGGCATCCATGACCGTGGCCCGCATGAGTTTTGACCACCCAGTGCCCCGTTTAGCTTTTTGTTTTTTTCCTAATTGAACGCATTTTGAGTTCCAAGGTCCGCCACATCCTGCATGGACCAGAATTCCGTAGATGCCTTCTGCCGATGTTCAGCATATGGAGGAAGTTACCCCAAAACTCCCGGCGCCCTTTTCCTTGTGAGCCGATTTTCCTTAGCAAAAACACGCCTCCACCAGTTCCCCCCCAAAATCTTCGCCCTTTTCCTTGTGAGCCGATTTTCCTGACGAAAAAAGCCAACCCCACCAGAAGTCACCCCGAGCCAACTGCTCGGCCTCAACCATCGCCGCGCTCAGTCAGGAGGGCCATGCGGAAGAGCGGGTGGAGGCGTGCACCGCGCTGGCGCGGCTGGCCAAGAAGAACCCCACGGGTCAGATGGCCCCATGGCTTGATCCCCAAAACGGCCGGTGCGGGGTTGGGTGTGGGGTGTGGGGGGTTGGGTGTGGGGGGTGGGGGTTGGGGGTGGGGGGTGGGCCGACCTTTGCACCTTTTGGTTTCCCTGATTTGGTTAGTGGTCAAGGTTCCAAGATTGTCTGTATCTCAGTTGCTCAATGCCGACCGTTTCACTTTGTAGGTTTCCCTGATTTGGTGCATTGTCAAGGTTCCAAAAGGTGAACCTTTCATTTCCAGATCCTGTGGGCAACTGAGGTTTTTTGTTGACTTGATTTTCTCACTTCTTGAGTTCCTGGACTGTAGTCACTCTTTGCGAAGACCGTTTTAGTGGCAAGCAACAAGTTCAGACGTTTTTGGGCCAGTCCACTCAGGAAGTGAGGCCGCCAATGCACATGCGGCAGTCCTTCTTAGACCACCTTGTTGAAAACACATAGCCAGGTATGGCCTAAAAGGTTTCCTCCTGGAGGCTTGACCTCTGGAATCGGCCACGAAGAATCCATTGCACAGCATAGAGCTAAGCCGTGTTTTTGAGTCTGCGTGTATATGTAGCAGTTCGCGTTCATGAAACTGCGGTGCAAGCCAACCATGAGTGAGCAGAATGAGTTCTTACAGGCCCTCATGTCCTGATTTTCAGAAGCACATGAGGCTCCATGTGGTGCATGGGTGTTTCTTCCCACGCCGAGGAGATTGTGCAAGCGGGCGCGGTGACACCCCTGAAGAGGCAGCTCATGTCTGCGACTGAAGCTCGGCGAGCGCGGGAGTGGCAAAGGCAAATCGACAGTTCCCCAAAAAACAACACGAAAGGCCTATATATTGCCCTATGATCAAAATCGACACCATATGGGAAACATGTTGCACATCTTATCCACTCATCACTCATCAACACGAAAGCCCTGCCAACAATATGGTCGGGCGACGGCCTTTGGCCCAGTAAGGCTCTGAAAAGTGCAACCATGTTGACGACATATTCCCCCACAAACCAGGTAATACATGTGAAGTTTGACCCATTTGGAGGCTGGCCGGTAAATATTGCAAAGGAGTGTTTGGCAACCAAGATGAAAGCTGGCAGCCCTTGGAGTACAACTTTCCTCTTAACGGGAGCTTTAGTACAGGGAACTTCTAATGAATCCTCTCTAGGGTCTCTAGGGTCAACAGGTAAACCCTTGGAGAAAGTCACCTCAACTCGATTCCCCGTGATTTCGGTCGGGGTGAGACTTCGGAGGGTCTGCTGGCCAGCCAAAGGTGATACATGCTTGCCCGGAGGCGGTTCGACTGCTTGGTTTGAATGGGAATTCAGAAATTCAGAACCAGGTTAGTAGAGCCCAAGGTCAGGTCTTGGGCACTTACCTGGAAACAATCAGTTGATCTGCGATTGAGCAGAAACAGGCGGAATGGGGGATGAGTCGCCCCAAACAGGGGATGTTGAAGCCTGGAACTCCGCATGGCCCAAAAAGAGGGAGAGAGAGAGAGAGAGAGAGGGAGGGAGAGAGAGAGGGACTTCTCTTTCAGGACTTGGGGGATTGCGGGAAGTCGGATTCCAAAAAAATGTCCCAACATGTTGCTTCCCAAATCTTGATTTGGGAGCTCCGACTTCAGAATCTGGGGTTCCCTCGCTCCCACCGGCAACCGTTTTGAACTGAACATGTTGAGCGCTCCATCTTTATTTGGGGAGTCGATCGGGTTGGAGAATATGGGGCTATCTTTTTTTGGGGACCCCACAGGTAGTCCTTTTGTGCTTTCCTTTAAAACCACACCCACCCAGAATTATGTGTTTTGAGGATTGTTCTTGGGTTTGAAATTGAAGCCAAGAGGAAGACCATGTGGGTGCTATCCTGAGGCAAAGCTACCCCAACATGGATTTGCCCTTGGCTTTCCTGAAATCGGACCCAAGGGGTTTCCACAATAAACACAGGGGGATGGGGACTGGCTAAACTTCCCACAAAAAGCGGGGGATCACAAAGGCTCCATGTTCTTGTTAGTTTTTTTGATTCCTAAGGTAACCATTAATAGGGGGGCAAAAGTGATGGCCCCGCAGTAAAAGGGTACACCTGGCGATTAGTCAACCATGCATTCAAAAAGCAGGCTCATATGGTCAACATATTGATATAACTTGGTTGGCAGGGACGGTCATGGACCCTCTAGTGATTTGGGTGTGTCTGTTTCGGGTTGTACCCTGGTCTTTATAGTTTTAAAAAGGGAAACCCAAAACCTCCATTTTGGGGTCTAAATTAAAGGACACACCCATTCTAGACAATACGATGGACGAAATCCGTTAGCACTTTTCAAATCATGGATATAACAACGTTTATTGGTTTTTACTTGGGAAGCACATCATTCCGTTGGGTTTCTGAATGGTGGTACGACGTCGATCTCACCACCATCCACGGTAGTCTTTTCCTGGTGCCCTGGTCTTGGCTTTAAAGGGAAACCAACAACCCGCCATTTTGGGGCCTTAAACAGAAAACATCAATTTTAGACCATACTGTGGACGGGCGAAATCTGGTCGCACCACTTTGTAACCCTAGGGTTCAATTCCCGTTAAAAGAGTGGTTGACCCAATTTGGATAATGAACATACTTTGGTAAATAAGTGGTTTGAATCACCCCCATTATTTCATTTGGTGGTTTGAACCCCAGGGATAGCCTTTGTGTGGGTTTTTTCCTGGGGAATCAAACGGTCAAGACTAAACTTCACGAAACAAGCCGCAGGCTTTAGTCCTCGTCTCCTCTTTCCAGCGTTCCATTTTGGGGTACTCTCTTTTTTGCCCCACGCTCAACTCATTCCTGGGGAAGCACGGCCATCGATCTCAGGTTCTGCAGCGTGCCATTGCCGCCACCTGCATCAGCCGCGCCCCGGAGCGATGTCGCTGGGTTCGGTGCTTGGATTGCGCGTCGGGGGACTCGCCCCAAAGCGGTGTGATGTTGACCCCTGTTTACGAATATGGGTGTGTCCACTTCTGGTGTTCGTGGGGGATTTATCTCACTTTTGGAGGGGAACACCCCCACCCCCCTATGAATAAACCGGGGTTTAGCTCCTCCGGGGTCGCCTCCGGGATCGGGCGCCGGGGCCGCGCAGTGCCCGAGCCGCGCCGCGCGGGGCCGCGCGCGCTGCGCCGAGGCGTGGTGGAGGGCAACCCGGAGGCTCAGAGAGCCTTCGCGCTGGACGGCACGCACCGGGCGCTGATGGGCATGCTGCCGGGAGCTGAGGTTTCGGGTTTCGCGAGGGGTGAGGAGGCTGGGATAGGTGGGTTGGGGGAGGGGGGGGGGGGTCAGGTCAACCTGAAGCCTGAACCGAAACCCTAGGCCCTAAACCTAGACCCCGCCTAGCTCCCGACTTCCGGGCGGTACTGTACCACGCGAAAAGGGGTAGTACTTGAAGCACATGCTCCAAGGGGGGCTTTAGGGGGGATTAGGGGGTGATGGCAACCCATGGGGGCTGTGGGTACAACTAGCAGGATTGTGCGAGGGAAAGGGGAAACCATATCCGGGGACTTCATTCAATCCAGCACGCATTCAAGTTGTTGTAGGGTTGATTTAAGAATTCATTCAATCAGCAATACATCCGTCCATCAGCCAACAATAGGTGAATCTATGCGAGGATATACGAAACTCTCCCACTCAAGCAGGAACTTGCATGCAGACGGTAGGTGGGTGTATGGGTAAGTGGGTCGCTGGTTTGCTGGTATTGTTTGATGAAGTTGTTTGATTGCATGTTTGGGGGGCTGGGTCGGTCCGCTCCGGTCAGACTGGTTGGGTAGCATTAATTATTTGCTCAGGAATATCTGTCGTATATGTACATGTACATATATATGTATATATACATATTATGGGTCTGCCCTTTTTGAAAAAGGGGGTACCATCAAAAAGGACACGCCATATATATATATATACATACATAGATGTTGCCATTCTAACTTCCTGAGTGCTAGTGTGTGTGATCTTTCTGTCCAGAGTGGAGGCAGGGACTTTGGACCAAACCTTGGCTTCCAAGGGTAGCCCATTTCCCCACACATGGGAGGAACCGGAGCTTCTTTTTTTGGGGCTTCGTTGAAGACTCGACTCTCTGGGGGCGCTGGTGGTTTTTGCCCCCAAGGTAGGCCACAGGGTCCGGAAAAGTCCGAGGATTGGGGCCACGATGGAGGAACGGCTGCAGGGGGCCGTGGCGCTGGGGCACATGGCCTGTGAGAACCCGGAGAACCAGGCGGCGGATCGGTTGGGTGGGTGGGTGGGTGGGAGGCTGGGTGGGTGAATGGGTGGGTGGGTGGGTGGGTGGGTGCGTGCGTGCGTGCGTGCGTGGGTGGGTGGGTGGGTGGGTGGGTCCGGGTAGGTGGGCAGTCAGAAATGTAAATGATGGCGGAGATCCGCAGAGTTGGTCCGGCAACAAGGGGTGATTTGCTCGGGGTGTGATCCAAAGGTTTACAAAAGTGGTCTGCTTTCTTTCGCCGCAGGTCAGCGAAAGCTCATGTTCACTGCAAGGTCCTCCATGGACGAGGGATTCCAGCACGGCGCCCATAGTTTTTCATACATGCGCAATGCACATTGAAAAGCTCATGATAGAGACGCACTGATGCATTTGTTTCACAATCTGGGCGTGTCTTTCAAAATATACTTAGGATACATGTTATACGTTCCTTTTTACCAGCGACTCGAAGTGAGGCAAACAAAAAAAAATACATTCTGTAACTGGGCCTAACTCTAGTCATGATAAGGCACCCGCAGATTGGTTTCCCTTTGAAGACCCTACTAGGTCACCCAGTAGTGCCCTTCTTGACCCCTTATTTGGTTGGGAGGCTTCCCCTGCTAAAATAGAGTACAGAAACAAATCGGGGACCAACTTATTCTAACCTCTCTGGAGGACCTCGCCTAAGCCACCCTTTAAACGGGATGCGACAGCCAAAACGCGCGTTTTCGCCAGGGGCGCCTGGTGGAGGAGGGTGCCATTGAGCACCTGGCTCAGCTGCTGAAGGCGGAAGAGGGCCTCGAGCGGGAGCCATGGCTGCGATAAGCCGAGCCGAACAAGCCTCCCGGTCAGAGAAACGGACACCCGAAGCTTGTTTGACCTCCCGACCTCCATGATTGAGTGCCATTGGGTTGGATCTTTAGACTTTAATTTTTTGGGGGATCCAGGGGTTTTCCACTAAACCCACAAAAAGGTAAACTTTGTTGCAGAGGGTGAACAGCAGCCAAGCCAGCCTCTGGAGTGACTTGGCCTCATCGTCTTACAGATGTCTGAGATACCTTTAAGCCTTGCGGCGGCCTACACCGCGCAAATCCAGTGAGTTGCACTCCGTTCTTCTTTGATTCTGTAGGGTGACTGGATTCGTCTTTGAGCCTGATGGGAACCAACTCGAAACGCTGTGGAGGACTGTACGTCCTTTGCTTTGGCCAACATCCTGAACATCAGCGACTCTATCTGCACAGATGCGGGGAGGGAGCAGTCAGAGCATCGAATCCAAAACGTGTATTTTTGGCCTATCTGATTTTGATGGCTAAAAGCAGTGCCAACTGGCATAGAGGGGCAAATGTTGCTTAACCAATTAGGCCCCTGTCCACTCAAAGGGACCGAAAGGAGTTTGGTTTTGCAATTGTGGGTCAACCACGTTTAGGCACGTGGTTGGCGCAACCGTGACAGGACATTTTTCGACTTACTCACAGAAATCAGCCCCGTCTTGAGGCTTTCAGCCCGTTACAATTTTCCAGTCTGAGTCAAAATGGTGCACATCACGTTCGGCTGAGAGAGAGGGGATCACATGTCTGTTCCGACTTGGGTGCTGCAGGTTGGTTTGTTCGCTGCAAATCAGGGGCGGTTGTCTTGAGGGTGTTCCCGTGGGGCGCAGGCATCCGCTTGGAAACCAGACCCTCTTTGTGGCTGTATACCAAAATACCTATACCTAAATGATGTCCACAGGGTCCCGAATTGAAATACGTAGCCATGTAGGGTAAAGTTTGGAGCCATGGGGCCATGACGTACACCAAGGGGTGCATGACACCAGCCTAAGCCCAGTGAAGTCTTTCGCATTGGCATGTCTCTCGCAGGCTACGACCAGGTTGTTGCGGACATCACCGAGGCTGGGGAGGTTGATGTGGCCCTGCAAATTTGGCAGCTTGGCCGAATCAGCGTGTTGAGTTGTTGCAAATGGCGCATGTAATATAAGAAACCTTTCTAGGTGGATGAGAAGGGCCAGCCTATGCTTAGGAAACGTGATGCGGCATGCACGACTGGGTTTCATGATTTCAGGCGAAGTTATTCTTAGCCATAGGGATTTGCATGTCTTTGCATAAGATGAGTCAGTCACAGGCTAGAAAGCAGATCGGTTTGGCAGAACCTTCTCCTGCTATAGGTGTCGAACAGCTCACGGGAATTCGTCAGAACTGATACAGATGCGGTGAACCTTCTATCGACCCCAGTCTAAGGCGGTTCAAACATGACGCCAGGGTCGCAAAGGTGATTCAAGAGCAATTAGTGCATGCTATCCTCACGAAACTGGGTAGAGTGAAGACACATGTAACATTAACAGGTTGCTGAACAGGGAGCAAGCACAGATAAAGATAAGTATATTTATGCGTTTCACAAGGGGCGTCTAGTTCCAGATTTCCGTTGAACCTGTATAATCCTACATAAATATTCTATGTATATATATATATATATACACAATCTGTGATTGGCTGTGTGTTGAAACATCATCGGGTATGTCGCGTTGGTGACTATCCCGTGGTGTTTGGCTCAAGTTTCCGGACCCGTCGCGATCTCGGATGAGCGTCGCCGGGTCCCCACGTCGATCACCCACTTGGAGGAGAAAGAGACTTCGGCCCGGGGCAGGTTGGTGGGGAGTCGACTCAGGTCGCGGCTGTCCTTTTTATTTGGTATTTCCTTTCTTGTTAAGGGATCTTGACGAGGGCTCATCAGAGTCGTTTGGATGAGGCCAACATGATGTCGCTTGGCTGGCTTCGACCGAACTCCCAACGTTCCCCCCTTTCCTAACATCACTTTCGGGGGATCGATGCGTGGCCGAATTGGGATTGGGAGTTTACCTTCTTGATCAGAAATAAGGCATTTTCGTTGCAACGTGGGATCGATGTGCTGTAACACAGTCCCACGATTCAATTCCGGGGCTAACATTATATCTGAAGTGTTGCGTTTGATGCATCTCTTTTGCAGATGAGCGCTGCGTGTGTTGCCATACCAGCTGCGTGGGCACCATGATGGCAACCCCGGCGTGCCATGTGGCAACGCCCAACTCGCGCAGCCGCACTCCGCATGAGGTCGCTGTGGGAGGCTGGGCAGCTTTTTGGGTTCTTCGCTTAAACTTGTTTAAAATGAAACTCTGTTTGTGGGTTTGCGCAAAGTCGCACAGTGTTAACTTTTTAGAGTGCACATGTACATAATTATACATGATTCACATACGTGCATGCATGCATGCATGCACGCGTGCAAAAGCACATGACACACGTACCAACATACAACTGCATACGCACACATGCATGCCTGATGAGCATAAGTACATGTACATGTACTTTAATGTATTAATGTACATACATATGCATGTGCGCACACATGTATTTACATACATACATACATACATACATACATGTACATAATACAAACATACATACATACACACACACACATACAGACATACGTACATGCATAGTATATGTAGACATCCACACATACGTACTTAACATGACACATACCCGTGATCATACCTACATACACACATACATACTTACAGACATACACACATATACATATAGCACATTATACATACACACATACACACATACAGACATACATACATACATCCATACATACATACATGCATACATACATACATACATACATACATACATACATGCATACATGCATACATACATGCACACATACACACACATTGCATGCATGTGTACATTCATACATGCATACTATATTATATAAAAAATAGAATCATACAACTATACACATACACATACATACAAACATGTCTTCATATTTATTCGCCCGCAGGGTCACCGGTGATGACGGTGTACAGCCCGGCGACGGAGCACAGCCTTGGCCTTGCAGGCTCTCCGACGGTGGTTGGCTCGAGCCCTGGGGTCACAGGACTTTTGTGGTTAGCAACATCGACCGGGTTTCCTTTTGCTTTCCCAAAAACGCCAAAAAGTTCAATTGAGCCTTTGCTTCTCGCCAGGAGCCAGTTTTGCCGCGCCCGCGTGTGGATCCGGCTGTGGCTGTGGCAGGCCCCGCGGTGCCTCCTACATGGCCACATTGCGGAGCTGCAGCTCATGTTGCTGGACCTCACATTGCTGGACCTCACGCTGGGCCTCTTGCTAGGCCTCTTGCCGGAGCTGCAGCTCATGTAGCTGGACCTCACCTTGCTGGACCTCTTGCAATTCCTGGAGCCTTGGCCCAAGTGGCTGGACTTCCCGTTGCTGGACCTCATGGGCCTCTTGCGGAGGCCTCACGTTGCTGGACCTCTTGCAATTCCTGCAGGAGGCGGAGCCTTGGCTCATGTAGCTGGACCTCATGCTGGCTCGCATCTTTGTGGTGGAAGTGAAAGCTTTGTAAACCTGCACCGCTGAGGCGTGTCGGTCACTCCGGCGTTCTAGGAGTGAGAGGGGATGTGGAGAAGTGGAGTGTACTCCCATGCCACTAAATTGTTTTAATTTTTGGGTGATACGTGGTGGACAGCGCGTCTTGCCGATGGGCGAGGGTGCTCTCATTCAAATCCTTTGTTGAATATCTACATGGCTTCTGATAAGAATGAAAACTCGCGTCTCTGATGCAAACAGTAGTGACCGGTGACCTGTCGTCGTTGCGTGGACCATTTCGCTGGGTATGTTGGACAGCGTTACCCCGATTAATTCGGGGTGGTGGCGGGAATTTTAATGCCCGGGATGTCGCGCAACTGCCTATGTGGGTTGGCTTCACCGCTGATGGCTCTTTGGGACCGGGGATTGGTGTTTTGGGGACTTTCTTTTGTGGCTTGTTTGCCCCAACTTTCCAGTTGCCTGGGCACAGGTCCGTGCCCGAATCACATAGCCTATAGATATAGGCATCATAAGAGGGTCTAACTTCCCTGTGCATTCCATAGACTGGCACCTGGGAACCGGCTTCTCAGCGAAGCGCGCTCTCAGTGACTCAGGCAGCACCGATTGAGCGGCCAGAAGCGAGAACTTGCGGTGCCGGGGCCGAAGAAGAACCCCAAGTACTTCTTCAGGAGGGGTGCTCCCAAAGCTGGAGATGTTCTTGATACATTCCTGCCCCCTTCAAAATGGAGTTGGGGGAGGGGGTTGACCCCTCGAATTCCATCTAGTTTTCCCTTTTGTGGGGAAGACATGTGGGACCCCTCCGCTCCACCTTAAGGTAGGGAGGTTCTGGATTTTTTCGAACTATTTGGCACCCAGAGTGGAAAGCCGAGAAAGGACAGGGTTGCTCTGAACCTAGCGACCAAGCCACGACAATTGGTATCAGTCCTTTTCTTTGTCTTCCTTTTCCAAACCAAAGTTCTAGCCTTGTGAAGATCGGGTCTTAGCATCTTTGTAAAGAGGGCCCAAGGGGCGAAAGCTGCCGGGATTCTGACTCCCATCGCTCGTTTTGAGAAGCGTCCCTTTGAAACTGGTAGACAGGTATCCTGGGAATGTTTCTTGGAGTCCCTTTTTGCTTTGGATGGTTTTTTACAAAGTGCATGTTCTGAAGAGTGATATCCTTGGAATGGCGAAGGTACGGCTAGAGATCAATGCACACCTTTACCGTTTGCCAAAGGTCCCTTTTCAAGAATCAGATTAATCTTGGTGGTTCCCAGCAATCCGCTTAGGTTTTTGCTCTTAGTGGGTTTAGTGGCTGGGTTTCCGTATTTAGCCCGCTAACAGTTAGTCGTTTTTAGTATGAGATCTGAAAAAGCGGACAGAGGAATGGCACTGCATGTTTGTTCCGCGAAGATTCTTGAAAGCGCAGCTCGATGGGAATGGCTGTGGAAAGCTGGGCTCGGTTCAGACGCTTCCTGCGATCAGTTCCTCGAAACATGTCAAGAGACAAATTGGGATGGGAATGAAAGACTTTGGTAGAAGGGTTTCCCACTACCATCTATCTCATGAGCTTACCTTGCCTGTTTCCTCAACTTTACTTTTTGTTCGGTGATGTCTTCACACGCTAGCCCTTGATGGTCGAACAATACCTTAATATTTTTTCTCCGCTGAACAGGTTGGGGGCCGAAACCTGGCGCCAAACATGGCTTCCTGTCATGCTTGCTTCATGGGGAAGTCATTTTAGTATGTCCGGACCAATTCATACCCCTTCAAAGGCACGAGTTCCAACTTGTCCTGCTCGTTCCCCAGCAGCCACAACTTTTGCCCATGAGGTAGCAGCATTTCTGTGTTTTTTTTTTGTTTGTTTTTTTAAGTCCGGTGTAGGATGGCCAAACAAAAAGAGGCATATGGTTCTTCTGCGTGGTGACAAGCAATTGAGCTGGTACCCCGCCGTCCTGTTTTTCTTTGACCCCCTTGCATGTGTGTTCCATGTGCATTTGACGAGGATAGACAAACACCTACAAACACAGTATCACGGTGGATGCATTTGGGTGTGTGTCTTTTTGAGGATACCCCTTTTGGACGGTTCTAAAGGGAACCAAGCGGACACTATGCTCTCTCTCTCTCTCTCTCTTTCTCTCGCTCTCTTTATTTCATGTGTGTGTGTGTGTTCCTTTTTTTCGGGCACACACCCATGTTCCTGGCAGGAGCAAGCAGGTTACCTCGCTGCAGACCAACCTGGAAGTGTGAGTGATCGATGTCCGCTCGCTGCGCATGCTTAGAGATCTTCCGAGGCAGACACGGGCAAATGAAATGTCTTAACCAAGCCTCAGCTTCCCTCAGGGAACCCAAAAGAAGCCGTCGGCTGGGTTTGAGTTTAATGGTTTAACCCGAAACGCATATTAAGTTTAATGGTTTAGCCCACAAGATGGTTGACGTTTAATGGTTTTAGCCCAAATTTTCAATGTTTAAGCCGTTGTTTAAACAGTGCTGGCTTAATGTTGCAAGCGGGCCCAACCCTGGCAGACAGCTCGCTTCAACGACCTCAAGTCCTCAAGGCCCAATGGAAGAAGGAGCTCGTCTGGAGGCTCGGGTCTCTTGAAGGAATCCTACGGGTTTGGATCGCCGGCACAGGGGACAATCACTCTCTATCTTTCTCAAACTCTCTCTCTCTCTCTCTCTCTCTCTTTCTCTCGGACTCTCTCTCTCTCGCTTTTTTCTCTCGGACTCTCTCTCTCTCTCTTTTTGTTTCTCTGCCTTCTTCCTTTTCTTTGGGAAAAGAAAGCAGTTTGCTGTGCGGTCCTGAAAGGATTGATCAGCGCTGGCTCTTCAATTCAAGGGCTCCCTGCTGCAGGCAATCCAGGCGTGTTGCGCTATCACGGCTCAAGCACAGAAGAAGATGTAAACCCGATCGCTCAGTCAGCAACCAACAGCTTTTTTGGCCGTCTACTGTTTCTTTAGGGAGGACATGGGGGATAGCCGCATTTCCCACAAAACAAACCCAAGTTTGTAGTTCCCATGTTCCTCTTGAGGAGCAAACACCTGCTTTTCATTGGGTGGGTCCGCTCTTTTGAGAAGCGGTATGTTCGGTCTCAATTCCCGGGCCATGGCGCTTCTGTTGACGCTGCTGGCAGCGGCCGAAGGCCGAAAGTACACGGCGCGCGTGGTGGCTGGAAACCCTGAGGCGGGCAAACAATGATTCGGGATGGGTCCGGTTTCATAGTTTGAGATGACTGCTTTTAGACTGACTAGGTCCCTCAGTAGTGCCCTTTTACCCTTTTTTGGGCAAAGGTTCCCCTACTGAATAGACTAGAGAGAAAAGGGTGCCCTTATTCTAACCTCTCTACTGGAGCACCTAGGTGATGTTTGATCGGTCTCTCCGGTTTGAAGTATGTTCGGTCTGTGGGTTTGAGGGATGCTGCACCCTTGTTCCCTTTGTTTTTTGTGGCCTACTCATTTCTTTTCTTTTTCGTTTTCTCTCCCTTGTTGTCTTTCTCTCGCTCTCTCTCTCTCTCTCTCTCTCTCTCTCTCTCTCTCTCTTTCACTTTCTCTTCTCTCGCTCTGTCTCTATTTCGCTCTCTTTGTCTTGCTGTTTCTCTTTCTCTTTATTTGTTTAGCTATCTGTCTAATCTAGGTATCTACTGTATGTATCTATCTATCTAAATCTATCGATCTAATCTAATCTAATCTAATCTACATCTAATCTAATATAATCTAATTCTAATCTAATCTAGTCTAATCTATCTATCTATCTATCTATCTACCTACCTGTCTATCTATCTATCTATCTATTTATCTATCTATCTATCTATCTATCTATCCATCTATCTATCTATCTATCTATCTATCTATCTATCTATCTATCTATCTATCTATCTTTCTATATAATATATCTATCTATCAATCTATCTACCTATCTATCCCATCTATCTATCCAATCTATCTATCTATCTATCAATCCAATCTAATCCAATCTAATCTAATCTAATCTATTCTAATCTATCTATTTGTCCATGTATCTATCTATCTATTAATCGAATCTAATTTAATCTAATCTAATCTATCTATCTGTCTATGTATCTATCTATTTATCTATCTATCTATCTATCTATCTAATCTAATCTAATCTAATCTAATTATCTATCTATCTATTTATCTATCTATCTATCTATCTATCTATCTATCTATTAATCGAATCTAATCTAATCTATTCTAACCTAATCTAATCTAATCTATTTATCTGTCTATCTATCTTCTGTCCATCTATCCACATATCTATCTATCTAATAAATCTATCTATCCTATCCTATCTATCCTTTCTATCCTATCTATCGTATCTATCCTGTCTCTCCTATCTATCCGATCTATCCTATCTATCCGATCTATCCTATCTATCCTATCTATCCTATCTATTCTATCTATCCTATCTATCCTATCTATCTTTTTTGTCTATCCTATCTATATGTCTATCTATCCATCTATTCATCCAATCTAATCTAATCTAATCTAATCTAATCTATTTATCTATCTATCTATCTATCTATTAATCCAATCTACTCTAATCTAATCTATTCTACCCTAATCTAATCTTTTCTAATCTATTTATTTATCTATCTGTCTATGTATTTATCTGTCTATCTATCTGTCTGTCTATCTATCTATCTATCCATCTATCTATCTATCTATCTAATTAATATATATATATATATATATCTATCCTATCCTATCCTATCCTATCCTATCCTATCCTATCCTATCCTATCTAACCTATCTATCCTTTCTATCCTATCTATCCTATCTATCTTTTTTTGTTTAATCTATCCTATCTATTTATCTATCTAACTATCTATCTATCTATAAATCCAATCTAATCTAATCCAATCTAATCTAATCTGTCTATCTATCTGTCTATCTATCTATCTATCCATCTATCTATCTATCTATTAATCCAATCTAATCGAATCTAGATCTAACCTAATATAACCTAAATCTAATCTAGTCTAATCGATTTATCTATCTATCTATCTACCTACCTATCTATCTATCTATTTGTCTATACACTATATCTATCTAGCTATCTATCTATGTTCTATCAATCCAATCTAATCTAATCTAATCTAATCTATCTATGTATCTGTCTATCTGTCTATGTATCTATCGATCTATCTATCTATCTATCTATCTATATATCTATTAATCCAATCTAATCTAATCTAATCTATTCTACCCTAATCGAATCTTTTCTAATCTATTTATTTATCTATCTGTCTGTTTATTTATCTGTCTATCTATCTATCTGTCTATCTATCTATCTATCTATCCATCTGTCTATCTATCTATCTATCCTATCTTATCCTATCCTATCCTATCCTATCCTATCCTATCTATCCTATCTATCCTATCTATCCTATCTATCTTTTTTTTATCTATCCTATCTATTTATCTATCTAACTATCTATCTATCTATACATCCAATCTAATCTTATCTGTCTATCTATCTATCTGTCTATCTATCTATCTATCTATCTATCTATCTATCTATCTAATGGATATATTTAGCTATCTATCTATCTATCTATCTATCCATTCTATCATATCCTATCTATCCTATCTATCCTTTCTATCCATCTTTTTTTAGCTATCCTATCTATTTACCTATCTAACTATCTATCTATGCTATCCTATCCTATTCTGTCCTATCCTATCCTATCCTATCCTATCTTATCCTCTCTATTCAGCTATTGTCAATCGGTGGCTATTTAAAGATAGATCGATAGATGGATTAGGCCGATAAAGCGATAGAGGCATATAGACAGATAGATAGATCGATAGAAAGATGGATAGATAGGATATGATTAGATACCATATGATAAGATAGATAGATAGATAGATAGATAGATAGATAGATAGATGGATACATAGCTGTCTTGCTATCTTTCTATCTTGCCATCCACCTATAAATGTATCTAGATAGATATGTATCTTTCTAGCTCTACCATCCAGCTGGCTGGCTTTCTGCTTGTCTGTCTGTCTGTGGCTCTATTTTTCTTTCTTTATGTGTGTGTGTTTGTATCTATCTACCGACCTCTCTGTGTCTCTCTCTTTGTCTATCATCCAATGTATCTATCTATTTCACACTCTTGCCATCTTTTTTTTTGGTATCTATCGATTTATCTATCTACCTATCTATCTTATCTATCCATCAATCTTGGCGCACAACCTGTAGCTGACCTTGCCTCCGTGGACCCGGCTACGAGATGGCCCCGAGATCGCTCCGAGCAAGATCGCTCCGACGTCGCGGCGTCGCGATCAGGCGAACTTTCGACCAACGCAAAGTCCCGAAACGTTCCGCAGAGGGCTGCGCTTGTTTGACTTTTGTTCTTCCGCACGCGCACGTTTCCTTTTCCGTGCGCTTATTCTTCCCGACAAATCCCCGCCATGACTATGCCTGAAAAAGGGTTTCTTGCAATTCATGACCAAAGATGAATCTCAGGCAGCCCTTCATTGGTGCCTTGGATTGGGGTTGAGAGTTGAGACGGTTCTTGTAAGAGGCTAGACGGGGAACTACCCCCCAATCTAACCACCAATCCAAGCCACCAATTTCAGGAAGCTGAGAAAACAAGCAAAAACAGCACCTCGAAAAAAACGCGGAGCCCAAGGGTGGTGCCCCTTTCAATTTCCCTTTAAACCAGTTACTGAAAAGAAAACCTACCCTCAGAATGCGCAGGCACGTAGCACCTTGGACAAACCCGCAGGTCGCCCCCAGCTGCGGCTCGGGATGCGACACCTCCATGCCGCCGTGCCTGGTGGAGACGATGGCCAAGCCCATCGCGGCCGCCGGGGCGGAGGGGGTGGACATCTTGGTGTTCCCGGAGGCGCATCTTCCATTTGGTCACTACTGGAAAAGTGTTTTTGTTTTTTTTCAGGGGACTTAAGCAAATGGAGGGCATGGGTCGGTGGATGTTAATCATACATGTAGGCCAGAAAGAAAAAACATCACCTTTACTGGCAGTTGCCAGCTGATCCAGAGGGTGCAGCTCCTTATCAAGCAATTCAAGCAGCTGTTTTCGGATTTTTCCTTTCAGAAACCTTGTGACATCTGGTAAACAATTAAAATAATCCAAATCCAAACCAGTTTGGCTTGATCATTCCTTGTCCACGTAAATGAAATTGTGCCATCTTCCACGGTGCAAGTGGTTTCACCTTGGGGGGTTCTCAAACCCCGTTTGGAGGGGGGTGCTTTGCGAAATGCGCCCACAAAAATTGGGCCTAGAACTCCCCCCACTGGAGTTCTGGGCAGGGTCTCTGACCTCAAAGATCCGGGAGGGGGGTAGGAAGACAAACAGACCCATGATGGGGTGCTTTTCCTATGCCTCATATTCAGCTGGTGATTCGAGTGTTGATCCAAGCGAATTCGGGCGGCGGTATGTGTGAAGGATAGCTTCGGAAAGCCTCAGCCTGCGAGGCATACTTTGGGGACGCAGACCTCATGTGGTCCTGTGCTCCTCCAGCGGACTCTGATTTGCTACCACCTGTGGGCAGCCAGCTGTGCAGGCATGACAAGTGGTGGGGCAGATTGGGCTGCCTGGCGCAGCAGCATGAGGTGCTGGTGGCTCACTTGCAAAGTGAACCCACCTTGTGCTGGCTTGGTCTAAAGTTTTTTTTTGTTTTCCCATTGCTGGCTTGGTCTAAAGTTTTTTTTTTCTCCCCCATGTCCGGGAGCCTTTTTGCAAGCGAGGTCGTGGTGGGGCTCTATGACTGGGGTCCCTGCTTCGTGACCCCCGAGCCCTTCATCCACCGGGCCTTCCCCTGCCGCGGCAACCTGACGATCTTCAACAAGGCGCTGGCGGTGGGCGCCGACGGCAGGCTCCTGGCAGTGCACCACAAGCACCACCTGGCCCCTTGAATTAGCTCCCCTTTTTGCTTCTTTGCTTTTTTGCTTTTTTGGGGTTTCCTTTGCTTTCCACTAACCAGGCATTTTATTTTTTTTGCTGGGGTCCTAATTCCAGCCAAGGCCCATTCGCTCTTCGCCAAAGACCACATCAGCGTGAAGCGAGGGCCGTTGGTCGTGAACCCCAGCCCTCTGGGACTGCTCAATGATGCTCAGTTGTTCAGTGCCACCCTTCTTCCCCCTTGTTTTTTGAGCGGCGCTGCCACTAGACATGGTCGTTCCCTTTTTTTCAGTGTCACTGAACAACTGAGGATGATGTGGGCGCGCCATGGCCCGTGCCAGATGTCACGATCTTCACCTCCCACTTCGGAGTGAAGTTCGGGATTCTGATCTGCCATGAGCTCAACTTTGCCTCACCCCTGCTTTCCATGATGAAGGACTGCGCTCTTCTTCCTGCTTGGGCTTGCAGTTTGCTTTGTCTTTGTATCCTTTGAACTGGCAGGACAGAGGAGGCCAACAGAGCGAGTTTCTGGGCTTACTTGTTGGGAACACCAGGTTGTAAGCAGAAAGTTTCGCCTTGTTTCCCCAATCCACTTTGAGAAGTTCAGAGGGCACTGATATGTTTGCCAGCCGGCTAAAATCCCTCTAGACCTGCTTTTTTTTCCCCAACAGCTGAAAGCTTTGGGGTCTCAGCCCAGATAGGCTCCGGGGCGGTCTGGGGCGGCCCTGAGGTGAGGTTCCACTAGGGTTCCACCAGGGTTCCACGAGGTTCAGCGAGGGCTGCGGGGTAGTGGGCGCATTAAAAAGAGCACCGCATGCTGTTGGGGATGTCACCTGAGCTTATTTTTCTTCTGGCCAGGTACGACAAGGGGATAGACCATCTGTAGAGTTTTCCAGACTTTCGATTTACCCTCCCACCAACTAACATGGTCTTGCGGGACCCCTCTGTCAGGTTCCATGTGATTTGGTGGAAGGGTAACACACTACTTTCTAAAGATTGGAATCTATTGATTCTCTCTTGTGGGGCCAGTTTCATGGTGCTTTGGATCGATTTTTTTCCCGCGGCAACGATCCCCGTTTTGCCCCAAAATCTCCACAACTCCATTTCCTTTGAAACATCCTGGTGAGATTTCCATCTGCAAATTTTCCGGGGTGTCTGCTTTCCGCTATATCAAGTTTCCCTGGGTCCTTGGTTCCGGCACGCCTGCACCACTTTGCAGGTTTTCTGGGCCTGTGTTAATTCTGCAAACAGAGCATGCTGTGTGGCTCTCAAGACTGAAGCCACAGGATTGTGAGAAGCTCAGATTCATCAGCGCATTCGTAACAGGAAGGCGTGCGGGATGTGATCTTCCCCACCCAGTGGGGCGGCTTCGGCGGCGGTTTCGCTGCCACCCAGAGCGGCTTCGCACTGGCGCACGGGGTGAACCTCCTGTCCGCCAACGGCCGCCCGGCTTTTTGCCGCCACTTTTTGTTTCGCAAAACTAAGAGGACACTACCAGACACTGAAGGCTCCATGACCCTGCAAAAATGGGGAGCACTGCCCCTCAAAATGTGGCGCAATTACGCAATTGTTCAAGAGTCATGGGTCTCCGGCAGCTGGACCCGGATTCTGGAGACACACTCAGGAATGGTGGAAAGCTGGGGCTTGGGTTGACACTTTTTGTGATGTCCTTGTTCCCAAACCATTTGTTCCCGTGTACTCAATCTCGCTTTATCATCTTTCATCAACTTGGCTCGCTCAACCCGGCTCCCTCTTGTCAAAATTCCTGTCTGATCTAAACATTGGACCATCATTCACTAGGAGGCAATCGGTTTAGGTGTTCTCCTGGGTTCCTCAAAGTAAACATGATATGCATAGAGATAAAGCGCGGCAAGATTTGCAGTTCAGCGACAAGACTTGCGGAGCCACATTTTTAGAACTAAACATGATGAGGAGTTCTCAAAATTTTGGCGGCCGGCCTGGTTAGGAGTTAGGACTCTCTGTGCCTATGGCATGGCTTCGGTAAATGGTGGCGTGCGGGCGAAGTGTGCCTATTCGAGGACATGGGATCTATGCCTATTCCTTTGACACGTTTTGAGTTTGCTGAGTCATCATGGCACCCAATATTTGCCACTTCTTTGGGCCTGGTCCTTCAGGGCTTCAAGACCTCTTGAGTTGGTTCAAAAGGGGCTGGCAATGTGGGCGCAGGTCGTCCCAAAGGCATGAGCGAGGTGACACAGGGGCACCCATGATGAGAGCCTTTCCAGTTTTGGAACTATAGTTTTGCCCAGGTAGTTGAGATGCCTTTCTTGGTTGGATGGAGACTAAAAAGGACCTGATGGGAATCATGGGAGCAAACAGATCTGGGGTTTCCTCCAAACCGACTACAAGTTTGATTTTCTGTGTGCCCTAGACTCTTTGGCTAAGACAGTCGCAACCTGAAGGATTCGACACACGATGCGCCCGGATCGATCGAGGCCTCAACGGGGGCTCCGGGATTTGGCCTGCGCAGGCGGATGTGGCTCCGGCGCCCGGGCAGTTGGTTGGGATCAATATGGGCCCATTGGTGTCCCTTTTAGGTTACTTTGGTCCAAAATGGATGGCACTGGTTTAGATGGATCTAATTCCATTTAGCAGGGGCGTCTATTTTTCCGAAAGGCCACCTATGCATGGGCCCATCGCTTTGTGTTTCTTTGACTATGCTTAAACGGGCAGTACCAGGTACTTTGTAGGTGGGCAGCGATGGTTACAACCCACTTGCTATGGTTGCCGACCACTGTGATTGCCCTGGCCCTTGACGTGGGGGTTACTCTCCCCTCCCCAAAAGCCGAAGAAGCGACAAGGTGTCCCTCTTAAATGTTTGGTGCTCAGAGGGAAATGTCAACTATATGCGTTTCCCCTTGAACAATTGGTCCACTTTGGTTTAGGGTCATATTATGGATGCCGTTTCCTTTTTCCTGGCTCTTGAGGATAGGGAAATCCCGCATGAAGGCAACAGGTGATGGATGTTCAGATGCAAACATGCCCTTCAAAGAGAGCTGTGGGCGGGACTGCTGTGGTCTGAGGGGATTTGCCAGGCCCAGGCCTGGGAGTCGGTAACGAGGTGGAGCAGCTCGCTTTGGAGATGGTATGTGTCAAGACCTTTTTGGGATTGGTGTAAAAACGCAAAAGAACCTAAAGGGAAAGCCACAATTTTTTGGGCCCCCCGATTTTGACATACGTGGCACTTTTCCCAGTTGAGTAACATCTTTCGGGGGAACACATGAGGGGTGCCAACTGCCCGGAATCGGATATGGATCGCCTGTCAAGCAAACACCGCGACGTGCAGTCCGAGATGGGAAATGAAGGTGTGCTGGCAGTTTGAGAAGTCAGGGGCCAGATCTGCCATAGTCAACCTGATGACTTGGGACTTGACTAGGGATGTTTGTGGACCCTGCAGTAGTTCAACCACCTAGTGTCAGGTTTCCTATTGAGGGAACCATGACCCATGACCATTCCCCACACTTTCAGCATTTTGAGTCACTGAGGTGCAATTTCCGGTGCGAGCTGACACCCCCACGGAGTTCACTCCTTTGTGGTTTCTTGGCTGCTATTTGCGTTATCTGTTTGGTGAAACATGGTTTTTGTGCCTATCATTAGATGGGCCCGCCGCGAAAGCGCTTGGAGCTCTTCTTTTGCGCTTCATTCCTAGCTAGTCCTCAACTCGTATCTTTACCATAGCGACGCGATCTAGTGTTTTGCTGCTTTGGGCAGGGCCATGGCCAGGTTTGGCACCATGACCCTGGTCAGCCCGGCCATGGTGCGGTTGCCACTGGTGGCGGCGCCGGCGCCGGTATACCCGATGAGGTCCAGGACGCTTTTGCTGGACGCGGCAAACCTGAAACGCACCGAGCTGGTCCTGGATGATGTGCGCTGCCAGCTTGACCCAGACTCAACCGAGGGGAAGGAGATGTTTGGTGCCAACAAACAGCCAGACTTCGCATCTTCCGGGAACCATGGTCATAATCGAGATGTTTCTTTTGAGAAGACCTTTGGTTAAGAGAAACCTTCAAAGGAACATTGTCTATCACCGGTCGTGCTTAAAGGGGCATTGTACTTCATAAGCTTTCAGTAAGCCTTTTTTCACCTACTTACTACTGCCCATGTCTCCCTTCAGTGGGTTATCTCACCAGGCTTACTAGCCACTTCCCTGACGTACAATGCCCCTTAATGTCGGCTTTTCGGTGAGGAGACGTCCAGCGGTCGCTTTTTACTGGGCGCCAGCGCGGGCATCGGCGCGGTGGGTCTCTTCGAAGCCTCCTGCTGGCTGATGAGCTGCGAGGCGCGGAGATGGATTCGCCCTTGGACGCGCGGGCGGGGGGGGGGAAGGGGAGAAGGGGGTTGGGAGACACCCAGAAAGTTTGATATTGTTTCAAGACGGATCCAAACGTTTCGGGAAGTATTTATTCGATTTGCCAAGATGGGTGTGGAGTTTATTAAAAAAGGGACCCTTTGGTGTCCACCAGCCGTTTTGAGTGCGTTGTTAAAATTCATTTCCAGGTTGGTTTGGCTTCCTTGGTAACCTTGCAACACCGTCCAACAATCAGCTGTTCATACATGCTTGGTTTCCTCTGGATTTGTGTTTCTGCCCTAGTTCCCTTGTAAACGAGGAGAATGGAATGGGTTCAACATTGCATATGCTACCTTGTCCTTTTTTGCTTCGTCAATTTTGGGGGCTCAGGTGTTGCTCAGCCTCGAGACCTCCGCCCTCAAGCCGGATCTCGCAGTGATCCTCCAGTGGCCGCATACCCAGGAGGCGACACCTTGTGGGTTGAAGATGGTGGAGTGGGCGAGCAACACGGTGGGATTCCCTGAAAAGGAAGCTTCCTGCTTCCAACCAGGGTTCAACGTTTGAGGAGGGCAGAACGGGCAGAACACATTTATTTATAGTTAAACTAGTGGCATTCAAGAGAAATGCCGTTACAAGGTCTTCGGTACTCACTAGTACAATGATTGGAGTTGGGCCCTGTCGTGAAATGTGCATCCTGTCTATTTCTTCTCTTTCAGTCATCAGACACATACCCCACGTATCATTTGTCAACCCCAGATTTTCCACAAGACTCAGCCAAGCCCCACCAACTTCGCCCAGCCCACCCCACCCACCCCCAACCCACCCCCACCCACTCGCCCCCTCAGCCGAAAGCGACCAGGACCTGCGGAAGTGCCGCCAGAGCCCAGAGCCCCTGATCTTCGAAACGGCCCCGCGCTTGTCGATCGAAGCGCACAGAAGCCGCTCGGCAGGAAGTTGGGAGGGTCACCCCGAGTCGGTCTCCCAAACATAGGTGGTCCTTTTGGGTTGTTCTGCTGGAAAAATAGAGGGGTTTCGATTCCTGGTTTACCTGGTGGTTTAATCATCTACCACGGAAACCCATCTATTTCCCCTTGCGCGTGGCTCCAGGCCCATCCGGTCCCTTAGCTTTCTAGCTTGTTAGTGTTTCGTGGTTGGGCTTCCATTTAACCCACTAAAAGCTTAACTTTTAGCAAGGGATCTGAGGGCAGCCCAGAAATTATCTATGTTTTAGGGTTGACAAGATACGACTAATCCGAAAGTAGCCTTTTCTGTGCGGCCAAGATGTGGGCTGGCCAAGGTTGGATGAGGTTCCTTTGTGTTAACTTTGGGATTTGGACCATGGATTCTCCTTTTGATTTCCCTTCAGGCCTATCTTGAAATGGTATCCCCTCCCTTTGTTTGTTGGATGGCTTCCCTCCCCTTTTGTCCTCGTTTGGGATGTGTCTACTATCACATGTTTATTCAGAGGCCCAGAAAGTCCAACTTGCTTTTGGCCAGCAATTTCAGGTCAGGATCTTGGTACTTCCCAGCCATCCGGTCCCTTAGCGTTTTTGTTTTAGCTTTTTCGGGTTAAGTGGTTGGGTGAGTCAATTTCACCCACAAATTGCTTGGAGAGGATCTGAGGACGATTTAGGGGTGGTTTCCTGTTTTCCAACACACCATGGCGCCAAAGCGAGTGAGGCAACTTCTTTCTGCCGCTGGGCCAGTGCAACAACGGCTCGGTGCCATTGCCCCGGCCAAGAGCATTGCTGGAGGCGCGAAGAAGATGCGGGTTCAACCAGTTTAGCGGATTTCCAAGCTGGAGCGGATTTTTAACATGGTAACCTTGAACTCACTTTTTTGGTTGGATTCCTCAGTTGACAACTTGGGTTTGGCCTGTTGGTTTGAGGGATTTCCCCGCTTTGTCTCCCTTTGTCAGGATAATTCATGGGTTCCAGCTTGCACCGAACGCAATCATGTTTGAAGCATCCTAGAACCCAGTTAGTTCAATCCCACTAGGGACACCTAGTTTTTGCCTGGGTGCTCGAAATGGGATCACAGAGTGCGGAAGATCTAAGAAGCCAACAGGACAAACAGGAAGTTCGCCCCAAACCTCTGGTTTTGGTGGGCATTTGTCTAGCTTGCAGAACTGCTTGGAGCTCCTTGTCGTGAGAAAGGGATCCCTATAAACAAGCTCGTTTGCTATGTCCTTAAGGGAAACCTGGGCAAGCCCAGCCGGCCGGAAAAAAAAAAAGGACATTTGCAGCCACCCTTAGGCAAAGTTGTGTGTGTTTTGCAGATTGTTTTCAAGCAACTCTTCCCTAGAATTAGGAGCTTCAGCTTTTTGCAGGGCTTTTGAGGAAAGCCTGGGAACGCCCGCCCCTAGAGCTTCTCGTTGGCTGACGCAATGGTTTTTGTTCCTCGGGAAACTGACGATGCCTCGCCGCCAGGGGCGGTGGCGTGGCTTGGAGCTGCCCACGTGCCCTCTGACCCTGGCGGGGCTGCGCTCCATGGCGCAGTCGGAGTTTGAGGAGCCCTCCTGCCCCGAAGGCTTCTGCCGCGCCCTCGGCCCTCGGAGATCTCGGAGATCTCGGAGATCTCGGAGAGCGGGGGGGGGGGGTCGGTGGGGCTGGGGATCCCACTTCCATGGGAGGGGTCGGGGTTGTTGGCAGACTGGAGATCTGGGTATGGGTCATAGTAAAACCATCAGGGGACCGCAGGTTTTAGTCTTTGGTTCCATTTACCAGGGCTCCATTTTTGGTACGCATTTTTGTTCCACAGCCATCTAAGGCCAAGATCCTAAGGTGCAAAATAGACCACCCCACTGAAGTGCTGAATGTCTCCCCGGTTCAGTCGAGATTCGCCCTAAGTCGGGAACAAACTTACTTGGGGGACCTCGGGGACATTAACCACGTGGTAAGTCCTCATCCACTCTGCACCAGTTGAGATTGGTGGTTTATCAGAATCCCAGAATCTCAAGGTTCATCCAATCGCGATTCTGTCCAACCACAGCACCTCCCACACACCTTGCCACGGAAGCTGACTGGAGGCCATCGGAAGACTTTTTTTCTTCTTCTCAAGATAAGCAGCATTTGTGCGCATCAATGTCAGTAGAGAGAATAGACACAAACACGAGTCGGGACAGTCTTCTTTGTTGTCCGATTTGGACAACTTAGCCTGTTTTTCTGAAACTCACAAGTTTGCCGGACCTGGACGTTTTCCACCAAAACACAACTCTTGCAACCCAGCGGTTCCTTTTTCAAGAGCCCAGGTCCCAGCCCCTCGCCCTGCAATGACACGTCCTGGGAGATGAACTACATGAATTGGTGCGAGCTCGTGCCCCACACCGGGCCCAGTCCGGAGACGGAGGTCAACAGCCTCGTTGTGTGAGAACTCACGTGCCCTTTTAGATCAGTTTGGTTGAAGATAGATTGCACTGGTTGCTGCGCAGTTCCAATCATTCATCATGTTGCATTTGTTTGGACAGGAAGGAGCTGCATGATTCTTGCCCTGGAGTGTCTGTGAGGTTGGGTACCCCAAGTCAAGAACATGCTGATTTGCCCGTGCTGGCAACCGTGTTTAGCCGAAATCAGGGGGTAGCCGCTCCACCAAGGGTCGCAGGAGGATTTCGCATGGACAAAAGCTCCAAGTCATGTGGAGACTGTACAGCCCTCTTGCGTGGCAAAAGAAGTCGAGCAGCTTGAGTCTAGCAATCCTGCGACCTGAGGTTTCAGACATCCTTTCCGGACGGGGGATGTATGGTAGATGTCCCCAATACTGCATTGAATCAACCATCAACGGCGAAATATTGGGTTCAGGTTCTCCAGTTGCTGAATTTGGGGACACAAGCATATATGGATGTTTTTTTTTTGGCGTTTCTTTTTGTCCTCCTTTTTTCTTACGTTAGATAGTCTGTCCAGAACTGAATGGAACAGCTTAGCCACACCATAACTGGCCAGAACTGAATGGAAGATAGGACATTGGTCCCTCCTGCTGTTGGTTTGAAGTTAGACTGTCAGGTTTTGTTAGTTGGGCAAAGCTAGCTTTTGTTGGCAATGGGCTTCTTGTGGAAAGGGATCAGTTTTGTTGGCTGGGTGGTGATTTTTGGTAGGACAAAGATGGCCTAAGACCAGCTAGTTAGGCGTGGGAAAGTGATGTGGCGAAAGTTGGTGTCTCCTGGGAGAAGCTGCGGTCGTTGCGCTTAGTGCTGGCTTTCTGTGGGACAAGGTAGCAATCAGTTGGGGAAAGGCTAGCTTTCAGTGACGGTCCTGCCAGAAGTACGTTGCTGTTGGGTCGACCCAGGAGGCCTGGTGCTGTTCTTAGCCTTTTAGCTTCTGTCTCTCCGCAGCTTTATTTAGCTTCCGGGGGATTCCTTGGTTTCTGTTTAACGAGTGCATGTCCAGTTGGAGAGGCGCAACGTTTGCCACCGACCCCGTCGTTCCTTGCCACGAGAGTCCCACATGGCTCCTCGGTTCGGCAGGTCGTCACGGAGCTCTCGAAGCCGAAGCGCTTCGGAAGCCGCGGCAGCGAGTTTCTGGCAGCACGAGTTTCAGTGGCTCAAAGTTAAAGAGCTAGGGGCAAACCGCAGGTTTTTTGGGTTTCCAGTTTCCACTTGCCAGGGCAAGCCATTTTGGGTACCGGTTTTTTGAGCCACAGCCATATGGCAGCATGAAGAAGACTGCCTGGTTGCCTGGCAAGAGCGCAAGCGTCAAACGGAGTGTGGGTTTGGGGTCTGATGGGTACGGTGTGGCTGTGGTTCTGGCCCTCGTACTAAGCCACCGATTTCTTCGTTGCCACTGTTTGTCTCCAAAATCGTGTCTTTCCTTTGGTTGCCCTTGAATTCAACTGCAGCCCAAATGCTTTTCCCATCCCTTGGTGGCACGGGCGCCGCCCAACGCAGGCCTGGGTCGGCTATCGGAATGCCTCCGAAGCCTTGCTCGGCATGGCGAGTCTGCCAGCGGCTTAGGGTCTGCGTCGCCTTTCTTCCAGCCTACAGTCCGGGCCGACTCCTGCAGGGCTCCTTGAAAGATCTCCATTTGGCCACCAATTGACACATGTGGCTTTTTCAACACCAACATAAAGTTGGACACCACCATTTACAAGTTGCAATGTTCGATCGGTGTATAATGCATCCGGATCCCCGTCCTGTACAAGCCTTTTCAGGTCTCCAGATCCTGAAGGGCTCGTGGGACAAAAATGGAAGCATTCATTCTCGGCAGCGCAGGTGACCCAAGGGCAGACTTTAGATGCTGCGATGCCCTGTCCTTCGATCACGCCAAAAGGAACTACCCCTGCTCAAAGGTTTTGAACTATGAAAACCCAAGCTTTATTGGAAGTTCTGAGGAACCTCCAAATAACCCTGCTACCAGGCCCACCTGGCACCAATTCGCTCAGTGACCTTTACTCTGAGGTCTATTTTGGTCTCCTCAAAAGCCATGCCAGTTGGGAAGACTAAATATGATGCAGAATCAAATCGGCTTGTGCCCCCAGCGGCGGCCTGCAACCAACATCTAAGAGACCCTCTGGCACCGACCGAGGTCGACCAGCGCTGTGCAGCAGCAGACCGCTTTTACGGACCGGTCAGCTGCCGCCTTGCTAAGGTCTGGGTATACTAAGCTTATCCATGAAGGTTCTCGACTAGGGGATTCCTTGCAGGTTTCTGAGTTACAGAGGTTTGCGCGAGCTGCTCGTTGGTGGCACTGAGCAAGCCAGAAAGGGCAGGGGCTGGTATGCATGTTGGTCTAGTTCCTTCAAAGAAATCCGATAGAAATCCGATATCGATCGGCTGCTCAAAAACAATCAGCTTGACTACCAGACTTAGGGGCCTTAGGGGATCATTTTTCGAGATGGGATCTTTGAATATGCATCTGAAACCAGACAACCCACTACTGTCAATGTTCTGGAAATGGCTACGGGTAAAAGCAGGGGATTGAGGACATGGTTTGAGAGGGGGTTTGCCTTCAAACCTTTCTCACCCAAGTGGGACGTGCCGCTTGCCTTTTTGGCGCTCCAGCGGCGAGACCGGTCTGCCAGGAGCCATTGGCAGCCCTGCCGACGCTGATGACCACGCAGCGGCTCGGCATATGGCCCTATGGCCCAAAACCGATCCCCGTTGGCCAGGCGTTTTAGCGGATACCTGGTTTCATGGGCCTACCTAAACCTTGAGGGCCATGTTCATAGAGCAAGCAATCAAAACGAGGGTAGGTGAAGGTTAGTAGGGGATGACTCAAATGACTTGGCATCTCCTTGGGGTTGAGAGGGAATCAAGCGGGCAAGCAGGCACGCGGCCAAGTGGGAAAGTGGAAGTGTTTGCCCGAGGCTCGAGCGCGTGGAGGCACTGCAAGTGTTGCCCCCAGATGTGGCACTGACCGGGGTTGGTGGCAGACAGGGAAATGAAACCAACTCCAGGAAAAGGCTTCGATCCCAGAAGATTCCCAAAAAGATGTAACATGTTGGTGCTTTCTTTGGTTTATGTTGTTGCTTTTCAGGAGTGCGAGTGGTACTGCAATCGGCCCGTTTTCTTGCAATCGGGCGGGTTTGTCTTTGGTGCTCATGGTTGGAAGGGGCGCTCTTGCGCATAGCAGCACCGGTAGCTGTGGTGGTGGTGCTGCTGTTGTTAGTGGCGGCGGTGGCAGCGGCGGTGGCGGCGGCGGTGATGGTTGCGTCGTTATTGCGCTCAAAGACCGTCTAGTTTTCGGCCAACTCTATGAACCCATATTAGGAGATTCCGTGAGCCAGGGCGTTTGGGCGTGTCACGTTAAAGTTACTCAATGCGAGGAATAGGCCAGGCAACATGTCTTGGCATCATTCGGCATAATAGGCCCACGTCTCAGACTGGCAAAGAACTCACTGGGTTTGCGACAGCGACGCATTCGAGCTTGGTTGGCATGACCAAGGCCTGGTTGGCATCCAACAGCGTGTGGCAAGGCCGGAGGGGAAGTCCGCAACTATGCAGAACACAAAAGCACGCGGTTGGAACATGCTGGAAGAATCTTTCCTAGACGCTTCAGCGGTTGGCTTCGTTTGACCTGCTGGATTGAACCACTTGGCCGGCCGGCCAACTGAATGCAGCTTGTAGATGATTCTCCGGCTTCATGTGTTCAAATGGCAGGGGCAGCAAAGCACACTTGTGTGTTCTGTAAAGATACCTCCCTCGAGCTCTAGTACTAGGAAAAAAAACTGGAGCAGAAGAGCACTTGGCATGGAATCGGAAGCAGTGCAAGCTGTGCCTTCTCACTTGGTAGCAACACGGAGGTGAACGGACACCTTTTTTTGAACAGGTAGTTGGCCAACCGGTGATCTGGCCCTTGCCAGCCTTTGGCCCATGTTGGATGGCCTGTGCATTAGCAACTTAGTGCTTCATTGCAGCATATGCTGTAGCGGAACCCCCGTCACTTTGAATGCAACGGTGAAGTGCCCATTTTGTTGTAACGTGAAATAGCTCGAACGCAAAGCAGGTCGGAGCTGGTAAGGATGAGACAGCGCGGACGCCATGAACATGAGTTTCCAACAGGTGGGTATGGGTCAAAATTAAGCCACTAGTCCATTTTTCCATTTGCCAGGGTTCCATTTTGGGTACATATTCTTGACCCACAGCCATGTGGAAGCTGAATCTATGCGCGCAATGTTGAATCATACTGCAAGAAGCGGTTCGCAGAAGGGGGCTTTAGTTTTGTTGCCTCCATTCCGCAAGGCTGGAGCATGTCATCGGGGGTGCCATTGTTTGGTTTCCAAGGAAAGAGAGCGATCCATTTTGGGATGTTTTTCCTGGGAAGCCAAAGAGAACTGTCCTCATTTTTCGAGGGGTTGATTCCCCATTCTTTTCGACCATCGTTCTTTTCACAAGTCAGCTGTTTCCCTGGGTTTTTGATGGTTTGGTTTCCTGAAAAGAAGCATTCCCCGGGTTTTTGATGGTTTCCTGAAAAGAAGGATTCCCAGGGTTTTTGATGGTTTCCTGAAACAAAAAATCCCTGGGTTTTTGATGGTTTCCTGAAAAGAAGGATTCCCAGGGTTTTTGATGGTTTCCTGAAAAGATTCGGATCCCGGGAAAGAAGGGAAATGGAAGGTGCCCCTCGAATTTTGGGGTTGCCCCCCTCTTGAGACGACCCGACGTCTTTTTCTCGGGAGATCCCCCTGCGAATGCCGGGAGCTCGATGCCGAGAGCTCGGCCAGGCCACCGGTGCCTCTTCTGCGCCGGAGCCCCGGGCGTCGGATTGCGCGGGCAAAAGGGGTGGGATGGGGCGGGGGGGAGGGGGGGAGGGGCAGAGGAGGGGCGGGGGCGAGGGGAGGGGGTGAGGGGAGGACCCAAACTTGGCTTTTAGTGTGACCTTCGCCCCTTCGACATGTGTGGCCTTTGTAGGTTTTTTGATGAAAACAAGATGGCACTGGGT